GATCGCACAGCGGTCTCGGTAATGAATGTACCGCCGGCCGCGGACATGGTAATGAGAGCAGTACCGGTGATATGGGACGGGGATGCGGTGGAGGTGGAAACCACACGAGAGACGGGCCAGATCACACCACGGAACGGATTGTCGAATCAGACCGGATTGTTATAGAAGATCAATAAAGGACGTCATGCTACCTTCAGTTCTACTGAGCTAAGATTAACCTAAAACGTAAGCCAGCAGCAATGCGATGATGAAAATGCCGCAAGTCTCTCATGAAACAGACACCGAGTCTGAGGAATGCAAAGACAAGGGTGACCAAAACATTGTCAGCAATTTCCTGAAAACCATGCTGCAGCTGGTGGTATTCTACAGTCGTTTCCTTCGTACGCCTCATTGTTGATAAATGTTGCACTGATGGTCGTTCCCTCACAAAAGCCCAACAGCTAAAAGTGGGTAGTATTCTAATCCTCCGGAGCGCGACCGATGCACTCGACGCCGGCCAGTTTCCGACGATCACGTCACGCCCGGACCGAGGGCCATTTGCTGCCGACCACCGACTGATGTCTCTATCACGGCGCGGTGGCGCCGAGCAGTGGCGCAGTGCGGCGTGCAGCGGCGCCGTGCCTCCTCTTTTTGCCGCCGCCGGGAGGTCAGGCCGGCGGCGACCGCCGGGGGACGAGGCCCGGCGACCCGGCCCGCCGCCGGCACCGTGCTCAGCCGAGCGGCCGGGGCTCTGACCGACGACCGGCCAATGAATCACTACCGAAAACCGAATGAGGCCGAAGCGTGCAATTACACATTAATAATCGCTGCGTCCGGTACCGAATGGGCCCCGGTGGACGCAATTGTTTTAAAAAGTAGCCAAATGAATGCACTTTTTTGCCGGGCAGATGTGGTGTTTTTGTCCTATCAGTAATGATTATTTGTTCGGATCGTCATGTAACTTATGGCCCGGGGTCTGGGAGCAGTCATTATCCGTTTGGCTGAATTTCGACGGGCCAACAAGCTTGGGAGGAACTACTGAGTTATTGTTTTACGCTCAGCTGCCACATTTACATAGAGATCGGCCGTGCTATGTGGACAAAAACGTGGAGTGAGACGGCGGCCGGCTGTCCCCCGATCGAGCCGGGCGGCTGGCGGGCCGGTCCGGCCGCCAGCCGACCGGCGGGCCCAGCGCCCCAGCCAACCTCGTCAGCCAGTCTCAGTCAGACTCCATCAGTCCAGACAGTCTAAATAACAGTCAGTGAGCCCAATCACTCAGTATCAATAACAGCCGGACAGTCCAGTTTCAGAAATCCAGTCAGTCAGGCAGTCTCAGTCGATCTCAGTCACTCAGTCACTCAGTCTCAGTCATCCCACGTAAGTCTGACAGCCAAATCACACCCAATGGATCAGTTGCCTTGTTGGTAATGAATGATAAACGGCGGAAAAGCATCTAATAATACAACGAACAGTGATAACAGGATACCTAAGTTTAAAATATGAAAAACTAAAAAGCTCAAATGCAAATGTAGGTAAAATGTAAATATTCATGTCAAAATTTATGTTAGGCAAAATGCAAATATTCATGTCTTTTCATCCGACTTCCCTATTCTTGCGTCGCCAGGCCGTGCAATGAACCCAAACTAAAACACAGACATGTCAAAAGAGAAAAGGGAGAAGAGATGAAGTGTTCACTCTCCTAATCTTTTAATTTGCCAAAGTTTGAACGGCTTCTCTCCTCTTCACGAAAACCTTCTTGGAATCGGTTGGTAGGTATGTATGTTGGCATTCGCTGTTAGTAAAATTTCAGTTACATAAATATCAGTTACAGACTACAGTTACAAACAACAAGTTACGCGAGTTCTCTGAACTCGCACTCTTGAAGGCATCCAAGTTCAATGGGCAATGGGCATTTCACGAAGCAAGTGCTCGAAACGAATATAACCGACGATCGATGATGATCCATTATCTGATTTACACAGAGATCAGATACCTAGGTATTATCTTTAGCCCAGATTGAATAGTATGATAAAGAAGCTTAGCATGCACTCGACAATAATGACTAATGTGATGCTGCCAATCAATGATTTTATAACGCATTGTTGTCACTTCAAAAATTGATATGGCATTACCTAGATGGAAAAAGAAAAACGAACACAGGCTTTACAGCGCAATGGAACTTTCAAAGTCCTATCAGCCCCAGTTGAATAGCCCAGTAAAATGTTAACTGAAAGAGCAAAGCGGAGGCCGGCTAACCCATGACAAGTCGTAAATTTCGTATTGACTATTAACTTGCCATCAGTTCATACGAGCTCAGCGCTACACAACACAAATATCACGCAGCCTCCATAACGCAAGGCTGAATTAGATATTGCAGGCAGTCGGTACCTATACCTGTTCATGATAGATTTCTTTCCATGCGAGGAAAATGACACATTTATCATCAATTTTGGCATTGCAGAGCCATAGGCCTCCGATCTCTCTTCGAATTTCCCGGTGGAAGTCAAACTAATCGAGCCGTGCTCGGGCCACCTCACAGTCTGCGCCCGGCTCGGCGCGGGCTGCGCGGGCGGCGGAGGCCAGCAGAGCCGCACAGGTCAGACGGACAGCTGCGCTCTCCTACCCACCAATTAGTCATGAGCAGCTCGGTGCTCCGGCGCGCCGGGACGGCCGGTGGGCAGCTGTTGGCTCCGAGGGCCGGCGCGCGCCGCTGGTCCCTCTCCGCCACCCGCAGCAGCGCCGGCCACCGATCACCCAACCGCTAACAGTAGGTAACATACCCACTGGGAGCATCCGCATCATCACCGGCCATAGCCAATCGCCATCAGTGGCCCCAAACGCGCACATTGTCGGCTCAATGGCCAGCATTGCCGGCAGTCCAGGAAATGACGGTAATATTGATATGCTCTATGCAGTGTTTTATCTTGATACTGACCCAGATCCATTTTTGCAGCGCCTGTCGGATGTTCGCCGGTAGGTTACCTGGTAGGCAGACTGGAACTCCAGGTGGGCTGGCAATATTGCAGAAACTTGGCAGAGACTACATAGGAATCAGGGCCATCACTGTGCGCCGCGGGTGGCGCAGGGTCGAGAGTACGGGTAGCAAGGGAGGGGATTATCATTTACCTACCTTCAGTGCCAAAAAGAACAGTCGAGGTCCGCGAGCGGGCAATTGGTAATCTTTGCTGATGTCACCATGCAGTCCTACTGAATTAAAGTCCTTCTACCTACCATCTCTTCACGATAGGTATCTCACCTAAACAAGTAAAGAAAATGGAGGACGGAGATGATTAAACTGTACTTCATGATTTACACGGTACCGATTCAAATGGAAGATGTTTTCGATAGACGGTCCCTCTTCGACTCCAACAGCGCGCGTGCGCTAGAACACGGAATAAGCCGGGGGCGACCCCCTCTGCAAGCGATTACAAGCTCTGTTTTAGATGCATAGATTCCAAATTTCCAATATAGCATGCACTATGAAGCTCTGCTCTGCTCATTAAGAGTAGAGTAGGTAGACAGTGGTCCTCACTTCCATGCCAAGCGATCAAAACGAAGTATGCCTGCGCGCAGCCCAACAGCTTCATTGGGCTCGGCCACTATCAGCATATGCCTGGTGATAATCAAGAACAAAATAATACCATACCGACAATGACATTGAGCACGCTGCAATGGATATAAAGGAAAAAAATCTTATAATGATCGCTTGCGAGCTTCCATCAAATAATATTTGGGAATCTGGGAGGCAACTGTCACCTCAATTTGAATGCCTATGCAAAATGGTTATGCGCTTACTTCAGTTAGTTGATTTGAAGCAGATCAGTTCATAAGGTAAGTAGGTAACTGGTTAGATGATGTAACCGAATTACCCAACGTTTCGCTTTCAGAGTTTCCAGGGCGTGCTCCTTGAATACATTATATACGAATTCAGCACAATCTCATGTATAATACGCCTAGAGGACAAAACTTTCTAAAGTAAAATTGGAACGCGTGCTTGAATTAAAATAGCAAGCATGAATGTCAGCCAAAGACCGATCTAAATTTAAACCTATTTTGAAACATTACTGCTATGAAGTTACGTCTTTCAGCTTCCCACTCAAGCAGTGTACCATCGAAATAATAGCTTACGTAAGTATCGATTTCTTCTCTTAGAGTGAACCCTACTGTTGTCTCACTGTGACTGTATACCTAGTGTGTGGGCCTTGCCGGGACTGGATGGGTCCTGTCGTGACTGTGTGGATCCTGCCGTGACTGTGAGGTCCGGCCGTGACGTGACTTTGTGAGTCCTACCGTGACTGTGTGAGTTTTACCGTGACTATGTGAGTTCTACCGTAACTCTGCCCTCCCGTGGCTCAAGGCCATAATATACCCCGTGGCCGTGGCTGTGCAAATCCTGCCGTGACTGTGGATCCTGCCGTGACTGTGTGGAACTGGATGGGTCCTGTCGTGACTGTGTGGATCCTGCCGTGACTTTGAGGTCCTACCGTGACTGTGTGAGTTCTACCGTGACTCTGCCGTGCCGTGACTGCGCAAATCCTGCCGTGACTTTGGTTCCTGCTGTGACTGTGTGGAACTGGATCCTGCCGTGACTGTGGGTTTTGCCGTGACTGCGTGGGTTCTCGCCAGGACCGTGTGTGTATCCTGCCGTGACTGTGGGTCCAACCGTGAATGTGTGGGTCCTACCGTGACTGCGTGGATCCTGTCGTGAATGCGTGGTTCCACTGTTCCCGCCGTGAATGTGCAGTTCCTGCCGTGAATGTGTGTGCGGTTCCCCTCCACCATAAGCAGCGAACCATACCATTGCTGTATGGGTAGTGGGTATTGGGTACTTTATAGCCGTGCCGTGTGGGCGAATATGCCCCAGCGAGACGCCACCGCTGAATGATGCTGCCCGCCACCTGGCGGACGTTTAGAAACCCGTGGTTAGGTACCCGAGGCGAGATGTCGCGACAGGGAGTCCACTACATACATACGTCAGCGAACGACACTGAACACAAATTAAACGAGAGATAGGCCATTTGTAACAAGCAGGTACTTTATTTGCAAACGTCACGTAAAACTGGCACCGTAACATAATGTCTCATTCAACAGAGTACCAGTAACAGATGCTGTTGTTCAGTGTTCACAGCCATCAGACTTGGTTAGCTCCCAAGAACCGGAACCCTCAGTGCAAGAACAGGGTCCTGGGCAAAACATCACAGAAAACCCAACGAGCAGGTGTCGGGACCAGCACGAGTCGTGCTCCGTCGGACGCAGACCACACCGACACGCCGGTCCGGTCACGGTGTCACAGCGACACTCCTCAGGCGGACGCAGACCGGTCACGGTGTCACAGCGACACTCCTCAGGCGGACGCAGACCGGTCACGGTGTCACAGCGACACTCCTCAGGCGGACGCAGTGCGGCGTCACCTCCATGTGTGCCGTGACCGGTCCGCAGATCAGCTGCAGCGTGTCCGGCCCGGTGGGCACCAGTCGCGCCGTGCGCCGGTCCACGGGCCGACCGGGCCGCGCCCCGGCCGGCTGGGACACCATCAGCGCCGCGCACCGGCCCCCGGTCGCCGCCGCCGCCGTCAGCGCTGCGTCCTCGAGCGCGGCGCGCAGGCGGGCCAGCGTGGCCAGCGGCGATTCGGCGGCTGCTGGAGGGGTCCGACCCGCCGCCGGAGGGGTGCGACCCGCCGCGGAGGGGGAGGGCGCTGTCACGGCCGGGGCGTCCAGCAGGATGGCGTCCGGGTAACGTCCGCCGCTGGTGACACTGATGTGCAGGGAGGCCAGGTAACCCAGCACGGCCTCGGCGGTGGGCAGGTAGCTGCGGCGGCGGTAACGGTAACAGTTAGACGGAGGCATCCGATACCTAGTCGGTAGTCGATAAGGACAGTCCAGTCAAAACCATACCAGAAATTGAGGCAAGACGTTGAAAGGAGCCTGAAAAGTAACTTCTGAACACATATATGATTCAACACCCCAAATATGCATCTCGTAGTAACTCACATAAATCTCACGCGGTGCATGGACTCGGAGGCCGGGAGGGGCATGCCGTGAACGGTGGGCGGCAGGGTCTGGAGCGGAGCGCTGGTGATATACAACACGCTGTCACCGGCGGCTGCCAGTGTCACCGCCGCCTGCGACGTACCGAAGAGCAGCGATCAGTGATTAGTGAAAACTGGGAACAAGTTATTAGCAGCTGAATTGATGAATGTCATTTCCCTGTATCATTAATGCACTTCGTCATCACGCTACTCAGCCGAGGTTGCTCTTTGTAACTCAACCAGCTGTAAATGAGTGTCAATGAAAAAATAATAAAAACTATAAGACAAATCAAAAGTTCACAAACATGATAACAAATTTAGCACACCCTATATGTTTTTCTCGCGCAGCTGTTATTATTTCAAAATGTTGAAAAATAATCGAAGAGAAAGGTTATGCACAATCGCCTCCACCTACGATGAAACAATGTGAGCATCTGCAACTATGCTACTTCATATTGCAAATTGAAACAGTCTGAAAATAGCAAAGCAATTATACCAACATTAATAAAAACTCACATGAAAAACAAGTTATTCAGTGTACAGGATGAGCGCGTTCCCGTAAGCTGCCTCAAGCTCCAGGATGGATGCGATTAGAACTATCGCAGGGCCATGCAGTTTCAGTGACAGTTAAGATTTAGCTCAACGAAAAAATCACGGACGTCAGCAGCAATTTGAAATTTGAGAGTCGCAACGCGACCCCTTTGTCGAACCGTACATTTTTGTCAACTATTTACATATATATGCGACACATTGTCAAAGAAAGCGTGCATTATAGCACATCAGGGAGTTCGAACAACAGGCTATAACCACTTCGTAGAGGAGGACATGGCGGAAACGCACGATTTCATATGGTTCCAGTAAAATCAAATCATACTTTGCGTTAATCCGCAGAGCGTTGCCAGCGTTGCAGTCCAAGCCAATCCAAGCGGTCAAAGCCGTATCCTCCAGTCCTCCAGTCAAAACTTCAGTCAAAACCGGTATACGAAAGGCACCAGTTAACTGAAGTGGGGTGGAGCAGGGGTAAGGTTCTAAATACGCTAACAGTCAAAGGCGAGAGCGAAAAATGGGGAAAAAGAAAGGCAAAGCGGCGGGAAAGAAAAAGAAGGTAAAGGATTTGGGACCCACACCAGCGGAAATTGCTCAAATGGAAGGTGAGCTCCAAGCCAAAGTCGCTGAGGTCTCTACAGAAATCGAAGGATTGAAAACCAGCATCGATGAACTGCGTGAAGAAAATCTCAAGCTTCACGAGGAATCCACGACACTCAAGGACGACACCCAAGCGTAAGTAGGTACGCTGTAAATCGAGGGAGACTGCAATGAATAGATCCCCAACTGAGCAACTATGATTGGGGGTCAGGTGTGAGGTGGGTGACTCCGGATAAAAGTGACTTATAAAATTATGAAACAGGTACGCACACAGGTCGTAATTACCCAAATCATACCGACACTGTAAAGTAATATTTTGAGGATTTATTGCTATTACAGGCTTGTATTATATCATTCGATCCGTTGTGAGCGAAAACATAGATAGACCTAATTTTCGCAAGCGCCGCTCGTTGCCACTCGGTGCCTGCCCATCGTTCAGAGCGAATAATGTTTTGCGGTACAGCCTACCTTCAGGCACTAACACGGAAAGCCACCTAGCGGCAAGATTATAAGTTTGCGTTCGCTCAGCGCTCCAGGCGACCGTTGGGCGAACGCCTACTTATAATCCTGCCGCTAGGTGGCTTTCCATTTTAGCGCCTGAATATAGGCTGTACCGCAAAGCATCTATTGGTTTCATCGTGGGTTCGCGTGGAGGGATATCGGACAGGAAAGTAATCATGCAAATAATCATCGTTAAAAGGATGAATTCGACTAGAGAATATTCAAACATTCAATACGTAACATGAAATGCCTGTCCTCAGTTGGTCTACTCAGTTGGTAGAGCGTTGGACTCCCGGTAGCGAGAGCCCGAGTTCGAGTCGCTCCGGCGCTCGATATTTGAGACTCCTGACGGGGGTGGTCTGCGGTTGGTGGGAGCGGCCGCAGCCAGTTGAAGTCAGTTGAGTGGGACAGGCCGTGTTCAGCTTTGAAGGGCAAGTTAATATTTGGCATCTTAATTCTCCCGTTACCCGGAATTGCACGATCGGACGGTAGGGGGACGGTAGGGGCTCCGGCTGTCAACCCGTCCATTCAAACATACGAGCGAAATTTATATAAAAAATATTATCCTGTATACCAGCATACCTACATGAGCCGGCCGTCGCCTTCCCTTTCAGCATGACATCAAAAGACGAGAGAGGTGGCCGTTCCCGTCCACATTTATAAGTATTATCAGGGTTTCCCCAAAAATTCCGAGGTCATTCAGTAAGCAAAGCTGCTTTCTCACCATCCACCACCACCAGTTTCACCGCTATCATTCCAGCTACGTGAGTGAGATGCGGGCGCGCTCGGAGCGGCGCCAGGCGATCCTGCAGGGCATCCAGCTGCTCAAGGACCAGCAGCTGGCGTCGGTACATCAGCAGCGGGCCGACGCGCGCAGCGGCTACCAGCGGCGCCGGGCGGCGCTGCAACACGAGATCACCACCCGCTCCCAGGAGCTGGTGCTGGCGCAGAAACAGCTCCAGGACCTGGAGCCCGTCCGGTGAGCAGGCGACGAGCCCGCGGGAGGGGGGAGGGGGAGCTTGGGACTAGGGGCGGCAGAGACCCCCCAGGGAGATGTGGAGGTATATCCGAGGTATTAGAAAGGACGCTGCGCTTTGCAGGGTTGTGGGAATTACGGAAAGGCGACAGAAATACTGGGAAAACGGGTTTCCGAAGAGGATTTCCAATGAAAAACGATGGAATGGACCCATGTAACACCGTTGCCGCATCAATAATTTCGCAATGCCTGAGCCAATAGTAATAAGCAGCAATAAATCCATATACCGTGGCCCAATTGATCCGGTCTCTGCGCCCTTAAGGAAGCTGCAGCAGGAGCAGAACACCAAGATCAGCTACCTTGAGACCAAGCTGGACGAGGAGAAAAACGTGTACGACACGCAGGTGCTGGAGATGAAGCGGCAGCTCATCAGGTGACCCAGCAGGGACCGGGACTGACGCCCGGCAGACCGGCGTCGTCATAGAATGGTGTTCACCGTGTGGATGTGGTGACTATTGCCGTCCACATTAACGCTCAGGGATGCCACCACATTCACGATTAATTTACGGTTGCTGTTTTGTACTTCCTTCAAAATATAAAAAAGCGGTCCATTATAGTTTTGCATGTTAACTGCTCGAGCGTATTTGAATTCTTAGAAGTTGTTGGTAGGTTGCCACTCGTTTAGTCTCGTAAGTTCCAAATCATAAACAATAATTGATTCGGACGCACATTTGCTCACTCTGATGGTGGGTGCGCTCTCGTTCGCCAGGCTCAAATACTCGCTGCAAGACGAGCTGCAGCGAGAGCTCGACGACGTGAAGGAGCACGCCAGCTCAGTGGCTCAGCAATGCCTCGGGTGAGTTAGCACAGCGCGGTGCCTCAGACATGTTGGGGACGTGCTAGCCAGATCAGTGGCCGAGTAACGAACGGGAAAATTTGTGTCGATAAGTGACTGAAAAGGTGCCTGGGACGCAGTAGGCATATATCATTCTTTCTTTCAGAAAAAGACGCGTAACCCGAGGTAATTTCAGAACACAGTCAGATACCCCACACCCGGACCCGAGAGGTGATCGTTCTGCCATGAGTGCCAAATCGTCCCAGTATTACTTTACTAATGGCACCCGGTCTGTCAGTACTGACCGGCGCCCGTCGCCCCTCCCCCCAGGAACTACGTGAGCCGGGTGCGTGAGGAGAACGCCACACTGCGCGGACAGCTCAAGGAGCGTATCGACGAGAACAAGCTACTCGAGTCCGAGTTCCGGCGCCAGAGTCACATCCGCAACGAGCAGCTGCGCGAGCGCTCCTACCGCAGCGGCATCATCCGCCGGCTGCAGGAGAAACTGAGCCAGCTGTAGCCGGCTGCAGGAGAAGCTGAGCCAGCGGTAGCCCGCAGGCTGGCCGCCGGGGGCGGGGTTAGGGACCCGGCTGGCGGCTGCTGGGAAAGCACAGCCGCCCGGCAGGCCGCATGGAAGGGGACAGGGGGCGACCGGCGGGCAGATATGTTGGGATGAGTGGACTGTACTGTAATGTTCACACAAAGTCCAGAATCCATAACAATGTGCTGTAGTAATCTAAAGTTTGGTATCTAGCATGCACGAAAATCACTAAATTTGGGAAATGAGCCATAATAGAAAGCATAAAATCTGTAAGTCATATTACTTTTATGTTGAGCATTAGTCTCCAGAGCAAAACCTGCCCTAATGTGTTGCAGCTTTTCCTTGTATAAGAAGTGTAATCATGATTAATAGTTATTAGTTACCTTTGTTACTTGGGCAATGGGTTGAAGGAGCAGTCTTGTGGTGGTGTAAATGAGGTGGGACCTGGGAATAATGGTAAAGCAGGTGCTTACCTGGAAAAGCAGAGCAGACCTTATTGAAGCCTCACTCTCTACCGCAAGCAATGTTACTGGACTCCATGGTCTTGGTTGGAATGAGCAGTGCAAACTTGATTTTCCATTTTGATTTGGAAAACATTCCACTGGCTTGATAGACATACATGAAAGTGGCAGCATTTTAAAAGGAGAGGGTGAACATCACTTATTGCTTGAGTAAATGCCTCTTGTCCATGGCTCTGTGTTCCTTGCAACATAGTTACCATCAATTAAATACCTGTAAATGGGTAATTTTCTCAAATTAGGGGTTACCACATCATGCATTGGTTGCAGATCACAGCCACTAAGGGTAATCAAATAGGATTTATCAGTTATAGCAGGGTTAGACTCAGCATCAGCTTGCATTACCATTCATCATATTTTTTTGGCATCGAGGCTATTACATTTCTGAAAAGCCACCAGCAAGAAGCCACATAAAATGTAGTCTCAATAGAGAACTTGACATTCTATAGGTACGGTTCGCCATGAGTGGTGTAACAAAAAATTTTAATTTTCAGATGCCAATTTACCCAACAGAGAAATCACTAGGAAATTGCTAGGATTTACCCAAAGTCATCCCGATGGTTATGTCTCATGGATGTGAAAAATAATATCAAATCACCCAGCCTCATGTTTGAACAACAGCAATATTTTTCACAGGGTTGTTAAAAGTTGACGAGAATTCAAAGAAATAAAATAACAGCAGCTGGCGATTTTTAGCTGGTATAACTGGACTTTGATCTATTTCATTTCTGTTATTTTGGGTTTCCACAAATCAGTAGGCGGAACTATGGTCAAGCGTACCCATTTTCGGGAACGCATTTTCGTTCCCATGTTTGGGAACGATAAACCCAAATATGGGAACGCCATGTAGGCAATATTTAAAACAAGAAAAAGAACCGTTAAATGACGTCAAAAAATAGAAAACGATCGTGAACCGCCTGATATTTGTCGCAATATTGTTGGGAAAGAGTTTGATATTGTAAGGCCCATCGTAGTTTCAAATCGTTCCCCTATTTCTAAAGCAGTCCATCATCCGGGCCGCGAGCCCAAATTTGGGAACGCTCTCGTACACTGGCGCTGCAAGCGTTCCTTATTATGGGAACGGCGTACCCATAATTGGGAACGATTTCACCGACGCCTTTCAGGGGCTCTTTTCATTAACAAGCATCACATCCAACGCCGCAAATTATTGTTAACGCAACAATCATCAGATGACCTTTCCGGCAAGACCGTCGCATGTTTCGCCCGGTCTTCTGCGCTTTTATTCCCGTCGATCTCGCAGCGGGCACGCCCCCTCTGCAGGATTACGTAATGCACAACGCTCAGCGATGTTCAACAAGGTCTTCCATACCTATATCCACCGTCCGTGCCGAGGGTGGAGACATGTCAAGCACCTGTCTGTTTATCACCGATAGTTGACGAGTACAAGGAAGTATCCAAAAATGGGAACGCTGAATATGTTACACCCTCAAAACACCTAGTCCCAATGAAAATCTAGTTTTTTCCTTTCTTAATGAGTGTAAGTGGCAAAAAGCCTGGTAGGATGGGCACGAGGAATGATCAAAATCAGCATAGAAATTAAAAATAAGCCACACAGCGACCTATAAAGAGAAATTCCCCCAAAACGATCATGCTTAGAAACACGGAAGTCAAAAACCACGCTCATGACGCTCCTTATAAAACAACGCTAAACAGCTAGCATCCAAATAAAATATGTCTTTCCGGGCTGGTAAAATACAGCTGAATAATTTTCGACCACTTAAACTGAGTTTACAACAGTAGTTCGGTAAAATCACGCACGTTCTACGCGGTCGTCCGCCTCGACACCAAATGTCAACAATATTACCTTGGGACTGTCCGCGTGTTCACTTGCATCTATCAGCATCTGGTGTCGCTAGGATGAAACTTCATAACCAGGCGAAAATTATTATACTCGACCTCAAAATGTAACAAAACGCTTCATTTTCCTTAAAATTGCATGTTAAATGTAGTGTACCTAACCCATGTTTTCACCATTCCGTCATTTCAAAAAATCATTAAAAATATCATTCGACGGTCAATTTCCTAGTTCAACGGTCAGATTAAAGATAATTTTATAGAGACTTAGTACATAGATACTTAAATTAGCGTGCACTTTTTTGAGATGTGATGCACTAATGAGTTTTAGTGGGCGAACGGCCGAAAAATTACCTTCCGTTCTCATAAATGGGAACGCCCGTTCCCATATTTGGGAACTCCGTTCCCAAAAATGGGAACGTTCCTATATTTGGGTACTCATGACCATAGTTCCACCTACTGAAATAAGAATCTCAATCTTGTCCACGATGTTTAGTCGTTGACTGACATTTTCCTGTTTCAAGGCAGTTTGGGTTTAGTTGCATTTTATCTGTTCTAAATCAAGGACCACCATTCTCTTCAGGTCGATTACAGTTTCACGAACGCTGTTTCACGCTATTTAAAACCCAAGTTTCAGTATTTTCATTTTTTACCAATATTTTTTGGTCTAAGCTCAGGAGAACTGTAAAAGCCCGCCAGCATTTTTTGCCTGCATCACAACTGTCTTTTTCGCGCCAAGAATGTCGCTTCAGCAGAAGGTTCGAGGCCGCTAAAACAAAACTCCCAAATATCATCAAAAATCAAAATATCAGCGCCCAGTTTCGCATGTTGTTTGTTCATAATTTATTGCTCACTACTGCCAATAGTGAGCCGACGTTGCTTAAATAAGTCTCAGTACCATGGAAACTCGAAAGGCATGTAGTGCAGCCCCTCTCAAATCACACATCTTCCCTCAACTACCCTTCAGTGAGCATCATAATGAATCGGCAGCATTAGGGTTAGGGATGATAATTTGGCACTTGCCATGCCTAGATATGGGTAGAGTGTAATGCAAAATAGGCAACATAACAGGAATGTCAGCAACACGAAAAGCCAATTTTAATAATTGATTTGTGAACTTACAACATTTCCATTATCCTTTATCAGAATCCCGATCAAGAGAAAAAGACGCACGTCGCACACATTCCCTGAAAATTGAAATCCCGCATCAGCATGAGCAGTTTTAGCTCAGAGATCATGGCCTTAAAGGCCAACACTGCGCATTAAAAACATCTGAATAATAGAACAACTAGAATATATTTCGATTAATGGATCACCAGTCTGGCACAGTATGATATTATAGCCACGACTTTGCTACGACGCCATCCCGAGCTTAACAGGATGCGGCTGCTTTAGTCGCGGAAACGAGCTGCGTCAGTCAAGGACAGATGCTGCTCCATAGGCCGATCACCTTCGTTAACGAAGAACAACTCAATCATTAACTGCGGCGCCCAGCGAGAAGTAATCACCCCTGCAATCACTGATATCACTGGTCCAAGGACGACCCTCGATTCCAGTGACATATTCGTTCCAAAAGCCGCCCTTGGTTCCGAACCCTCCCCTCGCTCGGCTGGAGCGCTGACAGTGGCCGGCGGTCTACTCGCAGAGGACGCCTCATAACCGGCGCCTCCCCCCCCCCCTTCCCCGCCCTACGGTCCCCAGATACATGTTCCCGACCCTGCGTCCACACGCTACCGACAGCGGGCTGCCACTGAATCTCACACCGCGCACCAGGCTGTCCACCTTCTCACACCGCTCAGTAGGCGAAGCGGCGCTCGGCCGCGTAGCCGAGCTTCTCTAGGTTGGGCTGGCAGGCAAAGTTGACCATGGGAGGCGGGCCGCACATCACCACCAGCGTGTCGGGGCCCGGCGGAGGCAGGTGCTCCTGGATCATCTCGGCCGTCACGAATCCGCTGCTGTACTGCCAGTCTGCGGGAGCGGGGCAGAGGGGTCAGATGGTCACAGTTCGTGGGTACGGCACACAGGGACGGGGCTGAGTGAGGCAGTCATTCACTAGGTCGCCGGGTCACACCGATTCACAATCTCATGAGATCCCTGTGGGTAGCTAGAGGGGTCCCCAGGCCCAGATCCCTATCGCTAACATTCCACCGGGTCCCTTTGACTAAGAGCACATTGAGGTCCTGCCGCCGTGCCTCGCAGACTCCTGGCGTCGGTTTCCCAATCGCCGCCATTGCAGGAGCTTTACCGAATCTCAACTCGGGGGTCTGACTGCGTCTCGACTCTCAACCGCCCGACTCCCACAGTGTCCCCACCACTGACTCACTGCGTCTCGACTCTCAACCGCCCGACTCCCAGTGTCCCCACCACTGACCCTGCGCGGGCCGGTCGACGGTGTACCAGAGCTGGAACCGGTCGCGGTGCTCGTCCCTCAGCTGCTCCAGCTCGTCTCGCAGCAGGATGTCGTCCTCGGTCTGGTTGGCGAACAGCAGCCACAGCTCCGTGCTGTCCGACGGGTCCTAATGGGGAGAGATATAAATACATCAGATATCATCATCAGACAGCACCAGGCAGCACCAGGCAGCAGCCACAGTTCCGTGCTGTCCGACGGGTCCTAAAGGGGAGACAGACATACATCAGACATCAGACAGCAGCCACAGCTCCGTGCTGTCTGACGGGTCCTAAAGGGGAGACAGGCATACATCAGACATCAGACAGCAGCCACAGCTCCGTGCTGTCGGATGGGTCCTAAAGGGGAGACAGGCATACATCAGACATCAGACAGGCTGCAGCTCCGTGCTGTCCGACGGGTCCTAAAGGGGGGAAAGAGCACACATCAGACAGCACCAGACAGCATCTGCAGTCAGCAGCGACAGCTCCGTGCTGTCGGACGGGTCCTGAGGGGGATAGAAAAACACATCAGACAGCAGCCACAGTAGCCATGACAGCTCCGTGCTGTGGGGCGGGTCTTAAAAAGGGCAGATATACATTAGGTATGTTACATATCAAACGCCAGCCATAACACATCTCCATCCCATACATACTACTCGGTGCCAATCAATGTCGCATCTTGTCATTTTTGTTGTGTACTTATTATATTTGCCTCCTTTTCCGTATGAACGGCGCACCCGGAGCGCTACCGAATTAATGTTCATACACTTGGAAATGACAAACCAAGGACGGGCGCTTCATCTACCTCCCTATCGCCAGCCCCATCCCTCCCTCTCCCTCTCGTACCTTGAACACCTGCCGGATGAGCTGCAGCATCGGCGTGATGCCCGTGCCGCCGGCGATCATCCCCACCTTACCGGCCAGCACCGTCTTCGGGGGAGTGCGTTTGTCGGGGCGGACACTGAACTCGCCCGGCCCGGTGTACACCAGCAGACCTGCCGGGGGTCACGCGGGGTCATGCTTTTCTTCTCACAAAACGATTTTTTCAAATACTATTCCAGCCCGTATATAATCTGGTAATTAGAACGGCAGCTACTCACTAAGCCTTTATAGTTCACACTTCTGCCGCTACCGCACCTACGGACCCACCCAGTCAAAACTGAGAGCCAACATTCGCGCTACGTTATAAGCCCGCAGTGGCTTCCGGTGACCTGTCGGGAGCGGGGAGCCGACTCACCGGAGGGGCCGCGAACATCCACCGTCTCTCCCAGCGGCAGGTTCTCCAGGTACTGGGACATCTTGCCGCCGTCAGGGAACTTGGGGTGCACGTTCTTAAAGTACACCTGGTAAGCACAAGACGGGAAGGGTGGAGGTCAACCATGGAGACAAAAATCAGCCAATAGTCCTGGTGGTATTATAGCTAAACAAACAGTGCTATATTTGCAGCTCTACAGTTTCGATCGCGACGACCAATACCAAACCAATAATAACTGCAGTCGCTACACTATCATGCAACTTTTTCAATTATTGTCCATAGGTAATGTTTCTTGACGATTGCGCCAAACCCCGCAAAACGACATCGTGTCCACATAAACCATGCCCGTTGGCGTGGTTTCGTTGTTCCGACCAACCCCACCCCACTAAATTGCCAGTCACGCCCCTGGCTAAAGTTCAACAGACACTTGACTGGCAATCAGCCGTCACTGCCGGACCGGGACAGCTGGCACGGACGAGGCCGCCCCGACCGTCCGCCGAAACAGTGCTCGGCAGCTGCCGTCATCAGCACAAGCCGTCCTATTCAGCTTCAATGAGACTTCATTTGTGATACATTTTAACCCAGCTGGCCTAGCAAACAACTCTTGTAATGCAACGTCAAGTTCACCAGTCCAGCTACTGTCAATACCGTTCTGGTGGGCGTTGCCCATGGCCGCCAACAGCCCTCAACAGATTAGCCAAGTCACTCGGAGCGGCCAAGTCCCACAGCACCCACCTTAATGACGAGGTCCATGTATCCGAAGTCATCGTCGCTGGAGACGGGCGTGTACGGCCGGATCACCAGGTTGCCGTCGATGCGGGCGGAGAGGTAGACGTGCTGACCCACCGGCAGGCCTGTAAACGAAACGAGAGCAGCGTGCGAGTCATCGCTACTGCTGTCCGCTCGCTGTGGTGTCTAAAAAGGGTGCATCAGATGGTAATATGGCGGTCAGCAAAGTACATAAACCAGCCACGTCCCAAACCATTGTGTATCTGAATAGTGATTTCGGTAGTAACATTGCTTGACCACGAGCTACGTTCGCCAGGAAGCACTAGCATGTTGTGTGCTGTGTCAACACTGCCTGCGAATCAGTGATTTATACCGAAGTTCCTTACCAGATCCGCCCTTTTCCGCCCAGTTGCCACGTCCGTTTCCTGGCCGCGCCTTTCGCGGTCGCCATTCATCCTCCGTGGCGGCCCGCTAACAAAATATACTCCCCCATCCAGCGCCATTTAACGATGATGCTCAGTCACCGTGACAAAAAAAAACTCGGCCTTTGTCGGCCTGTGTCTCTCTGCCTCGTTTGTCTATACTGCCTTGCCTTCGACCCTACTACCAAACACAGCGGTTCTGTGACACGGTGCTCGGCTTAGTATGAGCTGTGCCGACTCTCCGTGGTGACGTCACTTGCGATCTGTATCATGCCCTTCTGTACGATGCGTCGGGAACATTAACGACCTATCACGATTTTCGCTGGCCATCTGTGTCTGGACATTACGGAATCAAATGGCCGATCGGATAGGCCGCCACCCGCTCCCCTCCCCCCTCACACCTGGGCTGTGGGACGGGAAAGGGGAGGGGGGAGGGGAGGAGATACCGGTCACCCGACACCGCTCGCCGCCGCGGCCGGCCGGCGCACAGTGGGCGTTTCAGGGGTTCTAGCCTCTCACAACCTTTCAACCCTTATAGCCTTGGATCTAGGAGACCTACGCCTACGAATTACACACCAAACTGTAGCAAATTCATTAAAGAACGTGAATGCATGACGTTTCCCATGTTATAAGCTTTCGCAATGTGCAGGAACTGCATGAAATGTTGCATAAACGTGGCAAAACGGAGCACTTCCATTCCCCCTTGCGGTTTGGCCCCTGATGGAGCTAGAGCTTTGCGGAAAAAACGAGCTTGCTTCCCGTGATGAGACGAAGCCGATGATACCCAATTTTAAGGTCCTAGGTCATTGGTTGACCTTCCAGGTCAGGTCAATTACCCAAAATTCGGGAAAATCGGACCTGTTAAAACATCGTAAAGTGAGGTTGCTTTGGGGCTTTTCGGGGTGCTGATCACGAATTTCATGCTAGTTTTGATCACAGATGATTTCTTCATGCATTTAGGCCAGGTCGGGTCAGGTCAGGTCAGGTCAACCAGTATGCGCCCTGCCGGGTATTCATAGTAGGTGTCAACCGCTACTGACAGCCTCGTAACATGATAAGAAGGCACCAAAACTACTTCGTAAATGCTCAAATGGTCGCTAAATTCGAAATCAGCTCCAAAAACTAGCCTAGAAACATGTAAAACTCGAAAAAGTGAACCGAGGTCACCAAAGGTCAATGACCTGACCTGACCTTCAGGTGACCTTGACACCCAGCATAATGCATGGAACCAACATCATTTCACATGGTTGAACGTTTGAAACCACAAAAAGACTGCAACCGCGCGGATAATGTGAGCCGACACGCCGAATCGCGATTCCGGCCAAACATGGTCTCGAAAAATAGGTCACAGGTCAAAGGTGATTTGGGTCAGGGTCATGAAATTTTCAGTGTAGGTGTAAAATTGATTAACCCGAATGTACTGAAAGTTTCGTCTTGATCGGCCACTTTTTGCGCGAGTTATTCGCGAAAAAACGAGGGTGGTCCGTTCGACCCCTTATAAGTCCGAGGGTTAAGGTTTTGAGTCGTTGACCTCGAGTCAAAGTCTGGTAAGAGTCCCTCAGGTCACGAACTTGGTCAGAGGAGGTCGACTGTCTAACTTACTTTGTTCCGGAGGTATTGACGGAAAACTAATATGGCCCTTGTGACGTCATAAATGACGTCATGCAAGGTTAGCAATGCAAAGGTGTAGCACCGTACCTTGCAGGGAGCGCATGAAACCATGATTCCATGTGCTTGAGATAGTTTTAGATCATTCCTGGCGCTAAAATAACAGTTTCCATATTTCCCTCATTGACTTATAACGGTGAGATCACGTGACCGACCTGACCGCATGTGAACTTTAGCAAAAAATCCGAGATATACAAATTGTGAGACCTCGGAGTATGCTACGTCCTGTAAGTTCCATCTTCCTGTGAAAGTTCCTTTGGCACTGAGGGCGTTGCGACGTTGCGACATCTGAGGACCGTGCAGAGGTTCACTTATGACGTCATAGGTCAGCGACCTGACCTGACGTGACCTGAAAATGCGGTTGATTTGACCAGATCCGGCTTGAATCAAAGGTCAAGTATGCCAAGTTTCAGCTCTTTATCGGCGGCGTGTTGTGAGCTATCACGTTAAAACCTATAAGGGGGCAGCACCCCCCCCCCCCTCGGCCTCGGGGGGGGGGGGCGTGACTTATGCAGAATTTCCCATTAACTCATGTGCAATACTTCTCATTTTTTTAGGAAACAAAATGTGTTTGAGGTTTCGCGAGCCCAGACCGGCCGGATCGCCCACTGTGCATCGCCTGAGGCCTTTCTGGTCACGTGACAGCTCATCCTCCGGTCAATTAGAATGCTTCTGACCCACGAGATAACACTGGCTGGTGTTACTGTCATCACTTGAAATAATATAAGCTAAAATGCAGGCTGATTTGTTCGCTCCCGTCACTATGGAGCTAATAAAGGCTAGACAGCGTATTGCAAAATGTTGCATAGCAGCAAATGGCGCAAGTTTGCGCACTTTTTTATTGCTTGGCCGGTTCAATAACATCACAATGCACATTGTGACACACGATTTAGAGCGGGACCTGGGGGAACTCAAAAGATCGGCTTTAACATAGTGAGTGATATTCATTTTAAGCATACAAAATAACTCGATGACATGTTTATCTCTCATGCTGCTAAATGATTTTCGCAACTTCATTTTTCGTTGCGCGGAATTGGTCGTAACATGTCACAGAACAACTCATAAAACCATTTACGTGTAAAACTCACGCGCGTAGGATCCCCATAGCATCTACTTTGAGTCTTCAAACACCCGAAAACTATGGCTTGTTTACGGCCTAAGAAATCTTTGTGTTTGAAGCCCCTTTCACCCTATACCAAGTTGTTGCATGACCAGATAATGGTCATTTATGTAATGTATGGACATTTTGTAGTCGATTGGTATGCTTTTTGTTTTCATAAAAGCAAAATAATTTTTTTGCCCCGTAAGAGGCTAGACCGGCCCGAACGCCTACAGTGCGGCGATGCATCGATGCTATCACTACGAAACCCGCTAACTACATTGGAACGGTTCGCAAACAGTCGGCACATTCGTAGACGGCAACTCGTAATTATGAAAAAACTGCCGCGGCGCATTTTTGACACGCACTGCCACTGGCGGTCTCTTTCTACCATTTTCCACACTCACCGAGCACGTGCTCCTTGGAGGGCAGCGCGAACCGGAAGCGGCGCGTGTCGGGGCTCAGCACCAGCTTGTCGATCAGTCGCAGAGGGTACTTGACATTGGGGTCCTGCAGGGCGCGCGGCGGGCCGCGGCTCTTCCGGCGCCAGAGGTACATTTTGGCGGCCAGCGCAGTGACAATCACCACGCCGAGACCGGCCAGCACCGGACGCACCTGCAGCGGCATGGCGGCGGCCAGTCAGCGCGCGGGTCACCGTAGGTCACCACAGGTCACAGCGGATCGCCGCGGGTCACGGGAGGTCAGCCTGAGCGTCCGGCGGCCACAGAGCGTCAGAAGCGACAGAGCAAGGGGGGAGGTTCCTGTCGGCCGGTCGGCTGGCCGCTGGCAGACCCGGCTCGGACAGAAATAGCCCGGTGCCAGAACCCCACCCCGGGCATCGGTCCAAAATCACCGGCACGGTGACAGGCATGAATAAGCCGAAGGACTCACGCCGACAATGACAGGCGCCAACGACGACAGACACAGAGGTGGACAGGGCAGCGGTGGCGGAACTCACCATTGGCGGTACATCGTCCAGCGACATGGCACGGTAAGCGGACTGTCAGCGTGAGCGACCAGCGGCGGCAGCGGGGCCCGTCAGACGCGCACTGCGGCAGGAGAGGGGCGCCGTCAGATCGCCCGCCAGGGGGCGCCGGCGACAGGGCACGGGCGCCGGACGAACGCACTCACCCTCCGACGACTATGAGGGAGTCACGGAGTGTAATGGGAAAACGTGTAATTGGGTCCTGGACGACTGAAGGAGTTATTCTTTCTCAGGCATGCTTAAAGCTTTCCGGTTGAGGAGAGCGAGTACTCCTCCCCACATGGTATTGTCGTGATTACTCAGAACGTGATGACGGTAGAGGAAGAGAGCTAAACGCTGGCGAACTTGACCTTTGATTCAAGCGAGATATTGTGAGATCAACTGCATTTTCAGGTTAGCCCAGGTCACTGGTCACACAGCCAAAGTTCATAAGTAAAACTCCGCTGCACATATATTTACCTATATTAGGTACCAAAACATAACTAGCACCATTGAAGCAACCAAATATAAATTTAAATAGGCACCTATTGGCGTTGAAAATGGTTCACCGTGAACCATTTTCAATACTACCAGGATTTACATTTGAAACAAATAAGACTGCCAGCATTTAGTCATGCTAAAGGGCAGACATACCTATGCCTAATGATCGGACTGGGTAAAAAATGAAAAAAATTACTTGTTTTGGCAATGTCTAAAGACATTACACAATTAAAATAATAAGAATAAAATAACTAATGTCAAACAAAAAGCTTTCAGTTTACATTTTCTTCAACTTGCAATTAATGAACCAAGCAAGTAAAACGTGGGCGAGTTGAAGAATGTTTCAAGGCCGACAGCTCCTCCACTACCTGGCCTTTTTGTTACAATTTTGAGTTTGGCAGGAAAACTTTGTTACTTTAATTAGAACTGGAGAATGCAACCTAAATCGTTTGATCTCAGTTGCCCAACCAGCGACCATGGATGAAGTATTCCTGGATAGGACACTCCCTATGGCCTATCCCCAACACTAGCGCCGGCGACTAAGCGGCCGCCCTGGTGGCGGAGCGCCGAAGCATCTGTGGCAAGTGCACCGGCGGCCGCTGCTTTGGTGCGCATGCTGGAAACGTGGTAATGTAGAGTGAAATTAGCGAGCTTAAGCTCGTGAGACACAATTTCCAACACTTAAAATATTTTTAGTCCTTTCTAATATATTGTGGCTTCATTTAGACACTACCACATACGGCACCATTGGACACGATCTGCCCAGCGCCCATAGCACGCAATGCTAAATGGCGCCTACGCCCTCGCCGTCGTGCGTGGTCGGAAAATCGACGGAGTGTCCCATCCAATAATACCTAATCCATGCAGCAACCCTGCCTGAGTCGCTCCTTGTCCTACCCAGCACTTCAACTTGTCTGGTAGGTATCCTTGATCGGTGCTCCCAAGACCCAAGTCCCAAAGTTATTAGAAAATATTGTACTTAAGAGTCACTATACAGAAAAAATCCTACAGACAAAATATGAACTAACCACATTACCACACCGCTTTGAACCACACTTACAAATGTTAAACAACACACACAAACTTTGATTTGCTCGTTTTTGTTTTAGCAATGCGCTCGTTGAAGATTTATAGATGCATCAAGGGTATGTCTCAACGATGGATTTAATGCAAAAGCTAAAGTGATGACATCATTTATTGAATTTCATAGGAAACAACGCAGAACAACTTTACTTTGAGGAAAATGAGCGAATAGTAGGATCGCATTTTGATGATGTCATAAAACCAATAACTGCATGATAAGAATTTTCGACAGAAATGGTGCATTTGCGACAGTTTTTGCGACAACTGTAGATGAGCAGCACGAAAAATAACTAGAGACTGGGGCCGCGCCGCTTCAGCTTGGGTCTTTTCTGATAAGTGTGTTTGTAATTCGTTTTGATCTACGGCGAATGGACCCAAAGTATTGTGGCGAGCCATAGGAATTAATTTTTTATGATTCCCTAGCAGGTCAATGGAAGCATTTTGGCATAACGCTGATGTCTAGGTAGGTACCTAAGGTACACTTTACGCGGTAATAATGTCATATTTTAGTTGTGTGAGGAACAAGTTGCATTGCATAGTTTTTATTTTGGGGCACAGGTTAACAAATGTCAAGGTGATGTCAAAGGCAACCAGCATTGGCTCAGAAAAGCACCTTTCTCGTCTTTTTCTACATCCCGCTTCAATTTCATTCATCACGGCACCATCACGGTATATCACGGTGCCGCCTTTAGGCCAGAGTTCCAGGGACTAGGTCCGCTCTCTGTCTCTGTTCTCCGTTTAGCTGGAACCGCTCTGAGGGGACCGACTGGCCGTCCTCTCCCTCTGTCCGACCGGCGAGGAGTCGCAGCAGGGGACCGCCCATCTGCGGGCAACCGTGCAGCAGCAGCAGGGCGGTCAGCAGCGGCGCTGCCGCCCGCACCCCGTACCAGGCCACCACGGGCGCCAGAATGCTGGGCACCTGTAGAGAGTAGAGTGTAACGAACGTGACCGAGCCGGCGGCGTGCAGCAGCGCGTGCACGGCGGCCTGCCGGAGCGCCGGGTCGGCCAGCGGGCCACCGCAGCGGCGCCGGAGCCAGGCCGCTCCGAGCAGGGCCATTAAGAAAACCAACAGGGCCGGCTCGGCGGCCAGCGGCAGCCACTCGGAGACGCTGCTGAACCCGCAGCCGCCCAGCGGAGCCAGCTCCACCCAGGCGCGCCAGCCGACCACGGCCGCCAGAGGAACGCCCACCGCCATGGCGCCGGCGGCGAGCAGGGGCGCGGTGCGGCGCGGCAGCGGCCGGCCGCGCGCCAGCCGGACCACCAGCAGCGCCTGCAGCAGGTGCACCAGCAGCGGCGCCAGCGAGTCGAGCGGCTGCAGCGCGGCGCAGGCGGTGGCGCCCAGCGGCCAGCGGCCGACCAGCGCCGCCACGAACTGGGGCCCGTGCAGCAGGCAGTTGGCGGCGGTGGCGGCGGTGACGGCCAGCAGGTGCCGCAGCAGGTCGGCGCCGGCCGGCCGGGCCCACCGGTAGCGCACGGCCCGCCGGTACAGCGCGGCGGTCAGCGCGGCGTGCAGCGTCCCGGCCAGCAGCAGGCAGACCAGCAGGAAGCCGAGCAGCACGGTGGCCACGTGCCGCACCGCCGCGCCGTCCCCCTCCAGCGGCCGCGGCGGCTCAGCCGGCGCCTCCAGCGACATTTGCCTCTGAGGAGCACTGGCTCGATGTTTCCAACGTTTCCACAAGAGAAGTTGAAGAGCTTACAGTGGGTTCAACGTTGAACTTGAGACACCTGACGATTAGCTAGGGCCTTGCTGTCTTCGGTTGATTATCCGGTCGTAGAAGGCTCAAATCGACGGAGTTGCAAGTTCCGTGATTCACAGGTCTTCTGACTCTGCAATTCCTCCGCCTGTGGTCGCATGCTGGCAAACAGTAGATCTTCCCAATAACTAGGAGCGCATATCACTCCTCTCGAAGCACACGGCGACGGCACCTCACTCTACCCCCGCCTGTCGGACACCGCTCCCGGCGGCGCGGCGTCGGACTCTGCCGTCCCGGGCCGAACTCACGCGGCCTCTGTCACGTCTGACGGCCATTGTGACCAGCCTGACAGCCCGGTGACGGCCGGTGTGTCGCTCACACGCTACGCCGCAGCTCTCTGTCACAGGCTCACATGTCTGTGCCTGACAGGCTAAATAACGAAGTTTAGACTGCGAGGTGTCCGACGACTTTTTAGAAGAGTGATTGTTCGTGTTTTCCGGATAAGGTTCCGGATACCATGGCTGTGTTCGAACTTGGTCAGCTGGCAAATTTTATTAAATGCATCGCTTTGAAAAAAAAATCATTAGTAGGTACTATAAGGATATATATTATGGCACACTCAAAACATGTCAAGCTTTGGGTTTCACAAGACATCTATGTCACATGATGGTACAAATAGAACATGCAATATTCGGCACACACCGCGGGCGCCATTTCGCAACGTTCATATTTATGGTTCGCCCCATAAACTCAACAAACAGCACTGCGCAATAAACGGACATATATTACAAACGATGCAATATGCATTAAACATTCTTAAGTACAAACAGACGCGTGGGTTAAGTAACTACGTTCGTACGCATGGCGCACAATGAATTGCACATCACATACAACAGATGGTAAGCATGCTATGAAAAGCGTCACATATTCTCGAGAAAAACATCTCAAACATCATTATGTACAGACATTACACTATCTGCCGTTCAAGCGCTTGCATTTCCACTTGCTCAATACTTCAATAGTCAATAACATACAAAATATCATTTACATCACTGTTAGTCATCGGGTCTGCTTTGCTGCAAGCTGCAGTCAAACATAATACAGTGTGACTAACCAGGGTTATTGCACTTAACCTGCGCGTCGTTCGTGAGTCGCTAACACATGTTAAAAAGTAAAAATACAATCAACGGTAATGGCCCCAAAAAAGACCGCAAACCCGTCTGCTGCAACAAAGTCTCTTGCTTGATTCGGCATCGTTTGGAGGTCGCCTGATCTCTCACCTCCTCGCCGTGAGACGCCGCGGCCGTCTACTCCAGCTCTGCCACTCGCTGCCGCAGCTCGTCCAGCTGGTGCGCCACCTGGTTGGGCAGGTCGTCTCCGACCTGGTCGGCCAGGTAGCGGCCCACCTCCTCCACCTCGCGGCGCCAGAAGTCGCCCGGCAGGCTGAACAGCTGCTCAAGGTCGGGCCGCTGCGGCAGGCCGTCCAGCCGGAGCGCGCCCTCGGCCGGCAGCCAGCCGACGGCCGAGCGGCGCGCGCACGGCTCGCCCTCCACCCGGCGCAGCACCCAGTCCAGCACGCGCACATTCTCGCCGAAACCGGGCCACAGGAACTGGCCCGAGGGCGACTTGCGGAACCAGTTGATGTGGAAGATCTTGGGCAGCCGCTGGCCGCGCTGTTCCATCGACAGCCAGTGCGACAGGTAGTGGCCGAAGTTGTAGCCGAAGAACGGCCGCATCGCGAACGGGTCGTGCATGATCACCTTGCCCTTGTGCTCGGCGGCGGCTGTCGCCTCAGACCTGGAAACAGGGGAGGAATCGGTTTTTAGTATTTCGCACCTCATGAGCTGCTAGTTTTCAAGTTTCAGTGGCATTCTTCTTCGAAGGCTTTAAATGAGTATTTTAGCGAAGTAAGAAAATGCCTAAAAATATTTAAACACTTGAAATCCTCCAGCATTTTCATAAGTTTAGACCTATTCCCTGAAAAGCTCACCTCATGGCTGCTCCGAGCAGGACGCCGTGCTCCCAGTTGAAGGCCTCGTAGACGAGCGGCACTCCCTCGGGCCGGCGGCCGCCGAACAGGATGGCCGAGATGGGCACCCCCTCGGCCGACTCCCACTGCGGGTCGATGATGGGGCACTGGCCGGCCGGCGCGCAGAACCTACTGTTGGGGTGCGCGGAGGGTGCGCCGCTGCCGGGCGTCCAGGGCCGGCCCTGCCAGTCGGTGACGCCGGCGGACGTGTCCACCTCCTTCTCCAGGCCCTCCCAGTAGACGCCGCCGTCGGCCGTGCGCGCCACGTTGGTGAAGATCGTGTTGGAGGCCACGGTGGCCATCGCCACCGGGTTCGTGGTGGATGAGGTGCCCGGCGCCACGCCGAAGAAGCCGTTCTCGGGGTTGATGGCGCGCAGCACGCCGTTCTTGTCGAAACGCATCCAGGCGATGTCGTCGCCGACGCACTCCACCTTGTAGCCGGGCAGCGACGGCTGCAGCATGGCCAGGTTGGTCTTGCCACAGGCGGACGGGAATGCGGCGGCGATGTAGCGCTTGTGACCGGCCGGGTTGGTGATGCCCAGGATCAGCATGTGCTCGGCCAGCCAGCCCTCGCGCCGGGCGATCGTCGATCCGATGCGCAGCGCGAAGCACTTCTTGCCGAGCAGCGAGTTGCCGCCGTAGCCGCTGCCGAAGGAGAGGATCTCGCGGCGCTCGGGCACGTGTGCGATGAGCGTCTTTGCCGGGTTGCACGGCCACCGGATACCGGAGGGACCGGTGACCGGCTCTGGGAGACCCACCGAGTGCAGGCACTTGACGAAGTCGCCGTCACCCAGCGTCTCCAGGACCTTGCCGCCCATCCGGGTCATGATGCGCATCGAGGCGACCACGTATGGCGAGTCGGTGAGCTCGATGCCGATCTTGCTGAGCGGCGAGCCGACAGGTCCCATGGAGAACGGCACCACGTAGAGCGTGCGGCCGCGCATGCAGCCGGGGAAGCGGTCGGCCACTGCCTCCTCGAGATCCTCGGGCGACATCCAGTTGCCCAGGGTGCCGCGAACGCCCTTCCCGGGGATGGGCACCGCTTCGCGCTTCTGCTCCGTGACGATGAACGTCTTGGACTCGACGCGTGCCACGTCGGCCGGGTCGGTACGCGCCAGCCAACAGTTGTCGTACTTGGGCAGCGGCTCGATCATGCCGACCGCCTGCATCTGACGCAGCAGGGCGGCGTTCTCGGCCTCAGAGCCGTCGCAGACGTGCACCCGGTCCGGCTGGCAGAGTGTGACGGCGCGCTCCACGAACTGACGTACCTTTGCTGGCAGCACGGCCAGCGGGTCGGCGCTGGACTGCTGGATCGGCGCCGCCGGCACGGGACGGACCAGACGGGTCGGTCCGTCATCCCTGAAGGCAGGCACAAATCGGACGTCAGGCATGTTGATTGCTGCATTTGTGAACAGGCGTTACTGAAGAGAAACGCTGGAATCTACCTCGAGGAGATCGAGATGGAATCAGTGTAAAGAAAGTGAGACTAGAGCCGACCAAACGGTCAGACATGGACCGGAACGAAGAGAACGGGATGGGGACGGCCGATAAAAGTGATAGGTACTAGAGTCAAGAGGCACTAAATGAGGGTGATGGCACAGCTTAGCAGACAAGCTCTGCATCCTAATTCAAGTACCTATAAGAGTCAAGCAATTTCTTTAGAAATAAGCACTACAAATACGAACACCGATGCTCATCGCTCACCGAGTGGGTGAGTAGATGAGTGGAGCAGTTGGGACGCGTATGGCGAAAAACGGGTGTCGGGAGCTGTGCTGGCAGGAGCCAGATCAGCAGAAGGGGCAAGAGGCAAGTTTACATTACTCGCGGGATTGGATGCCGGCAAGAGACAAGTTCACGAGAGTCACAAGAGAGTCAATGGATGCTAGTTGCTACATATACACTAAGGGAGACTCAGGAAGCCGTGGTTGGGAGAGGAGAGGCAGATTGGCAGGGGAAAAGGCATGGTCTAGAAATACAACACCAGCCAAAAACCAAAGGAGAACTCACGACTGATTGACACCACCAGAGAAGATGCCTTGCAGTACTCACCGATGCGGCATATTCTGTGTGAGGACGCCCATGTTGTCTGCAGCAGGATCCGCTGAGAGCAGTGATGAGCCGAACTGTCGGACGCTGGCAGAGCCAAGAAGTCTTCCTCAAGTGGCCCGCCTTCCGCAGAAGACCTGACAATAGATGCCCTACCGCATGGAGACCGGGATTATATACACAGCCATGGCGTCATTTCGGCCGCTGGACTGTGTACCTGGCGGCCGCGGACCTCGGAGCTGCCCGCCCATTGGCCGAGCGCCGCCGAGCCCCCGCCGCGCGGCGCGCCGATTGGTGCGGCCGAAGGTGTGTCGGGGGGCCCGTGGGCTGTTCCAGGCGGGCCTGGAGCCCGCCAGGCGCCGCTACTGCGGAGCTACAAGGCCGCGGCGCCGTTGGCAGCTGGCTACGTCACTGAGAGGAGCCAGGCGCCGCTGGAACTGCCTGACCCCATGACGTCAACTTCAGTGCCACCGTCCGCCCGGCGGGATGGCGTAACAGGTCCTAGCAGTGGGGTGGGGGGCGGCACCGCCGACTGGGGTGTACTTTGGCCATGGTCTGCTCCGGAGGATGGAACGACTTTCGCAACGCTGCTATGTGTTTCGAGAAGATGTTATTCTAACTTTCCGACCTTTAGCATTGATGTTCTGCGTAGCACGGCAAGAATCACCTCTGGGAAGCGCGCCAGATTTCATAATCATGCGTCGACTGCAGGAAGTCACGCACACCACCCATGAGGCTTAGGTCACAAATGACCTAAATTCAGGTCACGTTGCGCTGATGTGGAGATAAAACATCCTGGGCCCTGCCATTTTCAACAGGAAGGCAATGTAGTCAGTGACTTGGTAGGATCTAGGTAAGGACCTTAACCCTATTCCTGGCGGGCTCCGCCGGGACAAGAAACTGGCGGGGGGGGGGGGCCGATTCGGCCCCCCCTTCAGATCTCAAAAACTACACATCGCAGCGACAAACGGTAAACGGCATCGGATACGCACGGTCAAGATCTACAATTTTTACTAAGGTCATTTTCAGGTCAGGTCAAAGATGACGTCACAGGGGTCGAAAAAGTCAAAATGGCGGCGCTAGATATGGAGAGAGTTTTTCTCGAATAACTTTCGAATTAGTCAAGATAGGAACAAACTAAGGGCATCATCGTGATCCTCTCGTCAATCCGCATCGAATGATATATATGTTGACCTCGAAAGGTCAAGGTCAAAGGTTGACCTCAGGTCACGTGACCTCGAGGTCATCATGTATATCATTCGATGCGTCTTGATGAGCTGAACACAATGAGACCATCCACGCGTCTGTATCCTGTTCCTGTACGGAGTTATTGGCCAAAAACCTTTGGTGACCTTTGATGACGTCACATGACCTCACAGCTGCCCAACAGCAAAACAGACCTCAAGGTAGTGAAGGTTGATCGTATATGAAGTCATGTATGGTATATGGGGCCATTCCGACCCGTTTTAGTGGTAAAAACAGGGAGTTGATTTTTCCCCCATTGACTTAAAATGGGGAGGTCGCGAAACTGACCTGACCTTAGGTCACCGATATCAAAATTCCGAGATATACAAATTGCACATAATGGTACCCTAACTAAAGCCTGAAGAGAAGAAATTGATCGGTCAAAAACTCTAGCTCTGGCGTGATTGCAAACTTTTCTGAGGTAGGGTCACCAAACCGCCTCTGGTGACCTGACCTGAGGTCAGATCAACTCAAAATTTTCAGACATGTTGCGTAGAAGCCTTTTAGGAAAAGTCAGAATATTTGAGCTTCCTAGCTCAACGCGTTTGGGAGAAATAACCAAAAAACCTCAGGGGGGGGGCTCCTGAGTCCCCCCCCCCCGCCAGGAATATGGTTAATGGTTAACCGATCGATCGAAGTTTGGATCGAAGTGGGTCTGAGTTCCTACGCTCGAGTATTTTGGTCCTTAACCCGCGCCGTGCTGGGGGGGGGAGGGTTACCCCCCCAGGTTTTTCGCGAATATCTCAAAAACCACCTGTTCATACATCATTTCCGCACATGTTATGAAAAGTTCAGACCCAGTCGTTCAAGGTCAGGTCACCAGGTCACGTCAAGTGACCTATCTCAGAAAAAGTTCAAAGGCTCGTTTTAGCTACACCGACTGAACGATCAATTTGAAACTTTTGGCGATTGCTATGAGTAACAGTATGTATAAAATGTACATCTCGGAATTTTGATATTTGTGACCTAAGGTCAGGTCAATTTTGCGACCTCTCCATTATAATCAAAGGGAGAAAATTGAAATGCGCCTCTTTTGGACGAATGTCGCGGCGGTTAAAAACTTTCTCAAACATCGGTTCAAAGGTAAGCATGACACACTGAATCGGAAATATGCACCTGTGACCCCACTGTGTGCCCCTGAGGTCATATCAGGTCATGAACGGTCACCAGCAGTTTTTTGGCCATAACTTTTGATAGAGACGTGCTAGAGTGGTGAAAACATGTCAGATGTGTGCAGCTCGACCATACAGATCGACTGATATGCGACAAGACCCTTTCCGGTCAGGTCATGACCTTGACCTGAGGTCATCTTTTCAAAATGACCTTTCAAGGAAAAAAAAGAAAATAATTCATTCGATGCGTCTCGACAAGAGGAACACGATGCTGACAAAAGTAATGTCGGGGCTCGCTTGAGTCAAAAAGTTATTGCCGAAAAACATTTTTTTTGTGAAAACGGCTATTTTTACAGTTTTTGCCCTCTAGAGGCTAAACCGTTGACCTAAGGTCAAGTCTGAGAACAATACTCAGAAAGTTTCGTAAAAGGGCCATCGAATGCGCTTTTCCGCGGCGCTGTAGCCCTATTGGTTCCCGAATTACCCGTTGCCAGTTTCAAAAATTATTGAAATGGACTGAATTTGACCTTTGATGACCTCTGGTGACCTGACCTTTGACCTGACCTAAAAAATGACCTAAGTGTTTCCGTCATTATTTTTGACGCTCTTTCGATTGCCGCTTACCGCGTGTCGCTACGTGGCCCAGGACCCGAGTTAAATGGCGTGGCGTGAAAACGCCCCCCCCCTTCCAGCACGACACGGAAAACAGGCCACCAACACGGCGATGTTTATGAGCTGTCGGATGTGGACTGTTAAGTCATCTGCTGAGAGCTTTTGAAACCAGAGAAATGACCACTCATTGACCTGTGCGTAGTGACTAGAGTTTGATCTCATCCCTGGCCACCATCCCTGCCAGTGCTCAAAGAGAAATTCACAGCTTTGGGGGCTTCTCCTCTAATCACCCTCGACCGGGCCAGCTAGTGTCCTCGTGCCATCTCTGCCCTGTCAGTGATAGGTAGGTAGAACGCACATACGCTATACCCGTTCAATGAAATACTGCGGCACCATTCTTTGGTGAGTCAGTCACAGTGTCACCTAACTACACATGTTTCCCATCAGTTTTGCCCGGCAACAGTCACACGACCGAGCGCCGTCGGCGTCTGGTCGGCCGGGTCTCCATGACGCCGGGACCAGCCTCCGTGCCGTCAGGCCGGGCCCATCCCCCGGGCCGGCACACACCTCGCCCCGGGACGCAGCTGCGAGCCGCACCAAGGCCGCCAGTTCCGTGAGCACGAGACACTAGAACCGGTGAGGGACGGGCCGGGCCGGGCCGGACGGGGCACGCCCCCGGATCTGGTGGAGGGGCGGTGCGGCTCTGACCTCGATAGGACTGCTCCGACCCGCCGGTAATGACGGCTGTTAAAACCCGACCGGCGTCTGCAAGTGGGCTTGCTTTTGTCCAGACATCCCAATGTCTTCCATTGGCGGTCATCCTCGTTGAAACTAGGCTTACGATTATGTCCAGGTGAAACGTCTCACCATACGGTGTGGCTACTGGTTACTGTGGTTACGGTGCCGCTGCTGGACTCGGTGTTTAGAAGTCAGGCAACGCCTAGTCCGCTCGCCGACCTGACCTGACCTGGTCACTGGCCATTCGTGTCAGGAGCAGATTCGTGTCAGAGCTAAAACGGTGTGTGGGCTCACGGCTAGGTTCACTGACAGTTCTGTTATCCGCTGCAACGTTTAAATGCACACGTTCAATTCGATGCCTACTGGACCGATCGGGGTCATCACAGCCGACGTTTACCGTGGGCGCAAACACGGGCCTTCGCTTCGCGTCGCCTCTCAGCCGGAGAACCCAGTTTGTTCAGGGAGGCGCGGACGAGAGTCCCGCGTCATGTGACCACAGACCACAACGAAACAGACATATATCCTCTGGTTTACGTAGGCGTGTCCCTCCCCGTGACAGCACTGAGGAATGGCGTGTCTCGCAAATCGAATCGAGGCAATCGCAAGCCTTCTTACATCAACACCAGACCAAACAGCGTGATTTGTGATGCGAAACTTTTATTTATTCAAGTTTGTCCGTCCGCCGCAGCACCGACCACACTCGCGCTCACAGACACCCTGACTGACACTCGCGCTGCAGACACCCGTTCAGCCCGATTCTCTCTCCCCCCACGGTTCGGCCGCCGCCAGCCACTCGCACACGCACACCAAATGAACCGTCTATTGCATCAAAGTATTCCCTGATAGGCTATAGGGGCTGGCGCGGTGCGCCCTCCGTTTGGCACCGGGGCGGCGGGCGCCCCCTCATTGCACAGTGCGGCGACTCTCTACCACAACTGACTGCTAGCGCACGGGACGATACATACAGGAAGCCATACAAAACGGGCGCCGCCGCCGCGCCTCTATATACACGGGCGGGAGCGCGGCGCACTCCGATACCGGGAGGGGCGGCGATATGTGACCTGATCGGCTCGGAGGGACCGGCCGGCGCCGCCGCCAGAGATTCGCGCGAGAATGTCTGTGTGCCGGGCCAGAACGGAACGCCTCGCGAGCGCGCGCGCGGACACCGCCCCGGGTGGAAGGCACGACTGGGACCAGTGCATAGCGTCAGAGACTACCGGAGCCGGAGGCGGTGCCGCGCGCGGCGAGCCGAGTCGGCGCGCGCCCGCTCCGCGCCGACCGCCGGCACACGAGGACTATTGCTGTCATGGTGAGAGGAGGGAGGGCGAGGAGAGAGCCGGAGAGGACAGCGCGCGCGGTGGCAGACGACCCGAGCCCGCCCCGGCCGCCGACAGGGGAGCGGCCCGCGCACAAGTCAGTCCGGCGGCGGCAGGCGGCGCCGTCACCCGGGCCCGCGCCGAGACAACTTCATACAAAACGGCACACGGCAACAAAACATATGGCCTCCGCACCACAGTGCAGTAACAAATGTCAAAAAAGACGGGGTGAAAAGCATCAGTCAAACGACTGCCGTTTGGCCGCACACCCAGCCAGCACCACTGTCCCAGACGCACGCGCAGAAAGCTCAGCCTTCGGCGCCGGCGCACATACACCCGACTATGTGCAGGACACACGACATATCAGGTAACAAAGACAACACACACACACGCGCCGAGCGAGCGACACTACAGTAGTACCCTGTGATTGCCGGTCGGAACAAATGGGAAATGGGAGGTCTATTATTCGTTGACCAAGTGATGGCGGATGCCGCCGCCCACATGCTACACAATTTGTACCTAGCTAGCGCGCAATTTATGCTGAACCGGCATACGTTAACAGCTATTCGACTAAAACATTATTAAAAACGACTAAAACGCATATTCACCACAGTGGAAAAGAACGGATGAGCGCTTAATCGTGTCTATCACCATCGACTAGAAGAAGGGAGCTCGACAAGAAAAGATTAGTTTGTTCACCAATGACTAGAGCCACAATATCGATACCCGGCGCGCGGGCGACGGCCGGTCCGGCCGGGCGGCAGCGCCTCTGGCGGACAGCACTGGAAGCTCGCCGCGCCCGGCTAGAAGCCGCCGAACCGCATGTCCATGTGTTCCTGTTTCAACCGCTCCAGCACTGCCTGCTGTGAGTAGCCCTGGTGGTAGGCGGCCGGCGCGCCGTACGGACTCGGGTAGGCGAACCGCGGCGCCGGCATGTGGAACCCGGCCGCCGCAGAGTACGGGAACCCGGCGCCGGCCGAGCCGTACGCCGCCGACGAGCCGTAGGCGCCGTACGGACCGTACATGCCGCCGGCCATGTTGCCCATGGCCGAGAAGCCGCCCATGCCGCCGCCGGCCATGCCCATGGCCATGCCGTTGCCGGCGGCGGCCAGCGCGGCGTTGTACGGCGACGCGGTCAGGCTGGAGACGGAGAAGAGCGACGAGTCGCCGCCGCCGGCGCTCGCCGCCACAGACGGCGCCGACGATACGCTGCTGTTGGCCAGTGACATGACCGAGAAGTTTGTACTGGGGTAGGTGGGGCCGGCGGCCGCGTACGGCTGCGCGCCGCTGTAGCTGGCAGACAGCGCGCCGGCCCGCTCGTAGCCGGTGGCGTACGAGCCGGCGTAGCTGGTGCCGGCCGCGTACTGGCCGCCCGGGCTGGAGTAGGCCGAGCCGGGCCGGCCCGGCTGCGGGCTGTACGGGTCGGCCAGCGCGGCCGGCGGCGGCGCCGCGGCGTGCTCGGGGGTAGGCCGCAGCGGCGCCGGGTGCGCCGGGTGCGCGGCGCCCGCCAGCAGGCCGCCGCCCTCCGCGCCGCTGCTCAGGCTGGGGATCTGGTCCACCAGCGACTCCAGGTCGGAGAGCGACTTGGTGGCCAGGTCCGACTTGGCGCCGTACTCGCCGCCGGCCGGCTGCTGCTGCTGAGAGAAGTCTATCGGAGCCGACTGCGAGCTGGCCGGGTACGAGTAGTGCGCGGGCGACTGCTGCGCGCCGCCGCCTCCCCCACCGCCCGGGAACCCGACCGAGGCCGGTCCGTCGGCCGGCGTGGTCGGGTTGGAGAAGCTCGGCTGGCTGCCGGCCATGCTGACCGAGCCGGGCCCCAGGTCACCAGCGTCCTCCTTGGCGGAAAGCAGACCGCCGGCGCCGCCGTCCGCGCCGTCCGACGCCAGCATCGAGGCCGGCGCCTCGAAGTCGGGCTGGCCGAGCGACGGCGACGACGGCGGCGGCGGCGTCAGGCAGAGGCTGGGCTCGTCGGAGCCGGCGTCCGCCGAGAACGACGAGCCCTTCTTGTAGCTGGGCGAGCCGGGGTTGGCGGTGCTGTGGACGCCGGGCGACTGCCGGTAGGCGGAGCTGGCCGACGGCGACTGGCCGTACTGCCCGGCGGCCGGGGACTGGCAGTACTGTCCGGCGGCGGGGGATTGACTGTACTGTCCCGCGGCGGGGGATTGTCCGTACTGCCCAGCCGCCGGAGACTGCCCATATTGTCCCGTCGCCGGCGACTGGTTGTACTGAGCGGCCGCCGGGGACTGACCGAACTGTCCGGCAGCTGCCGCCGGCGACTGGCCGAACTGACCGCCCGCCGCCGGCGACTGTCCGTAGTGTCCGCCCCCGCCGCCGCCGCCGCCGCCGGCCGGGCTCTGCGAGTACGCCACGGGTGGCGACTGCTGCATACCGGGCCGGCCGTACGGCGGGAACATGGGCGTCTGGTCGCCCGAGTAGTGGCCGCCGCCGCTGTTCCTGCCGCCGCTGCCACTCCCGTCGTCCGCCATTCCGGGCAGCGGGGTCATACCCGGGTGCTGGTACGGCCCCTGTTGCTGTTGCTGCTGATGCTGCTGCTGTGGGTGCTGTTGCTGATGTGGATGTTGTGGATGCTGTTGCTGCTGCTGCTGCTGCTGGTGTTGTTGCTGCTGTTGATGTTGCTGCTGTTCTTGTTGCTCCTGCTGCTGCTGTTGATGCGACATCATGCCATAGGGCGGCGAGAAGGATTCGTGTCTGAAGCCCGGCGCGTACCCTGCCGATGTGAGGCCGTTCATGTTCATCCCTCCGAGCGCCGGGTTCACCTGCTCTCCGCCCGTCATGTCGTACATGGAGGGCAGTGCACCGTTCGGCGGCGCGGCCGGCGCCGGCGCCGCGCCACCGCCGCTGTCCAGTTTGGGCTTTTTGGGCCGGCCGCGCTTCTTCTGACCGTCGGGGTCAGCGGCGGCGCGCGCAGCCGCCGGCTTTCGCTCCTTGACGGGCGTCTGCAGCGGCACACCGTTCTCGTCGAGCCGGATCTTCCGCGGCCGGCCGCGCTTCTTCTTGATGGGCACAGTGAGTCCCTCGGCGGCCGGCTCGCCGGGCGGGGGCGGCGCCGGCGGCGGTGCGCCGTCGGCCGTCCCCGCTGCCGCCGCCGCCGCTGCCGCCTTCTCGCGCCGCTGCAGGTGCGGTTTGGGCGGCTCAAACGTGATCTCCGAGTCGTCCAGCTCGGAGATCTCGCCGTTCAGGTAGTCGCGGAACTTTTTCAGCGCCGAGTAGAAGGGCACCTTGTCGAGGGCGCGCGGCAGCTGAGCGCAGCGGGCGCTGGACGACGGCATCACCCAGATATTCTGCGGGCACGGGGAGGAGACGGACGTAAATAGAGCGGTCACATACACAGAGGCCGAACCGTGGGGGCGAGGGATAACAACAGACACAGGCACCGAGCCGTGCGTGAGCGGAGGGGTAACCTGGGCTCACCGGCCGGGCCAGTGTGCGAAGTAACAACTCTCAGAAACACCATTCATTCAACGATAAATATACTACGCGTTGACTCGGGATAAATCCTGAATGCAACGACCAACCGTCAGTGCAGCGTACCTATGTTTGGAAAGACAGTACTTTTACAAACTAACAAACAGGCCATTCTTGGCATACCGCACTAAAAATGTATATTTATGGTCAGGTTTTCGAAATAGCCAAGGGTATCAAATAACTTCTGTTACAACACATAAACATCAACAAAACTTCAGTCAGTCATCTTTAAGCTAGACAGCAACGTCAAGTATGACGTGGAAACAAAACACACACGGGGCAGCCACTGCGCAAAAGTCTGCAAGGTGATTGCATCAGGGAGTATATTATGACCCTCATTCGCAATAGTTTCGCGTGTTGCTTGCCCCGGTTTCATCGACCCAACTAATGTCATGTGTCACACACGTGGGGGCGGGCCCACTCGGGGGGGGGGGGGTATATAGGAACCATATAGACGAGAGGAGGGATGATATAGAGATGGACGTACCGTTTGGGTGCCTTCAATCTTCTCTGGTTGCTTTCCGAACATAAATTCCTTTTTACCGGAAAATATCTCGAAAATGCCCTTGCCGTTAAACACTGCTATTTTCGGTTGGAACATTTGCAATTTCTGCAAAAGAACTTTTCCCCCTGAAACAAAAGAAACGGCATCAGACGACTGAGCGATTCAGGTCCACCACGCAAAAGATTTGTTGACAACCGTAGCAATCAACGATTGGTGCACATGCTCGTAAGCCACGCTAACACAACTCAATATCGCTTAGTAACTCTGGCAGCACAGTGTGTGTGAGTGTGAACCGTGATCAAATAGCAAGCACACACTTTTTAAATAATTTCTCGGATATTAACACACCTTATATTTCAGCTGAACTATATATGTTCAGAAAGCAGCACTCTCCACTTACCCTCCTTAATCTCTTTCCGCGTCAGATCTTGGCTTCCCTTGGTTGTCCGAGAGACAATGTTTGTGAAGCCGATCTTCAGCTCAATCAGCTTAAAATCGTCCTCAGCGCCCAGAGGTTCCGGAATCAACCCAGCCAGATACACACACTTCCCTGCGAAAAAAAAATACAACGGGTGTCAACAGCTGAAACTCTGGGGAGGGGGAGAGGGACTTGGTACACGCCATTCGCCAACGGTGTCTTCCGTGGTGTATTTCATCTAAATAGCGCACCTACTCACAGATATATGAAAGTACCAGGTCAAGCTCAATGCGATCACTGCCTCCATCCTATGTCCCAGTCGACCTGACAGAGCAGAAGAGGAGAAACTCTAGTATTTCAGCCTCAGCAGAAGGGACTCGTTATAACCCCCACAGGGAAGAGAATAAGGAGCATATGTGCGGAAGCAAAATATGTCCAGATAAATGCAAAGAGGATGTACCATCATAGTACGAGTGAGTAGCAGCGCCACGGTAGAGGCCCAGTATGACCCCTTAGAGGCGCGGTAGGGATGTGGAGACAGCTGACAGTGGCTGTCACCCGGCGACACGTGGCCGCTGACAGGTGACAGGTCGGCGGTGACAGGCACGCCCACGCTGCCGGAGCGGCCGCCGTGCCCTTTGGCCGGCCGGGCCGCGGTGTCCGGAGGGGCGGAGGACAGGGTCGGGGGCCGGCCGGCGGAGGCCGGGGCGCCGGCGATAGCGCCGAGCGGGGGGAGGGGAGGGGCGCTGTGCGAGTGGAGGACGCTGTCCGCTGAGGGGCGGAGGTCGACTGACCACAGACCCACGGCCAGACCACTGGCAAGTCAGGTCAGACGGGACCAGACAGCCTGTACCGACCGGGACCACAAGGGGGTCGCTGTAACCAAAAGCGCACTTCCCAGCGAGAGGGGATGATTTATAACACAGCATAAATCTAAGGCACTAGACGGCTCTGATCAGTGTCAGGGTAATTATGCTGCATCCAGTATCTACAACGATGCATCTAATAGCATGCTCCTTCTATCTATATGTAGTGCTACCAAAACGACAGGGGTGCCTTGTAGCACCTACCGCTGGGGAGCATTGTTCTCAGTCGGCGTGCTGTCACCGGCTAACCTTATCGGGCTCGGAACACGTGTTAACCGATGTTCACCACACATCTTACATAGTTCGCTAGTTATCGAACGTTTCCAATAACACACAGCACAAGGGGAGTTACAAAAGTAGTTACAAGAAGAGTTGAGTGAGCACAATATACCCATCAAAAATGTAACCTAACGCGAACACAGCACAAAAATCCTACCACGCGCACGATGCTCCGCATACTCACAGAAATGGTTTCCTGGTCCGGCGTAGTGGTGCCCCTTGAACGCGGCGAACAGGCCCGGGTTGATGCCGATCTGCCGAACCGGAGACACGATATCAGAACAATGAACGTGAGTTGAGCGGGTCAACGGCAGTACGGCATGTGACTAGACAGCGGCAAAACCTTACGATTTTTATGTTTCAGATTAATAGGCCAGGATGTCATGACACAAGGCTGTGACTGCCATTGTCACTCATCTGTCCATATCACAAACCATGTTACCGGAGCAAATGCTGTGTACGATCAAAATAAGCGACGCTCTGAACAACTCGTATGGAGCCTTGCTATCAAATGGCAGTCTAAAACGTCGACCACTTTGATTTTAAGCCGGCCAGGCTGCTGGTGAAACCCCGCACTCGCCCCCGGCTCTCCGATAATTATTAGATGCCTTACATGCATTGGGAGGCTCGACGGGGTTTGACGTTCGATGTCACGGCACAAGCCTACCGTCTATCCTAAAAACCTCGGCTCTGACTTATTAACACAACACGCGTCGCCACTCAAACCCGGCAAAGAGCAAACTTGGCGACTCTTTTGATCCGAAACAGCGCTCTTCGCGCACGCATGGGTCGAATCAGGAGAGCATTCTCACCTCGCGAGAACATCAAACACAGGCGGAGGTACAGACAGACACGGACGTCAGACAGACAGACAGACCGACAGACCGACAGACAGACCGACAGACAGACATACATACAGACAGCGTCCCGGAGTGTCCAGTCAGCGGATTCTTTCACTCCCCGACCCCACCCCCAATCGGCACCGCCCGAGGCGGGGGCGGGGGAGGAGCGGGGCGGGGCGGGGCGGGGAGGAACGGGGTCGGGTGGCCGCCACAATGGGGCACGTTCAACTTCATTAGTGGCGGTCGATAGTGGGGAGGTTCGGCTGCGCGCCGCGCCGCCGCCGCACGCGCCGCCCCATCGACACACGCCCACACCGGGCACGGGCACGGAATGACATCAGGCACGGAATTAAATCGGCAGGTGACACGGAATGACATCGGTCAGAGATATACAATGGCAGCGAGCAGGTGGCACGGAGTGACACAGGGCACGGATACGGAATGACACCAGGCACGAGCACGGAATGACAACGGGCTCGGGCACGGAATGACACCAGGCACGAGCACGGAGTGATATCGGGCACAGACGCAGTCATCCGTACCCCAATCGACACAACACACAATATACACGGGCGCAAAGTATACACATCAACAAATTGTATCCCAATGCCCAAAATTCCCAACTGATACACAGGCCCATCCTCCATTCTCTTTCTATCACCCATTCCCATACCACCTAACACCACCGCGCTACTCACGAATACGATGTCGAGGCCGGGCGCCAGGTGATCGGGTAGCGTCAGCTTGGAGAGCTCCTCCGGCGACAGGCCATTGAAGCGGTCCTGCTTCTTACGCGGCCGATTCGGGTCTGTCGAGCGCACCGGCGTCTTGTACTTGGGCACCTCCATGCCGGCGGCCGCCCTGGAGTGGAGGAGATCAGGGGTCAGAGGGATTGTGTCGTGATGAGGCCGGGCAAGCAAATGGCCACGCCGGAGGGCAGGGCACCGAGACAGGCAGTCAAGTCGCCTGTGGCCGAAGGGCTGTATTCAGCTATTGGAGAGAGCGTAGCCAAAAATAAGTCAAAGCAGTGGTACCGGTGGGGCCGAAGGGGGGGGGGGGACGGGTCGGAGCAGGGGACCGAGGGACGGAAGAGGGGGGGGGGGGGCGGGGCGGGGGGCAGAACAGTGAGCAGGAAGGGGAGACCCGGGGGCCGGGGTTGGAACAGGGGGCTGCACCAACCGACACGAGTCGAGAACAATGCAGTCGTGACCTGGCCAACCGCTACCGGTCGGCTGCAGGACTGCACGGTGGGTACACGGCCGGGCCGGAACGGGTCACCTTCCGGACACCGGCGCCGCCGGAAAACGGCTGTCACCGGGCCGCGGGGCGGGTCAGCGGGTACACGGCGCACAGGTCGCGGACCCGGGGGTCGTGAAAATGGGGACAGTTAGCGAGCGACGCACAGCGGAGGCCGAATGGAGGAGGAACGGGGACGGGTAATGACTGTCCACTATGCGACACGTGGCGAACTGGGTCGTAACTAATATAGCACCATTCGTCAATAGTCGCAGTAGGTCAAAGGTGACCAAACAGTGGGAGCTCGCAGCCCGGACGGCGAAATATACGCGGAAGGTAATAGTCCCAACGGGTAACAGCTATGGAAAAACAGCAAATAAACGCTCTATTACACAGACAGCAAGCGCTCAATCAAATCGAAACTGAATGTAGATTTACTACAGAGTGCAAATACCCAATGAGTGAGGAGTCAGAAAATCTGTGGCATGACCAGCGAATACGCCTACCCGTTTCTCCCGGGTAACCAGCTATACCACCGTCCCAGCGCCTGCCACGGCGGCGGCCGGGGACGGGACATTCCGACAGGTGGTGCGGCAGGCTGTGGCCGTCGGCGGCTCTATTCACACGGTCATTGAGGTCCGCAGCCGACCAGACGGGCGCCGGCAGACGGGCAGGTGGGAGCTGGGAGGGAACGGTACCCAGGTGTGCCGACAGCGGACCGGCACCGCCCAAAGGAGCCGGCAGAGGCAGTGGCGAGGGACTAACAGGCCCCAGACACCAGGCCAGATATGTCGGCTCGGTCCCAGTCGGCGGCGAGGGCTCCGCAGATCCGAAATACCAGACCAGACCAGACCCGCCCGATCCAGTCGCATGCAGTCACTTTAACAGGACTAGGCCATGGCAATGATAGCCGAACACTTCATGACAAATGGGATCAGTTGCCACTTGTCAGCTAGGTAAAATTTCCCTTGATGGTAGGTTCTATAACAGCGCGCAACTGACGATCGTGTGTCTCCCGATAAGTAAACTAAGTCACGAGTTTTCTGGCATCAACTGTGTGGTAATACATGTCCAGTATAGACATAAACTCACCACCTGCCAGATGGCGAGCCAAGCACACAAGAGACGCCGCCAGCCGCACACACTCGGCACATTGCCCAATTTTAAACAAACTTCGCTCTGTTGATAACAGACGCCCAGCTTCTTAAATATTGTGTAAGAAAGTTTGCATCACCATACATTTGGCACGGTTTCAGGAAGTTCCGAGAAGCCATACACAATAAACACCACATTGTCGCGCAAGTGCAAGCGCAAGCAAAGAAAGTGCAAACACGAGCCCTGCTACTGCGCCGCAGCTCATATCCACTCAAATCCCCCAATTAATGTCTACCGCAACCACGAAGGCCGAGGCGAGTGGCCAGATTACCACCTGTGGGGGACACGGCGACCCGATCGGAGACGTCGTCGGGCGCCGATTCGACACCTCTAAGCTCTTTAGGCGGGTGGCGGTGTAAAAATCATGCGGGGAGCGCTGCGGCCGACGCCGGATTCCAGGCAGCTGGCGTCATCCGGCGTGGTGTGAGCGCCGGCTAATCCGCCGCCCGCGCCGGACCGGTCCGTCCCGGTCCCGTCAGCTCGGTCCGGTCCGACCGCTGCGGTCAGGGTTACTGCGGTCCGGACCAGGTCCCCGGTCTGGTCCCCGTCATGGTCCGTCGGATTCAGCCCGGCAGAGCAGATCGGCTCAGGTTCTCAGAGAGTATACTTAAAGGGACTATCCCACCTTCTAAAATGTTGTTAAAACCAGTTAAATTGTGCCCGACTTTATAGATTGGATGACCAGGAACACGGTTCTGGCATTTATTTTTCATTAAACATCTTAGGCTTCCCATATTCCAAACACAAACTTTCAAATATGTGACGTCACAGCCCAAAATTACCTCCTTCCCCAGGCCACATTACTGTCATAAAGCTGATTCTTTTTACTCCGTAGGCACCACAACAAAGTTCAGTCCAAGTTTTAAGCGATTTTTCAACGAACAAACCCATTTAAATCAGAATGACTAAACGAGGTGACGTCACACTAACGGTCGCTCCATGTTGAAGATAGGGCCTTGTACAAGGCCCATTTTCAAATGAAGGGAACGAATTTCTTCAACACCAAGAGGCCGCGGGGGTTGCAACCTAGATATATAGTGGTTTCTGAACCTCGCCGCAAACTTGGCTATCTCAACTCAAACCCCATGTTAAAGGTGGGATAGTCCCTTTAACTGCATGCAACACAGTATTTTTAAGTGATTGATCCCCAGATCCAAAGATACACGCACGCACGGACATGCATGCAGGCACGGTTTCCGGTAAACCAGATACATGAGCCCCCGAACCCTCCAACAACCCAAACTCACATGGCCTCCAGCAATTTCTTAGGTTTGCGACCGCGTTTCTTGGGGAACTGGAAGGGCAGCAGCGGCGGGCCGGGCGCACCGCCGGGCTCGGAGCTAGGAGCGCTGCCCGCCGTCGACTCCGAGAAGTCGTCCACGAAGCTGTACGGGTCCTCGTGCATCTGTTTGGGGTAGGTGCCGTCCGGCGCCGGCTGGCCGTTGTAGGGTCCCGGACCGGGGCCGGGGCCGGGACCTGGGCCGGGCCCGGGCCCGGTGCCGGGCCCCGCCGCCGGGTACTCGCCGCCCAGCCGGTACGGCGGCCCGCCGTAGCCGGCCATCACGCCGCCGTCGTAGGCGCCGCCGGCCGGGCCGTAGTCGGCCTGAGCGCCGTAGAAATCGGCCTGTGCGCCGGAACCGGCGGCGGGGTCCGGCTGGAGGCGGGCGTGCGCGGCCGCGTCCGAGCCGGCCGGCCGCTCCTCTTCAGGCCTGGCGGACACAGACGCACACAGACACAGTCAGATACGACCACATGCTCCTCCTCAGGCCTGGCGGACACAGATACATACAGGCAGATACCGCACACAGACGGCCTGTAGGAAACGATACATAGACTAGTCACAGACCACAGAGTCGGCCGGACGCTCCACAGGAGTGCGTGAGTAGACACACATACGACAGCCCTGCAGACCGTCCACCACAGACGGATATTCCAATACCACACACACCACGGACCACGTCACCCAGAGACACCACAGTCTACCCAATCCTCTACCTCCGTGCTTCAGAGACAGACCACCAAGGACACAACAGACGGGCGTTCGTGAGGGTACCTACCAGCGCCCGCTGGCTACTTTCCGACTACTTTAGTCGCACGGCTCCGTTCTTCCAGGAATCGGAGGAAACTACTGCGCCGCTGTCACAGGTAAGATGGAAAGTAAAACGTAACGGGACTGTGAGGTGATAGTGTTGAGCCTGGCCGACATGTTGTTGGGTGTCAACGTGACACACCTGACAATCCTGGAATGTCCAGACGTGAAGCCCTTCGTCCGCGACCACTGCTCCATGTATGCAACGTTTCCGTTGCCATTGGAACATAATGTGAGAAATTTCGGAAAAGTGACCCTATTTATGAAATCAATCATAAGGTTTATCGTCCTACAAGAAAATGAAGCCCGCAAAAGTTCGCAACAGGGAAGAAGCGGGCTAAACTGGCGCTACCGGGGTGGTGCCGTGTTGTGCTCCAATCAGCAGCAGTTCTCATTTCCCACACAACCCCGGCTCCGTGCTCCCAAGCAGCTGCTTCCCGCTGAACAGACGGCTTGCGAGGTCTCGGGAGTCAGACGGCGGCAGTTGACATGTAATTAACAATAGTCGCGTCAACCTCAATCATTCACAAGGCTGTTGTCGACCAATCAGTCTTGAGTAAAACCTCTGACCTTTTTTAGGAAGCCTTGCATCGGCCGTCGTTTGTGGACCAATGGCATCCAAAAATATTTTGCGGCCCAAACCGCTTTCCGTAACTGGATGGGCTGTGTACCGAGCTAAATTTGAATTACGGCGAAGCCTGCAGTCTGTGCCGACAGGCCCGGTCGCTGCCGCTGTCACACTGTGTCACTGTGGGGGGACTGGGGGGACTGGGGGGGGGGGGGTGACAGACCCGCCCGTGACCCCGTCCATGGCGCAAAGGTCACCGATCGGCGGCGCGCACTGGCCGCCGCCGCCGTCCGCTCGGTCGGCCGAGGCCGGCTGGCTGGGGAGACTCGGCACTGGGTGATACAAAGGACCGGTTCACGGTGTCTCACGCAGCGGCGCACCCGCACTCACATCTGCCGCACACTGTCAGATGTTAGAGACGGGCTGAGACGACCGGGGCCCTGCTGAGTGCTGACACTGGGTGCGGGTGACATTGCAGTGTCATATGGGCGACACTAGCACTGCCACGTACGAAACTCGAAAGGTGACAGCTGAATTCCGAATGTTCAATAGGTACTATGATGCATCACGGTTCAAAGTTTATGACACGACTAGTATTTGTAGTTGTTTCCCAGGATATGATTCCCAGGATATGATAGCCATGTTTTGCACCGTTAGCCACAAATAGCTATGCGAAGTAATGCTTTGCGCTCTGCTAAGCGAAGAGCAAACGCAGAAAATTGAGCACTTTCTGCGACACTATCAGAACATGTCGAGGAAATGATCTACCACGGTGAGACATCTTACATGTGTGTACATTGTGCAACACAAGTTAGCATGTGTATTGTGCATGTGCGAACTGAAAATACACGCTCGTAACGTATGTCAGCGCCGGGTTACACACGTTTCTCATGTCCTTTCAACCCGAGGGGCAGATCCCGCTCTGCGCCGACAAATACCGCCCGCAGCGCTGTAGAACAACATAGCAACGCAACCTGGCACATGTCAACAAATAAAGCTCCCTGGTGCACGCGGGGGGCTGTGGTTCCGCGGCCGGTGTCAGACCCAGGAACGACCCTAAACGCCGGCTGTCAGCGGAGGACAGAGGGACCAGGGAGGCGGTTCTGAGGGACCGTCTGCCTGGTCCTGATTCCCTCCAGGACCAGGCAGACGGTTCGGAACATAATGGAGACCCGGGAGGACCGAGATAGCTGACCGATGAACGCGGGGGAGACGGTGGCCATGCTGGTGACGGCAGCGGAGGGATGCGCTATACCGCGCGGGCCGGAAGGCAGCAGATACAGCACACTACCAACGCAGGAAATGCAGAATGGCAGTAGCCGTAGACCTATGCATACCGGTACACAGGGGTCTATGCAGTAGTCTAGAGCAAGATGAGACGGTCGAACGATGAATACGATTACACGTCTGGATGCTATGTTCGCAGCCATGCTCGCCCCTCCCCCTCCAAGACGAGTCTCCCCAATCAGCACACTGGATCCAGGCTGAGGGGGAGAGGGAAGGGGGGGGGGGCACGCCGCGGGCAGCGCCGCCGGCCGGTGGCGTGACACGACCCGCGCTCGGCTCGGCCAGCCGGCCGTTCTCACCAGGGAGTCGGCGGAGAGCGCTCGGAGACGGCGGCCGGCGGCGGGCTCAGCGCCGACCAGCCCGGCGCCCAGTCGGCGCCCACCTCCCCCAGCACGGACAGCAGCATGGCCGGATCACACAGCTCGACAGCGCGGACGGAGACGGCTGCAGCTCGGCTCGGCACCGCACAGCGCGCCGCTGGGCCCCAACTGCGACCGGCACGGGTCCGGTCCGGTCCGGTCCGGTCGGCGGCCCCTCCCCGGCGGGCGGACGTCAGCTGCGCGCCCCCTGCCCCCCCCCCCCGGCCTCCGCTCCACCGCCGGCCGACGGGAACCGTTCCCCGGCCACTGCAGCCACTGTCACACCGAACTGGTCCTCGCACAGAGTGCACACTGCCAGCAGCTATTGCTTCACACTGCCCACAACTGTACTACTGGACTGCACGCAGCTGCCCTGCCGACGCAGTCCATACAGCAGCCGCCCTACTGGTCTATACAGTGCATACTGCATACAGCTGCTCTGCCGGTCATCATCCAGCTCACCCAATCCACACGGATGGGTGAGTCCACAACCGCCCCACTGGTCCGCTCAAAGAAGTCCATGGAGTCACTCCGCATGGCTCACAGGCGTCCTAATGGCTCTCTTCCAGTCCACAATCCATACAACCCACGGCAGTCCGATTGGTCTGTCCACGGTGCTGCTCATGGAGCCAGTCCACACCACGATTACTTATATAATAGTCCACATTGTCCATAGGCCATGGCTCAAACTGCCATGCTGCCATACTGCCAAGAGCTGGACATGTTGACAGATCGAACTGTGGGCCGTGAGGGCCTCGGACTGCCCATCTCAGATACACCCTGAGGTTCTGGAATCAGCCTCAGCAAATTCACCGAAAGGGTAACGGACAGACTCTTCAAATACATCGAGAGAGTCACAGACAGACTCCCACAGAACGACCAAAAAGACTTCATACCGACTACTCACATACATCGAGAGGGCCTCGTTCCAACCACTAAGATACTCCGAGAGGACCTCGTACCGAGCCTCTCAGGCACACCGAGGGTCTCGCACCGTCTCATTCAGACCTCAGACCCCTCACACACCGTACTCTCCCAGTCAGTCCCCCACGTGAGCCACACTCGTCAGTCCCCTATTCGGTACCGGGAGATAAGATGCGTCGATAGGGCGTTATCTCGGCCGGCCCTGTCGCCTCTCACGCAGGTGATACCGGTTAGCACCTGCCCGTTCGGACCGAACCCGGCGGGGCGGCTGGCGAAGCACGTGACAGGACCGGGGCGCGATCTGCCCCGTCCCGGCCGAGGCGACGAGACGGGATCGGCCGTGACCGGGTAGTTGCTCCGAGCGGAGTACTGAGTACTGTTGGAGGCGCTTGTGGCCCAGAGGCTCAGGGGAGGGGAAGGGGTGTCAGCTGTCCATTGGTGCATAGGTCAATACTCTGGAAAGGGTGATCTTATCAGCCTGCATCCCCAACTCCTTATCAGGTAATCAGGAACAGACAGATGTGGGGACAAATGACAATAGATCAATCCAAATGAGCTGAAAGGTACTAATTAGAGCCATTTGGAACTGGATAACTAACAATAGAATGGGTCCACACATAGACCTAACAAGCATGCATTTGCTTGAAAATCTACCAAATGAATGATTTCTAGTCATGTATGACATGGCCCTGTCCCTCAGCAGTGGTTGCAAGGCTCACTGGGCCACCCACAGCAAAGTCAATAGTGAAATTCATTCAGGACCAGCATGAGCTCAAATAGAAACCATGACACTCAGAACTAAGGAGTGAGCTGTGCAGAGCAGGATGCTCCAGCACAACACACCACAGCTGGTCATCTCATCCAGAAAGTCTGCAGCAGCTTAGCAAACATTAAGCTTCCACATCATCACAGGGCCCCAAAGGTGTGCAGCTCTGTGCTCACTGCTGGCTCTCCCCAATGGGGACAGAGTATCAGAGATTGGAGACAGAGTATAGGAGCACCACACACAGGAGTCAGGCATACAGTCATATACTCACTGCTGGCTCTCCCCTGCCGAAGGCTCTGTGGCGGCATCTGCATCTCCCATTCCTTCCTCAACACCAGCCTGGAACAGAGCAAACAACACATCAGATTGAGATGGACAGCTTACATCACTAATGTTCACCCTGAAAAAGCCTGCATGGCAAGTGTATATGCATATTTCATAAAAATGCAGCATGCTGCAATGAAACCCACACAGAATATTATCTGCAGCATTTTTGTAATTTGTCATAAGGTTACAACAGGCAACAAAGTGCAAACTGCACCCAGCAAGTTGCTAAATGGTGTGTGTACCCTCCCCTCCCCCCCCCCCCACACACAGCATCAGCTGACAGCTATCCCCCCAAAATGTCAAACAAACCATCTGAGAGGTAAAACACAACATTGCTGGCTTAGCATGTCAGCATTTTCTTTTTTAAGTTCCATTTAGTAAAGCATAGAAATTAACAATTTGCAATAACTGAACTACTGCCACTAGTTATGAAATTTACCTCAAAACAACAATAACAATAAGTAACAAATGGACTGGTGTGCCTCTACACTTGACCTTGGGATTCCAGCTGAATATAAAAACTGACTCAAGGTAAGACAGCAAGCACTTTCAAAAAATTAGTACACATGCAAACAGGTGATCCTAAACCATTTAACATGATAGACAATCTCAACACCCTCAACCTATGGGAGAAAACCAGTTGATATCATGCCAAGTCCACTGCCCACTTTTGGATACCATCCCTTGCCCCCATTATAGCTAAAAATATGAAGACTGTATCCCAAAGCAAGCATTGAGATGGCAGGGGTTCAATCCCAGTACACCCCAGTGCACAGCCCCACTACCCTGCCACTGCGGGGCCCATGGCACGGGTCGGCCAACTCACCGCACGTCCTCGGTGCTGGCCGGGCGCCCCAACTCCGCACGCTCCGCTAACGCGCTCACACACAGCACCGCACCTCCGAATGTCGTATATCTCCCAGAAAACCTCTCATCTCGCAGTGTCCCAGCACGAGCAGCCCACCCGACACCCCCGCACCGCAGCCCCAGATCCACACACCCGCGCGGTTTTTTCTCGCTCGCGCGGCTCCCGTCCCAGCTGAATCGATTCGCACGCCGAAAATGGGCGAGCTCATTCTGTGGACGGAGGGGAGGTCACGTGCGGGGAGCGGGCGCCGGCGCCCAGCCCAGCCCAGCACGGGCCACCGCGGGGGAGGTCAATAAAGTAAGCTGACTGACAGCGGCGCTCCCACGCCTGCGAAAGGGGAGGATGGACGAAAGGCCACATCGGGGTCACAGCCGTGGTGCACTCTGACGGAGCCAGTTACGATTACTACAATGAAAACAAAACAGGCTTCACGAGACCTATCGTGCCAACAATGAGCTGACGGACGGCCGAGAGGCATAGGAGATTCCAACGAAGGCGAACACTACCCAATACAGCCATTACAGCAACCTCGCTCCGGCGCGATTGCCCATCTCGCGATTCTAGACAGACATGACCCCTGCAACTCGGACATGAACAAGTGGGGTCCGTATCAAAGCGTCCAAAACCGCAGCACCCAAGGTACGCAACATCCAAAACCGCAGCGTCCAAAGTACGCAACGTCCAAAATACGTCCAAAAACGGGTTTATAGGGGCCATTCACAAATTCCAAAACCGAAACATCCAAAATCGCAACGTCCAAAAACGTATCATCCAAAAAACGCAACATCCAAAGACGCAACATCCAAAGTACGTAACCTCCAAAACCAACCTAACCTAACCTAACCTAACCTAACCTAACCGAACCTAACCTACTGATTTTTGCCTATCCCTAACCCAACCTAACCTAACCTAACCTAACCTAACCTACTGATTTTTGCCTACCGGGGATAAGGAAACCCAACATAACCTAACCTCACCTAACCTAACCTAACCTAACCTAACCTAACCTAACCTAACCTAACCTAACCTAACCTACTTTATGCCTACCGGGAATAAGGAAACCTAACCTAACCTAACCTAACCTAGCCTAACCTAACCTAACCTAACCTAACGGTTTTGGATGTTGCGTACTTTGGATGTTGCGTACTTTGGATGTTGCGCACTTTGGATGATGCGTCCTTGGATGTTGCGGTTTTGGATGTTTCGGTTTTGGACGTTGTGAATGCTCCCTATATACCCGATTTTGGACGTATTTTGGACGTTGCGTACTTTGGACGCTGCGGTTTTGGATGTTGCGTACCTTGGATGCTGCGGTTTTGGACGCTTTGATGGTCCCCCGAACAAGTGCATAGTCGCGCTATAGTGTCATTACCATGATCTACATTGCACTGCACAATGAACACTAGAATGCTATGCCGACTCAAGATCAGCGTCCTCTCACTATGTGTCGGAATGAGCTTAGTAGACGGGTCGGCAATTTTCGCGGTCGCTCATGCGCCTAAATATCGCACAAAACGACTCAGACCTCGCGGTCGCGAGCTACGCAAAACTCGAGCTCCAAACAAACGACAATAGGCACCCCTGATAGGAGTGGCAGCTGAGACCGGCGGGGGCAGGTGGCCGTACGCAGCCCACTGTCCTGGGCCGGCCATGCGGCGGCGGGCTGCGTCAGGGGCTGACGGCGTGCCGCCCCCGCGCCGTGCGCCGGCCGGCCGCGCTGCACCGGTCCCACCGGCCGGCGTTGCGCAAACGGTGACGGGCCGGCCGCAGGACGACCTTCGCTGGGCCGGAGCCGGCGGCACGGCGGCACGGGTCGCTATCTGCCGGCCAGGGACGGCCGGACGGCCGGCACTGCCGGCGGCGGCAGAGCCAGCCGGACGGCGCAGCACGCTTCTGGCGATAGTGGGACGCGGGCGTCAGTCAGTGGTTCCACAATCCACAGTCTGTGTTCAGGGTTCAGGGTCTCTACAGTCCACAGTCCACAGCGAACACACACCCATGGGCCGAGTCCGTGGTCCCCGAGTGGGCGCATTAGACGGTTGGAATTCCACTGATAGGGCTATGCACAATGCGGTCCTCCACTATCCTGGATACCACATAACGCGAACACGTCATCAACACATCGGTAACTTAAAACTTCGCACTGTTTATTGATATCGGGCCAAATGTTGGTGAATACGAACCCGAAACAAGCCGCACCGTTATACCCTCAATCTGCTGAATGTGAATGTAAAAAAATGCAACTGATAGTAGAATGTGTCGAAGGAAAACAAACGGCCAATTGAAGCAAGTAGCATTTCCAATTATGTAAGGACAATCCATCAGAACACACAGCAAAGCGATCGTCATTTACGATAAATGTAATGACGCATAATAAGGAAACGAAATGACCGTAGAAAATTAGCCAGAAATGCAATGAGAAACAAAAAGGACAACACGAAGACAATTACGTGAATCACATATATCGATGAAGCCTCCCTCCCCCGTCCACAACTGGGACATAATGCGACTCATGTCCCTAATGTCCGATATAAATTACCTACCCCAACGAGCAATAAATTACTGTACACGATACGCCCATCCATGCTAGCATATAAAAATAGCTCATTTAGCTACACACAAGTAGATGTATGTACAATGCGATGAACATCCTGAACAAGTTACAATATAACGACTTATCCAGCTAAACAACATCCTGACCTCACACCACGAACCTAAAACAACGGGTGGCGGTTATGACGCACTAGCACGTGCGGACCCAGGTGGCGCCACCACCGCGGCGCGCCTGTCACCGCGAGTCCGTCGAATGTCAGCGCGCCAGTGACCTCTGGGGTCGACGTTTGACGTCCGAGTGACCGTACTCCGCCGCCTGTCACCTTCAGCCGACCCCGGCCGATACGGCACAGCGCAATGTCACACACCTATCACCGTCACCTCAGCCCTCCCGCGGCCGACCCGGTCCCCTCCAGCCGACCCTACCCGGCTCAGAGGGGCGCCTCGGCACTGGGCACGGAGCCGCCCCACGATATACGGGAGAGCACATAGTAGAAGAGGACGAACACGGCCACCAGCCCTCCGGCCGTGTAGCAGAGCACGCGCCGGTTGCCGCGGCCGCCGGACAGCATCTTGGAGAGCCGGCCGGCGCTGCCGCCCAGGAAGGTCTCCGTCGAGTCGAAGTCGCCGCCCATCGAGTCCAGCAGCCGGTTGTGCTCGCGCGTGTCCATGTCGATGTCGAAGGCCAGCTGGTCGGACAACGGGCGGGAATCAGCGTCCGATCTCAGCCGCCCGGCGGAGCGGAGCGTTCCAGGATTGGAGAGGACAAATGGAAACAAAGTCGCCCACTGGAGCGCGTGAAGACTGGCGGAGGTTCAGCTATTTCGATCACAAGTTACCGCGCTGCAACTGGTTCGTGACTTTGTGGATCAACAAGGTGGAGGAGTACTCAACAGGGATGCGGAGCCGGAGCCGGAGTCGGAGCCGGAGCCGCCGGAGCCGGCATATTTTGCCCGGAGCCGGAGCCGGAGCCGTGAAACAATATAGCCCGGAGCCGGAGCCGGAGCCGGAGCCGCCAAAAAAGGGGGCGACTCCGGCTCCTTTTTATTTTTTGAAGAGGAAAAAAAAATAATTGACCTAGTTTGGTTTGACAGTACAAGGCAGTAAAACATATGGTACTTACGTCATGGGCCATCAAGTGAATGAAAAAATCCGAATATCCCCAGTATCCCACAGTACGCAAACAACTTCCTGTTTGCTCTCCCCCCCCCCCCCCCCACGTCTACTGCATCCCCAGAACATGAGGACCAGTCATCAGGTGACGGCCATTGTTTTCAAACCAGTGCAGTGGACTGCGACTCCCAGCACCGTCTCATCCCACACACCCCCCACCCCTCACCCCCCAATGCAGCCGAGACGGGTGTCAGCTTACGATGGTTCACTGAACTCCGATTCGCGGCGACTGCGTTTCCAATGCCATCGCTTCCTAGCCCTTTGTTCTGCCAGTTCTCTCCGAGGTGCGTTTGCGCGGGGACGCGGTGAGCCGGTCATGGCAAAGAGTAACGCGTATAACCAATCCAATTTTTCTTCCACCCGTATTTAATTGATTGCGTAGGGGATGTACTGAGTCGGAGCCGGAGCCGCCGGAGCCGGAGCCGCCGGAGCCGGACCATTTTACTCGGAGCCGGAGCCGGAGCCGGAGCCGCCATAACATTTCACCCGGAGCCGGAGCCGGAGCCGGAGCCGATTTTTTTCTCCGGAGCCGGAGCCGGAGCCGGAGCCGTCTGAAATTTCCACGGCTCCGCACCGCATCCCTGGTACTCAAGCCAGAAATATCCACGAATGACGCTTGGTTTTGTTCTGCATGAAAAGCTCTGAAATACTGTGATATTATAAGAGCAATACAACAAACCAGGATGTGGACGGCAAGCGAACCAAGCTCTATCTTATCCACTAACTTGAACTACTTATTGATGACTTATTGACTGACTTATTGATGAAGACCTCAAATGGAAAACACACATAGCCAAACTGCAAACAACATTGTCGAGAAACATTGGAATGATGAATAGGTTAAAGTACCTCTTGGGCACAAAACACCTTTTGTTATTGTATCATTCTCTTTTCCAGAGTCATGTCAACTACTGCTGCTTTATTTACACTAACACTTATCCAAATAGCTTAAGTGAATTAGAAAAACTTCAGAAACGAGCTGTTAGAATAATCGATGGACAGCCAAGACTGGCTCATACTGCGCCAATATTCAGGAAATTTAAACTTCTTAAACTTAGGGATCTTGGGCATCAACAAATGTTATTACTATTACACAGAAAACTTAATGGGAACCTGCCATCTGCCATTGCTGAGCTTTTTGTAACCTCCGAACCTACTAGAATTAATCGTTCCGTTAAACATTTCTATGAGTCATTTGCATATAGAGTTTACAAAACTCATACTTTATCATGGGCTGGGCCTAGAATTTGGAACAGAATTATGGTACCTTTATTTCCTAGACTTTCTACGGTGCCAACTTCGAAATCCGTTATCAAAAACATCTCCAAAAGTTTCTTCATAAGCCAGTATGGTTGATTCATTGAATACAGTGTTTCTCATCAATATATGTTCCATGTATATTAGTATGTACGTTTTATACACATAAAAAACATCTTTATTATCGAGTAGCTAGTTCTGTTACCCGTCCTTCCTTTTCGGTTACCCCTTTCCCATTGTGTGTATGTGATTTTTTTGTGTTCTTTGTTTTTGTTTCTGTTTTTTTTTTGCTTGTTTTTTTTTTGCGTCTTTTGATATCGCCTGCCAGTCTCGTTATGTTGCCTTTATTGCTTTATTGCCTTACCTGTCCTAATTTCTACACCAGCCACTTCGGAACTGGCCTCTATGGGCCGTCTGACAACAAGCCTTGCTTAGTTGGACGGCCCTACAGAGGCTCAGTAAATGACCCTGCCTGAATTTGACCAGAGATGTTACCTACAACTATCCACTATGTATGTATGACTGTATCCCCCTCAGTTGTCTTCCTCCCACTAACATTCCCCTGTGTGAGTGAGCATCAGTGGGCGTTTCAGGGATGTAGGAGGGCAGTTACCAACTGTTTGCAGTTGTGACTACTTTGCTTCTTTCATACCATCTATTAACAGCATGCTTACTCCTCTGATATTCGCCTTCTTTTGTTTTTTTTCCTTACTCTTAGCAGGGAGTGCCGCGACTTGTCATATTAAGTTTTCTGGTGTTAACGTAAGGTTCTGTGTGTAGCTGGGATAGAGGGAGGGGGCACTCCTGGTCACCTGTTCATGGGTGGCGGTGTAGAAAAAAAAAACTAAATAAGCAAAAACGGCAGCGCCACCTATGCCAGTATCTCTAGACTGCAATTGTAGTTTCCTCATCGCCCGGTAGGGCCAGATAACGAGGTCATTTTAGTCTACATGAGCAGAGATAGAGAATGGAAGGAACAGAATGAATGGATGTCATTCACCGGCTTGACAGGAAACAGAGAAGTCAAAAAGCCCTACGAACATACATACATACATACCCCTAAAAAACCCTAAGATGAAAGGATTTGTCAAGGAAGTCCAATGATAATACATCGCTCACGGAAAGAAAACGAAATTATTGTTACACATTATAGCTGAGGGAGAAGCACATTCATTCAATCATCTATATCTTCATATAATTTGAGGCAGTGAACCATACGACAGCTAAATCCAATGGTTTTGTTTTATATAGGTCTGGCTGAGACGAACCTCACCACTAATTTCAAAAGCTAAACAGCAGCCCTGGCCTAGGGCATTGCATGACAACTTTTCTTTAATTCCAATTTCTAAAACCAGTATAACGCCTTTTGGGGCGACTAACGGAGCGAGCGAGAGGGTGGGCCTTGCACGTGCGAAATTGCGAGGGGGTACCTCCAACTGACTTGTGCACGGCACCCTACTAACTGGTCTCTAGCGATGTGCCAAATTTGGGCACAATCGGCCCAGCCGTTCTCGAGATCTGGAAGCGGCACCCTGCACGTGCGCACGTGCAAAATGGGTCCCAACTGACTTGTGCACGGCACCCTACTAACCGGTCCCTAACCGTGTACCAAATTTGAGCGCAATCGGTCCAGCCGTTCCCGAGATCTGGAAACGACCCCTGCACGTGCGCACGTGCAGCAGCACCCCAACTCTGGCACATGTATATGCAGTGCCTAGTGGGTGCCTACCTACATGCCAACTTTCAGCGCAATCGGCCAAGTAGTTACCGAGATATTGCAACAATTACAAAACTGACACCTCTTCGTTTTGCACGTGGCACGTGCATAAGGGGTCACCCACATGCATCGGGAATAGTCCAATACTTGGTAGAAGGAATGAAGCTACCCTACAAAAATTACCGCGTGTAAATCGGTCAAGTGGTTGCTGAGATATAAGCCTCGCAAAAGCGTGACCACGGCCGGCCGGCCGGCCGGCCGGCCGGCCGCTCATACTCAGAAATTTCCGTTAATCTAAGGAAAGACTACGCTCGCTTCGCTCGCTCCGTAATTACCCATGACATCCCTAAACTAATTTTCAATAAGTGACGCCCGTGAAAACATAGCCGTCGAAACGCTCTTTTAATTTAGAATTAAAAAGGCATTTTCGTCATGCAACGTCCTAGGCCAGTGCTGTTGTTCAGATTTGATATTAGTGGTTATATCCTGTCCCAAACAGAGGAAAACTCACCGATTTCAGTCGTGACACCTTTGAGCTCAGTTGGTCAGTCATTGCTCTGTTCTCGTAGTCCATCGCCTTTTCCTTATTATTGATACCTGCAAAATTATTCAAAAATAATATTACACACATTACACAATGAAGCAGAAGCTGATATTTGGAGCTGATGATAACAGCGTTGACGTGACACATGGTGATTGACCTGAGCTGACCTGACCTATCCCAAATGGACAAAATCATTATTATCAAAATCAGCTACCTAGTGAATTTAAAATGAGGACCTCAACATACTCTAAAAATCACTCCAAAGTCCAAAGCCCTCTAGCAAGTCCCGATGTTCTTGCATTTCGGTCATTAAACTTACCTGGAATGTTAGCAAATGGTCAGGGACCTTGAAATGGGGTATTATTGGCTTACTCACATCACGATGAGCACGTGTCTTTTGAGTTTTGACGAAGCTCACTCCCAATCATGGGTCAAACGGTTGGGAGGAGGTCCGATCGAGGCCCGTCCCCTTCCCGCCCCAATAGAGCCGCTGTGAAGACGCCAGAATGTGTGACGCTCATATCACACCAATGACCTGTGCTGACACTGATTCGCTATTCGATAAACAGCACCAATGAACAGTGTTCTCACGAGAGTCGCGGCATTATCAACCTAAGAGAGTTTATGCGCTCATTTTGTGTTCGTCTGAGCTCGCCAAGGACGGGCCGCTAACGGGTCCGTACACGGTGACGGGCCCGTTTTGACGAGTGACGGGCCCAGTGGGAACCGGGCTTCATCGCACATTTTCCGTTCGTCTCACCGAGAGGGAGCTTTCCAGGTGCGTACGCCTCGATTTGTCAATGCACGCCTACTGCACGCCCGGGATGTGCCTTGACCGCCTCAGATTTGCAAATGCATGCGGCTATGGCCAGGGCTGCGGCTTCGAAGTCGGAGTCGATCGGAGTCGAAAGTTCTGACCGGAGTCACAGGGTTGATTTTGGAAATCGGAGCCGGAGTCGGAGTCAGAGTCACCGAAAATTTATCGCCTCTGCACACCTGGTAGGGTTGCGGTGGAAATCGGAGCCGGAGTTGGAGTCAGAGTCACTGGAAATTTATCGCCTTCGCACACCTGGCAGGGCTGCAGAGTCAGAGTCGGAATTGGAGTCAGTCGGAGTCGACAATTCTGTCAGGAGTTAGAGTCGAGGCTTGTTTTTGAAAGCCGGACTAGCAGTAAGAATCGGAGTCACCAAAAATCAATCGACTCCGCAACTCTGGCTATAGCCCATGCATGCTGACATTTCATCATAATCTGCCATGCTTGTTTTTTTTCTGCGAAGCTCTACCTCAACCAGGGGTCAAATGGCTAGGAGTTGGTCTAATTGATCATTGAAACCCGTCTCATTCACGTTTAAGCAGTGAAAACACCAGAATGTGTTAAACTTGTATGCTGTTCGCACTAGTGAACTTCCTATTACACATTTGATGAAGACCCAAAAAAACCGCACTTAAAAGTGTATTAGTATCAAATGTATTAGATGCGCCATAGTGTTCTATGGATGCGCAAATCGTCTACCAAACGAAAACGTTCTCACACTGAGACACATTCGAGCCACACCGGCTAGCGTTCTCGCCACAGGCTGGGCTCTCACCGCCTCCGGGTCGAGACGGGAAAGTGGTCTCACACGCCAAGAGACCTGCGTCTATGTTCATGTGGCCCGTTTGAACAGGACGAGGGCCATGTCATCCGACAATGTAGGTTGACTTGACTGCAACATGTCGCGATTTAAAGTTCGATTCCCTCCCCGGCGCTCTCTCAATGTCCGCGATCGCAAACGCACCGAAGCTCTGTTTCGACTTTCGACATTCTTAGTGCCCTCATGTAGAGCCTGCCGAACGCGACAAGGTCATGTGTACCCTGCGACTGCCCGCCTAAGCACGACTGCCCATTGCCGGTTGTGTTTTGTGCCTGGACAGTTTGCTTACCAAATATCCACGCCCGAAGCCGGGATGGTTCCGAGGCTCCACGGGTAGTTAGCCCGCACCGCCCCGAATGGCTTGTGAGTCGATGGTAGATGGACTGAGGGTGAGGGTTTTTATGTGTTCTATTCTGTCTTGCCATTTATCATTTTTAAATACCATGTTTGTCTGTGTTTGTGTCTGTGTCTCCACACAATACCCATGGTCAATAAACAAATACATGGATGAATGAATGAATGAATGAATGAATGAATGAATGAATGAATGAATGAATGGGCCACTAGAAAATGTCTCTCCTGACATTTTAAGTTTGTCTTATTATTTATCAGCATGGATTATGTATTCCATGTTATTAGCATGGAATACTTCATCCATGTTATTAGCAAGCTTCAATTGTGGGAGCTCTTCAGCCAGCAGCCATGAATGCCCCAAATCATCAATGCAGGCCTGCATGCCTGGGCTGTGCCTTGCACACCTTCAATTTGTAGGTACATGATTAGGTACATGATTAGGTACACAATTTGTAGGCTGGGGAAGACTACTGACGCCAGCTCACACCCAAGATCTTGTCAGTCTGCCACATTCTGCAGTCTAGGGCATCATCATGACTTCTATCAATAAGATCAATGAGTTTCATATAATTATGGTCTGACAATCCTAAGAAAGAAGAAAGTTGAAACAGATCAATCACTTTGTGCATGTTTTATCACTAGAAAGGTGTGGTTCTAAGACTGTGAAAAGCCATATCAGAGAGATGTTCTTAGATATATTTGAGGCAATATAAAGGCATGTGCATCAACAGCAATTGTACTTTGCAACCATTCTTTAAATCATTCTTCGACTGTCAGGCTATAACTGAAGTGACACTAATACTAACAGATTGATGTTGACACAGGTGTTGATTTCCGCCAGGTTGGGGGTGCCCAAGCTCTCTAAATTCCCCGCCAGCTCAGCCAGCTTGGCTTTGAAGAGCTAGCAGACGGCGCGGGTCAAGGTCACCGCTAGAGCGGCGGCGGCGGATTTGCTGCACCCAGGTACCCCCAACTCGGTGAAAATTGACACCCATGAATGTTCACATAAGACACAACAATAATAATAAGGATATTACTCACCCATGATGACAAATGAGGTTAGGTATTTCAAGAAGTTGCAAATAGCAGTAGGCAGTACTTCTAGATTACGATTGAGATTGAGACTGATAGGTCAAGGTAGGTAGGTAGGTAGCTAGGTCAAGGTAGGTCAAGGTAGGTCAAGGTAGGTACTGCCGATAGCCGATAGGCGCCTTTTCAGCTAATCTGAATCGGCCTAGTGAGTAGTGAATCAATTACTCCTGGAAGGGAGAAAGCTTCGACCACGGTATCAAGAGAACTGGCTTCGAGTCAAGACTTCGACTTTAACTTTTAAGCTATCGATGTAGCATTATTGTCTTGTGAATAGCACGCACTCTATGAAAAACAAAAATTTCTAATTCATCACGACGACCTTTTTAAGGTTTAACTTTTAAGGTTTATATAGCCTTGACGACGACGATCGACGACGACGGCGGATAAATATGTTCAAAAGCTGAAACTACTGCCAGTATTTTTCAGATCTCCATGGTAGCAATCTAATTGAGCCAATGGTTAAAAAATTCACTTCAAGTCGCATAAGCTGGTGGTGCTAACGTAAAATTAAATAAAACAGACTTCAGCTGCCAACGAAACCGTGTTTGAAACAAATAACTTTTTTGATTCGGAAATGACTGCTGGAAAATTTAATGAGAGCTTCATCAAAACCAAAAAAAACTTGAATCACCGTAAGTAATCTCGAAATTGCTTTCATTTTGCTACAGCATAAAAATGCAGCTCCCATTGTTGCTTGCGCATTTTAAATTGGTACTTGATTTCACTTAGAAAATTCGGTTATCGGATAGATTCTTTCACTTTTTATTAACTTTTTTTAAATAAAAAACATTTAAAAAGTTGCTTTCATTAAAAAAATTGTTTTAATGGAAAACCGTCTTGTCAAACATAAGTTAATTGTATTACAAAATACGGCGGCGCTGTGCGGTCTTTCTTTCCGGCTTCCGAGGTGTGTGTGCTATAAACAAATATTAAAGGCTTCATTTATTGTCCAGCTTATTAGTATTGGATAAATGTTTTGTATCTGACTTTTTCTTGCCGCTTTTCTTAGTGGTTAAATAGTGCAATTTTTATCGTAAGTGACATATTTCACCTGCCGTTGTGTTTTTTCGACCTCCGGCACACGCCGTCCTTTTGTGTCTGCACATTGCCGTTTCGGTTTGTCTTTCAGGAAACTGGCCTGAGAGAGTTGAAATAACACATTTAATTGCTTTTGCTGTATTAGCATTGGTTGTCTTACGATTTGTTTCCTTACTTTTAATGTGTTTTGTTTATCAACAGATGAGGCAGATTTTGCAGTCTGAGACTGTGAGCGTCCCTAAGGGGGTCACGGCCCGTGTGAAGGGCCGGACCGTCATCATCAAGGGTCCCCGTGGCACACTGACCAGGAATTTCAAGCATTTGACTTTGGATCTCCAGGTGAGGACATCATTTCTTCAGTGTGTTTGCCGTTGCATTTTGATTTGATTGGAGCCTTAGGGCTGTTTCACTGCAGTAGTAAAGTAGGCATCACACATTTTTGCAACCAAGGAGAGGCACCATAGGGGAAGATGTTTTTGTAGTTTTTAGGTGGTAGGTTGTAGGCTAGGTCAAGTTAGGTTTTGTTTTGTTAAAAAAAAAGCATCTCCAGTTATAGCACGTCTCCTTGATTGCAAAAACAACCATGACGCCTACTCTACTACTACCCTGTTCCACTGCTTGACGCTTAAGCATACTTTGCATATTAACTTTGCATATTAATGCATTGCACTTGCACTTCCTTGGAATTATCAACAAACTTGGATGCTTGCAAAGTGTCCCAAACTGTTTGTTAAGGCAAATTTTTCTGATGCTTCATGAATACCATAGTGTAGTGTAGCTTAAAGGGACCCTCCCACCTTCAAAAAAGTTTATGAATTGGCATGAAAGTGATGTCGCTCGGTTCAGAAAAAGCAAAAACGAATATCTACCAGGTTTCACCGAAAAATATTCACCGGTTTTCAAGATATTAGACTTTTACTTTTGTTTACTTTTTGGGGATCTCCGCTGTTTCTAGCGATTTTATTTTAGAAGTGCGGCGTTTGCGGCAGATGTTGCGCGCAAATCGCATATACCACCGCGTGCTACAAAACGTTTTAGTCAAACATTTAAAAATCGTTAGATATCTGCGCTGACGTCACACATTCAGAGGGGTATTCCTAAGCATTAGCCCCTCTGAATCAAAATGCTGCAATTTTGAAATTCAATATTTCTGATTTAAGGCATTTCTCGATGTTGTGAGTGCCGAAACCGGTAATTGTGAGCCAGGGACCCCATTTTGGCTATCTCAACTCAAATCTAATGTTAAGGTGGGAGGGTCCCTTTAACCCGCGCACCGACGGGGGTCTGCGCCAACTTAGTACCGACGGGGGGGGGCGGATGACCGCCCCCCCCCCTGAGATCTCGAGAACGAAGCAAGATAGCGACAAGCGGTAAACGGCATCGGATACGCACGGTCAAGATCTACAATTTTTACTAAGGTCATTTTCAGGTCAGGTCAAAGATGACGTCACAGGGGTCGAAAAAGTCAAAATGGCGGCGCTAAATATGGAGAGAGTTTTTCTCGAATAACTTTCGAATTAGTCAAGATAGGAACAAACTAAGGGCATCATCGTGATCCTCTCGTCAATCCGCATCGAATGATATATATGTTGACCTCGAAAGGTCAAGGTCAAAGGTTGACCTCAGGTCACGTGACCTCGAGGTCATCATGTATATCATTCGATGCGTCTTGACGAGCTGAACACAATGAGACCATCCACGCGTCTGTATCTTGTTCCTGTACGGAGTTATTGGCCAAAAACCTTTGGTGACCTTTGATGACGTCACATGACCTCACAGCTGCCCAACAGCAAAACAGACCTCAAGGTAGTGAAGGTTGATCGTATATGAAGTCATGTATGGTATATGGGGCCATTCCGACCCGTTTTAGTGGTAAAAACAGGGAGTTGATTTTTCCCCCATTGACTTATAATGGGGAGGTCGCGAAATTGACCTGACCTTAGGTCACCGATATCAAAATTCCGAGATATACAAATTGTAGCTACTAATGACCTAATAACATCCTGCGACTTTCAAAGGCCTCCGACATCTACTGTAGCTCTGGCACGGTGACAAAGTTGCAAAAAAGTGACTTGAGGTTGGGTCATTCAAAGTGACCTGGTGACCTGACCTTGAAAGGTAGGAGGTTCAAACTTGCACACCATGTGTAAAATTGATAAGGGAATAGTCATACCAAATTTCGCGGCGCTACGCGCCGCGGTTTTCCCGCTATTCGCGAAAAACCTCAGGGGGGGGGGGCGGATATCCGCCCCCCCCCCGTCGGTGCGCGGGTTAAGGGCTTGCCAAAAAGCCCCAATAAACAAACAAGAAATGATGGGGTTGAGAGATCATGAGGCTCAGGCTATGTTCAGTCTCTCACTGGCACTGAGAATATGGAGCAAACATCTGCTATTGCCTCAGGGGCAAGACCTATATTTTTATAATATTGGGTTTCCGTAGCCAAGCTTTGCCTAATTTCAGGAAAAGTAGAATTGGTCAATGGAAGTATGCCACTTTGAACATGAAGTTTTGAAATGAAATAGCATTTTTGTAAGCTTGAGCTGAAGCTAGCCACAATTTCTGAAGCTTTTACACCACAATGATCACCCTAGCCAAAGATATATCAATTTAGTTTTGAAATCAATCCCTTATGGAGTAATGTGTTGCCTTACAGAAGAATGCATAGAATGCAGCCACCTCTGGCAGAGGTTAATCATCAGCCAATCAGCATAAGTTTGCAGCAGCTTCTCAGCTGTAAAGAATCAAGAATCAACACTGTTTAGCCTCTACCAAGGATGGAAAATAGTTTTTTTTTAATGAAAATATTGTAAAGATTCATTTTCTAGATTTCAATTATTTTCTTTTTCTGATCATTCAAGTACATAAAAAATCATAAAACTAGCAAGCAAAAACTTATTGAAGAAATATTTCCTATGTGTTTGCTGGATCTTTAGAGCTATTTCTGCAGGTACTCTTAGCTGCGCTATGCAATATGCATGACTGTGAAATCTGAATGTTTGCTTTTTTGTCAGATTGGTTTGAGAAATTTCAACTGTTCAAAAACATATTGATAAGCTGATACACTGCTGATTCCTTGCTGTCAGAGAAGCTCTGGATTACAGGTGTGTTCGGTCTGGGAAGTAGATGTGCAGATCGTCTGGGATAATTTGTTGAGGGATTTTTATGCTCACCATTATGTCTCATTGCAGCTGGTGGGCAAGAACACCATCAAGATCGAGAAGTGGTTCGGAAAGAGGAAGGAGCTGGCTGCCGTCCGCACCTGCTGCTCCCACATTGCCAACATGTGCAAGGGAGTTCAGTATGTAAGTGACAACTTATTGTTATTATGTCTGGCATGGGCAGCAATGCCGCGGCGGATGACTTGTTCACGGTGCCGTGTTATGAACGTTTTGATCCCCGCTGGGCCGGCGGTGTTAGTTCGGCAGTGTTTGAAAGAGTGTCAAAAATCATGAAGGAGGTAGTTCAGTCAATTTTTAAGCCAGCTGGTGATAGATCAGGTCACCAGGCAGGGCCCGATCTCAAAATGCCGTATTATTCTATTCACGGTATTTGGTACCATTAACAGAGATACCAGTGCCGACAAACTGCTATCCGAGTCAACGAAATGATTCTTTGGACCGTCAACATACAATGGACTGAAATGCGTGAAAACCATTGTGCATGTGATAGCCGTTTTCTGTAGGTGAACTTCAGCCAGTGCTGTCATATCCATTCCACGGTGTTTATAAGATTAAGCCCAGGGGGGGGGGGGAGTTATCAAAGGTCAAATCACGCCTGTTTCAACACAGATATTTTGCGGGGAATTGCAAGGGTGGGGTGTCCAAACACACCGGGGCCGGCTCGGGTCAATTTCTCCCGACCCGAGAGTAAATTCTGAGCCCTGATCGGCGGCCGGCTAGTACTCTTGCCCGCGCTCACATACGTGCACGTTACCCCGGCAACGGGCTATTGACCAATGAGAAGCGAGAAAAGTGTTACGTCACTGCGATTTTTCATATACCTGTGCCCCCCGGACGTGACGTAGTGTGCTCGCGCGCGTGCAGGGTCTCTGCGATCGAAAAAGAGCGCTAGCAGCGCGCCACTCGACGCCGCAATTGTCAAAAGCGGCGTGTTAGTATGCTTTATTATGAATGATGTGTGTAAAAGTGAGTTTTTATGTTGTTTATTTGGAGGAAATGGTTGGAATAAATTAAGTTATTTTTATTTCTGTTGGTTGAAGTTTTTATTCTAAAGATTTCGGTCTATACCATTGATATTTACTGAAAATACCTTCGCTTGAATAAATTGCAGATATTTGGCAACTGAAGTGTTAGGTAAGCCTAAATGATATGTAAAAAGGTAAGAGACACCCTGATTATCATTTGAGAAACGAAAATATATGAATTTTCCTTATAGGACTCGCTCAATATGCTACTCCGCGGTTTATGCCCCGAGGGTGTCCGAGGGTTCCCGTTAGTTTGCCGTTGGCGCTCGGCTCGCGCGCGAGCCGACGTCACCGCCTGTGACGTCGGCTCGCGAAATACGTCATACCCTGCACACAAAATAGCCGGCTGCCGAACAGCGCTCTGTTGTAGGCTGTACAAGGTGTGGTTCCAGCTGCTCAGTTAACCTATACTAAAGGCCCTCGAGCTCCCGATGGGAATGATCTGTCTGGTGGTTGCAATCGCTGTTAGTTGATATTAGGGATGGGTATTTACCGTTGGTAGTCTGGTGAGTGGTATCATGCCTACCTGTGCTAAATGTCCTGATCGGCCGTAAGGGGTTGCAGTGTCATTTTCGCTTTTGTGTTGCAAATCGTTTCTCTTCACATGTGCATCGTTGACGATATCCAATGGTCACTATTTAGACCAGGCCTTAAATCCACTCGCGGTCAGTTTAACCTACCGGAAAATCGACTGTTACGGTTATTTGGCACCCCAAAGTTTGCCGTCCACACATATGAATGGCCGCTTATGTGAAAAGTAATATTGGACTTTGATGTGCTCTCCTCACATCATCATTATTTTTCCTGCGTGGTTTGTTAAACTTGTGAGCCTTGAAGAAATAAGAATACCGGCCGACGGCGTTTTTATATTGGTAAAACTGGCTTGCGATCATTTCATCAAACATTAACTAGTATGTTGATGAAAGAAAACAGATTTAAGCCTCATAATAACAAAGATATTCTAAAGTGTGATCGAAGACAAAAGAGATGGCAGTTTCGGGCATAATCAATCATCTAATCTCAGGACATCAGCTGATGATGGGTTATGATCTCAGGTGATTATGCCCGAGACTGTTTCTTTTTTTTCGATCATAATTACTTTTGAATGAATTTGTTATTGTGATGCTTTGGTTTTCTTTCATCAATACATATATGCTAATTATCATGAGCCTCAAACAAGGGCATCCCCACACTATGTAAACAAACGTTCACGCTGAATTGGTTTGTGTGTTCTCAGGGCTTCCAGTACAAGATGCGCTCTGCGTACGCCCATTTCCCCATCAACTGCGTGGTGACGGAGAACAACACGCTGGTGGAGGTGAGGAACTACCTGGGCGAGAAGTACATCCGGCGCGTGCAGATGCTGCCCGGCGTCACCGTCTACAACTCGACCAAGGTCAAGGACGAGCTGATCCTCGAGGGCAACGACATCGAGTCCGTCTCCAAGTGCGGTGAGTCTCTTTTTCTCTGGTTTTGTGCCGCCGGTGTCAGGGGTCGTATCCGGAGTGTAAAGGACTGTCGAAGTTCTACATGTTGTTTTCAGGGTTGTGGTGGAAAGATACGGTTTCTGTATCGAAACAATCCTGATTGAGTGTCACGTGATGGCTTTGAGCTATGTTCGCATTATTTGCCAGCGGGTGCTTGGTCTTTCGGTGGGCCCAGCCTCCGGGCGGTCTATCTCTGGCTTTGTCACGTCTGGCGTGCTACTGCGCGTGTGCACGTGCAGAAACCGCTTCTACACCTCAAGACGGGCTGGACCGTTTGTGCCCAAGTTTGTTACAACGTTTGGGACTGATTATTAGGTTGAGGGAGGGGTCGCACAAGTCATTTGCAGTGCCATTGCTGTGCCGAGTCTCTGTTACAGCTGCCCTCCCCGCGTCGCGTCGATCCGCTGTTCCTTTCTGTCATTACACCGCCCCTCCCCTCCCCCAGCCCGCGCCCCGTGCAGCTATTTACCGTATGGTAACGCCCGCCGTGTCTGTGTATCTACTACAGCCGCCCTCCCTGCTTCTCTTGCAGCAGCTGCTCTGCCGTGTGATGATGCTCAGTTATCTGCCTCTGTGTTCAGCCGCCCTCTCCGCTTCCCGTACAGCTACTGTACTACCGCGTGTTGGGGCGCTCTGTTATCTCTGTACAGACCCCCTCCCCGCGTCCCGCGGAGTTGCCCTGCCGTGTGGTGACGGCCTGGTGTCTCTCTGTACAGACCCCCTCGCCGTACCCCTTGGAGTTGCCCTGCCGTGTGGTGACGGCCTGGTGTCTCTCTGTACAGCCCCCTCCCCGTGCCCCTTGGAGTTGCCCTGCCTTGTGGTGACGGCCTGGTGTCTCTGTACAGACCCCATCCCCGTGCCCCTTGGAGTTGCCCTGCCGTGTGCTGATCCTCTGGTGTCTCTGTCTGTTGCAGCTGCCCGCATCCAGCAGTTGACCTCTGTGCACAACAAGGACATCCGCAAGTTCCTGGACGGAGTGTACGTCTCCGAGAAGACTACCGTTGTTGAGGTCGAATAAAGTCGGACCGTGCCATCTCGGTGCATATCGTGTTTTCTCTGCGATCAGCCGTTTCGTGAATGTCGACCGTGCGAGGGCGGGCAGAAAGAGTAGATGGAATTCTCTCAGGATTGGGTGGGATCGAATACACACGTTTGTCAATTTGGTAGGGTTGGTGGCATGCTGAGTAATTCTGGCAACAAGGTTGTGGAGTGGGCGGGGGTGAAGCAAAACAGTGATCTCGAAACCATGTAACACCGTAAACAATAGTGCCATGCCGTTAGTTGAACTTCGACTTCGCCATGGAATGGTGTTCACGGGTATAATGCTTGAGGGGCGCTTCCCAGGCATGCCATCTGTGATAGTTTCTGGTGGGGGAGAGTGGGATTTTGCATCTCGCGGCGTGCCGGGATCCGGACAGCACGACCGCCCGCTGCCTACTCCGGCGAGGATTCTGCGTCTTGCATCTCATCCTGCTGACGTGCAGGGTTTGATGCACAGGGGTCCGCTCTGGATCTCAGCCGTCTACGTAATCCAATGGCTGTGGAAAACTGCTGTATCGAAGTGATGCAGGAGCTAATGGCTACCGTACCTCTTCCACCACACCAAAGAGGGTAGTGAGCTGCGTCACGGTAGCGCTGATCAATATCCTTGGGATGGGAACATGCAGGATTCCCACAGGTAGGTATGTCCAAGGCAATGTATAACGTATGTCGCGGTATTTTGAGGAAAAAATACGACTATGGCGCAATTGAGATAAACCTCGGCGTAATTAAAATATTCCATCAAATGACGTCTTAAAAATATTCAAGTTTGGTTTCAAACTTCTTCAATTAAAAAAAGTTAAAATTATTTTATCTATGAACTACAAATGACTATTTGTGAAACATAACTTTCAAAAGGATGCTAAAGTGTCGTCTCACAGTCACAAATATGAAGCTAGTTTTATTTTACGTCATATTTTATACGAAGACCGTCGCACGCATTATTGCGATCGTGTAGGTGGCGCGAAAAGTATGCTCGATTTTCTTATAGTAAACAACACTGAAAGGTATGAGTGGTGGGTAGGATGTTTCAATTTGTTGCTAGTAATCTGTTAGCCGTATCTTTACGTGCTGTGGTGCAATTGTCTTCTTTTTCTTTAATTGTAAAAGAATGTGATTGAAGCTTGAAGGGGTTCGCTTCAGTGAGGACTATTATTGTGAATTCTCAGCTCCTGATAGCCTACTTGAACTCCTGGGCAGGTGTCTTTATTATTACTTTTTTGTTAATTTGTTGTTATCAGCATGCTGATTTCACCAGTTTCCCCATGCAGGTACCTACATGAGTTTGCTGCTGAATTTTCTTGGTTTCTCATCTTGGTTTCTCGTGAATATGACCAGAAAGAATCCGAGAAAAACTTCAGCAAGCTACCGACCTGCTGATTAATGGCTACGGAACAGTGTTGGTGCTGTGACTGCAGTGGTATTGGAGTGGATGTCGCCCTCGTGGAATCTACATACAGGGCACCAGGGCGATTTGATCAAGGCTTTTGATATTGTCATGTGAACTGTTATATCAAGATGCATTTGAAGGGAGAGGACTTCTCAGTTATCACACGACTAATATGCTCTCCGGCGCTCTGTTTTCAGATTCCATCATCACTTCGCCTTAACTGGGACAGCTTGCTAACTATGCTTCCATTTTTTTTTGCTTGGTGAAAGTTATGAAAAAAAGAAGTATAAAGATAAGAAATCAGTATTAAGGGCATGGGCCTTTGGGGTAGGGCAGAAGTTACAGGATGGGCTGTCACTTTGTCACCACTAAAAAGTCTAGATAGCATTCTTTATCAATATTTTTATCTGCATCTTTTTATCATGGTTCTCCCTGTATTGATTATTTTAAAAGAGACATGTAGTGGTAGAGCAAAATCCAAATCCAAATCCAGTGTATTGAGGTCTCCATTTAAATGGCTTTTCAGCCCTCTCGTCGTGTACATACAAGTATTAAAATTCGCTGACAAACACGTGAATCATTACGCAGTACGTACATAAAAGGCTAAAATCAACGCAATAGCGAAACACTAAACACCAAAAGAAATAAAAGACATCTAAAATACATGGTTTTTCATCCACTGCCGACCCCGCCAACGCTGTTCCACGTGGACACAGATCTGTAAGGGAAACAGCGCCTCGCTCGCTCACTCTTAATTTTAGGTAGCTCCAACTGATGTCCGTGGGAGCATCGGGTGTGTCTCTGTGACACGTCCGAGCGACGCTGTACAACTTGGGCCAGTGCAGGCGGCGCGTCAAGCGAGACCAGCCTTTGTATAAGAGCCACATCCCGTTTCTCAAGCATGCCCTCGAAACGCTGCCATCCAAGCGCCTGCAGAGCAGGAGTGACGTGCTGCCGTCGGGCCAGTCCTGTGACGACGCGTGCCGCGAAGTTGATCGCCTTCTGGATACGGTGCTTTTGGGAGGCAGTACATCCTCCCCACACAGTGCAGCAGTAATTGATGTGCGGGAAAACGAGCGCCTCAACCAGCAGCTTCTTAGTCTCGTATGGCAGCTTGTGTCTCAACTTGGACAGCCCGATCAGAACAGAGTAGCAGCGGCGGATCACCTGTGACACCTGCCTCTCCCATGTAAGTGCAGAATCAATGAATACTCCAAGAATTTTGGCGCACGGGGAAGGTGAGATTTCGCTGTTTCCGAATTTGATAGAAAAATGGTGATCAAGTTTTTTCTTTTGTGACTTGATGATCAACAGCTCAGTTTTATCAGGATTTATCTTTAATCTATTTTGCGTATACCATTTGAGCGCCAGTTCTAGCGTGTCTTCGACTCGCTGTTTTAGAGTGGTAAAGTTTTCGACAGCATCAGAATCTAAAAATTGCACGTCATCGGCATACATTACTTGTTTTCCAAAAGGCAAGTGTGATTCAAGGTCGTTTGTAAAAAGTGAAAACAATTTCGGGCCCAAAAGCGATCCTTGGATCACGCCATGTGTCACAGGCAACTCCCCGACGTCACTACCCTGGATTCTCTGGGTCCTACCACTCAGCCAGTCAGCAAACCAATGTTCTTCAATACCATACTGTGGTGGTGTGCATCCCCAGTCTGTACCTGGGGTTTGCATCTCTACGACCGTGTGTGCCCTCGGGACACGGTCCGGCGGCGGCTCCCGGCCGGACCGTGCGGGGCCGCGTCAGTCTCTACTGGGTCCGCGCCACGCTCGCTCGCTGTGAACAATACACCTGCACCGGTTCAGAGGCGTCTTCACATGGCGCAGCCGGCAGGGTCGTGAACGTGCGATTACCAGTGCAAGTGTGACAGGGCGACGTGCATAATTATTGTGCATTTTCGACCCAGCAATGGGGGACTCTGACGCCGACAGCGTAGCGGATGCGTCTCGGGAGCCGGATGCGTCTCGGGAGCCGGCCGCTTCCGTCGCGGTTCGGGCTGCCGCGCCGCGGCAGCGGGCCGGCCGCGGTCGTGCGTCCCGCAGCGCGCCGACCCCGTGGGCGGGCCGAGTACGAGCACCGGACAGCCTGGACCTCTCCACGGACCGGGGTGAGTCTTTCCTGGTGTGGAGAGAAAGCTGGGAGGACTACGTGCTCCTGACCGGCTTGATAGACGCTGAACATGACATTCAGCTGGCTGCCCTGAAAAATGTCATGACCCCGGAGAGTCGCCGCGTCCTGAGGAACCTGGAACTGACCGAGGTCCAGCGTGCCAATCCCGAGGTTGTACTGGACGCGCTGGAGCGTTTCGCAGTGGGCCAAGTAAACGAGGTTATCGAAAGGAAGAGGTTTAACGAAAGGTTTCAGGCTGAAGGGGAGGTCTTTGATGATTTTCTAACCTCCCTGCGTGAATTGTCTCGTGCTTGCAAATTTTGTGACGCGTGTAATGATTCGCTAATCAGGGATAGGATTATGATGGGTCTGAGATCAGCGGAGACCGTCAAACGTCTCTGCGCCGTCCAAAACCTCTCGCTGTCGCATGCCATCGCTGTTTGCAGGGCTGACGAGGCGGCCGCCAGAGACGCCTTGGAGCTGCGGGCAGGCGGACTCGCCCGGGCCGCCGCCCACCGAGTGGACGCCGCCGAGCGCCACCGAGCGCCGCCGAGCGCTGGACCGAGGCGGCGCGACGGTGGCTGGTGCGCTGCGTGCGGCCGGCGACGTCACCGGATGGGAGACGCGTGTCCGGCCCGGGGTCAGCGCTGTCGCAGCTGCCGTCAGCTGGACCACTTCGCGGCAGTTTGCCCCGACGCATCCGGCGACTACGATGACCGCCGACCGACCACGTCGTACGAGCGCCGCCGGCTGGCCCCGTCTCGGCCGCGGAGCTCGCCACCTGGGCGGAGCTACAGGCCCGACCCGTACCGCTCGTCGTCGAGATCGCCGTCCCCGTCGCTGGACACGCGGCGATCGCAACGGCGCCAGCCGTGGCGCGGCACCCGGGTCCGCTTCCAGTCGTCGGAGGGCAGCAGTGACCGGAGCCCGGACGGTGCGGCGCGGCGACCGGCCGCGTCGGCCATCATCGCGGTCGCTTCGGTGCAGAGCGCCCCCCGCGTGCGCCTGGATGTCACGGCGCAGCGCCGCGCCTCGGTACTCGCGCTGCCTGACACCGGGGCTGACATCTGCGTCGGAGGACTCGACTTCCTGAAGGAGATGGACGAGTACCCGGAGAACCTGCTCCCCCCGGAGCAGCATCCTCGGACAGCCAACGGCGAGACGGTCAAGTCGCTGGGAGTCCTGCCGGTCTCGCTGAATATCGGCCGCGTCTCGGTGCAGGAGTCGGTGCACATCCTGGAGGGCGTCAGCGGCCTGCTGCTCTCCTGGAAGGCCGTGAAGGGACTTCACATCATTCCAGCCGGTTATCCGCAGCAGATAACCGCCGATCTACCGGAACCCGCCTCTGGCTCTCGCACCAGGGACGCACCAGACCGCCCTCGGCCGGGGCCAGCGCGGCATCGGCACCGGTCTCGCGCCGCGCTGCCCGACGGTGGCACGTCATCGGACTGCGTGGCGGCGGTGTCGCGCGACGGCGCTGCTGGAGAGGCGACCGCGGCGACACCTGTCGAGCGGCCTGGCAGCAGCCTTCCGACCGGTGCACCTGCATCTGAAGACGGGTCAGCAGAGCCGCCTGTGGACCAGGGAGGCTCCTTCCCGGACATCACGTCCGAGTTCCCCACCGTGTTCGACGGCCACATCAGAGTCATGCCGGGGGAGCAGTTCAAGATTCACCTCAGGGAGGAAGCCGTGCCGTTCCGCGTGTCGAGCCCACGACGAGTGCCCCTCTCACTCCGCACGCCGCTGAAGGACGAGTTGCAAAAGCTGGTGTCCGAGGGCATCATCGTGCCCGTCACGGAGCCGACTGAGTGGTGTGCACCGATCGTCGTTGAACCGAAGAAGGAGGGAGGAATCAGGCTGTGCGTGGACCTGTCTCGCCTGAACAAGTTCGTCCGCACCGAGCAGTACCAGGCACCCACCCCGCTGGAGGAAGTTGCCTCTATAGCGAGCTCGGAGGCGAAGTGGTTCACCGTCTTCGACGCGGCAAAGGGCTACCACCAGTGCCCTCTTCATCAGGACAGCGTGCTGAAGACGACGTTCATCACGCCGTTCGGCCGGTACGCGTTTTTACGCGCGCCGTACGGGGTCAGCTCGATATCTGACCACTACAACAGGCGCATGGACGAGGCGTTCTCCGGCCTCACCGGCTACAAGAAGATCGTGGATGACGTCGTGGTCTACAGTCGGACCAGGGAGGACCACATCCGTGACGTCCGTCGCTTCATGGAGCGCTGCGAGGAGAGAGGTATCTCCCTGAACCGGCGGAAGCTGCAGCTGGCCCAACAGAAGGTGAAATTCGCCGGCTTCATCATATCGGCGGACGGCTACGAGCCCGACCCTCAGCTGACGTCGGTCATCTCGTCGTTCCCGACACCGAAGAACATCTCTGAGCTCCGAAGTTTCTTCGGCCTCGCCAACCAGGTCGCCCCATTCGTCGACGAGCTCTCGGAGCTCCTCCTGCCTCTCAGGCCGCTGCTCAGCACCCGAAACGAGTTCGTCTGGGACGAGCAGCAAGAACAGGCGTTCATATCAGCCAAGAAAGCGCTGACATCAGTTCCGAACCTGGCCTACTTCGACCCCAGACGACCAACCTCGCTCTCGACCGACGCCAGCCGCCTCAAGGGATTCGGCTTCCTCCTACGGCAGCAGCAGGAGGACGGCAGCTGGCGGGTTATCCAGGCGGGATCGCGATTCCTGTCTTCAGCGGAGTCCCGATACGCCACCATCGAGTTGGAAGCCACTGCCGTGGTATGGGCCATGAAGAAATGTCACATCTTTCTCTCCGGACTGACGAGCTTCACGATATTCGTCGACCACAAGCCGCTCGTCCCCATCATCAACGGCAAGACTCTCGACGAGATCGAGAACCCGAGACTACAGAGACTGAAGTTGAAGATGGCATACTACGGACCATTCGTAGCCAGCTGGGTGCCAGGATCCCAGCACAAGGCGGCAGACGCTCTCTCCAGGAGCCCCACCCAACCAGCAGCTGCTGATGACGAATGTGGGGAAGACGACGACGCACCTGCCCTCCAGAGCGTCTTGGTAGCTGAGCTTCGAGCGTGCGACACCGACATCATGCTGGACCGGGTGGAGTGTGCGACGTCAGAGGACCCCGAGCTCCAGATGCTCAGAGACATCATCTCCACCGGCTTTCCGGCATCCAGAGCGGAGCTTGCGGAACCCCTCCGGAAGTACTGGCCGGTGCACGACCGACTGTCGGTGGAGGGCGGCATCATCTTATGCGGCATGCGCATCCTGGTGCCGCTATCCCTCCGTAGATCGACCTTAGCGTCTCTCCATGCGAGTCACCTCGGGAAGGAGAAGACCAAGGAGCGAGCTCGGCGGGTGGTCTACTGGCCGGGAATGGACGCCGCCATCGACGACGTCACCAGAGGATGCAGTAGGTGTCAGCAAGAGCTGCCATCCCAGCCGAGGGAGACCATGCTGCATCATGAGCCTGCCGCCAGGCCGTTCCAGGTCCTGGACATGGACTTCGCAGACCACGCAGGAGGCAAGTACCTCGTCGTCGTTGACGGCTACTCTGGGTGGAAGTTCATCGAATCTACGGGCACCCGGTCTGACACCAAAAACGTAATCAAAGTAATGCTTAAGATTTTCAGTGAGGTCGGTGTGCCAGAACTTGTCAGAACCGACGGGGCCCTCTGCTTCACGTCTCTTCAGTTCAGCACGTTCTTGAGCAACTGGGGCGTTCTGCATCGCACATCATCCCCACACTACCCCCGATCTAACGGCCTGGCCGAGTCTGCCGTTAAATCTGCAAAAAAGCTTCTCAGGCGATGCTGGGACGACGGCAGAGGACGGCTCAACGAAGAGGAGTGGACGCGGGGCCTGCTTCAGCAGCGGAACACGCCGGGCGTCAGCGGGAAGTCGCCCGCCGAGATCGTCTACGGCCGGCCACTGAGGGACGACCTGCCCACGCACCCGTCGCACTTCAAACCATCGGCGCGCTCGCAGCGGGCGAGTGGAGGCGGAGGCCAGCAGCGGAGGGGGACGCCACCGCACCAGACTGTGGACTGCGACGATCGCCGCGAGTCACGCCGCTGCGCCGCCAAACGGTGGTACGACCAGCATGCCCACGACCTGCCCGAGTTCCCCGTCGGGACTCGCGTCCGTGTGCAGGACGTCAGGACAAAACGATGGGACAGGTGCGGCGTGGTGACGTCGGTCGGCCCCCACCGACGCTACAGTGTACGCTTCGACGATGGAGGGGAGGTGGATCGGAACAGATGCCACCTGCGCAGGCGGCACGCTCTGTGCCCGGTGCCCGGAGTGGAGCCTCCCGGGAGAGCCGGCCCGCGTGTCGTCACACAACCGGACACTGGTCGGATGAGTCGTGACCATGCATCTGCGAGCGAATCGCGCGCCTCCACACGGCCGGATCGCGCGCCGCGCACTGAGCCGCCGACTGTCCGCCGATCCACCCGTGTGCGGAAGCCGGTGCGTCGGCTCATAGAGGAGATGTGATTGTGTACTACGTTTCTTGTTATTTTCGCTATTGTGTTATGATTCCGTTCTTTTCGTTATACCTCGAGCGCGCTGGGGGCTTAAGGGGGGAGATGTGGTGGTGTGCATCCCCAGTCTGTACCTGGGGTTTGCATCTCTACGACCGTGTGTGCCCTCGGGACACGGTCCGGCGGCGGCTCCCGGCCGGACCGTGCGGGGCCGCGTCAGTCTCTACTGGGTCCGCGCCACGCTCGCTCGCTGTGAACAATACACCTGCACCGGTTCAGAGGCGTCTTCACACATACCATCCTAACTTGTCTATCAACCTGACATGTTCTACGCTATCGAAAGCCCGAGATGTGTCAGCAGCCAGTAAAGTAGTTATGAGCCCGTTTTCCATACTAGTGGTGATAAAGTTAAACGAATCAATCATTGCTGTTTCAGTTGAGTGTCCAACGCGAAAGCCGTGCTGACTTTTACACAGTACATGATTCAAATCGAGGTAAGGCGATAGCTGATTACATACGCATTTTTCGCAGAGCTTGCCAGGCACACTGATAATCGAAAGTGGTCTATAATTCCTTGGTTCACCTCTGTCACCCTTTTTATGCAACGGTATGACATTGGCATCCTTCCACCTACTCGGCACCTCTCTAGTACGCAGCGAACAGTTAATCACGTGCAATAGATGGGGTCCTATCACAGGGAAGGTGGCGCGTAACATCTGCACTGTCACTCCATCCTCTCCACTGGCACGCGAGTTGCTCATTCGCCTCAGCGCAAGCGATAGTTCGGGTAACGTTCGGGAGCATACAAAAATAAGTACCTAGCCTGGGAAATAAAGATCAGTTGCCACATCACAGCAAGGGAGTATGCTAAGGGAAATGTATTGGGTAAAGAAAATTGGGTATTCTCTTGGGGAGACACTGGCCCTTGCCATTATGCTACAGATGGCATTGCAGATGATTTTATTACAGAAATTCCCATTCCTACTGCAACATTACCTTACTAAACCTAGCCTAAACAAACCAAACCTAACCCTACCTAATGTACCTAACATACCTAGTCTAACCTACATTGTTGCCTATAAAATGTCTGTTTCATATGTTTCATATCCAGTGAAGAATAGAATAACCCAGAGAACTTTTGACTGCAAGCTTGGACTCTAGATTTAGGGATGGGAATGGGATTTGGGGAGTTAGGGAAGATTGAGAGATGAACTGGTGAATGCTATCTGCCTCATCCTTACATCCTTCATTGATAATATAGCAGTGTGGATTTTACTAAGCACTGGATACCCTGTTCCAGGTAGTTTGCTGACTTGAGGAAGAAGCTTGTCAACATGTCTCAAAAGAACACACTGTTCAATTACTTTAAACGTGCTAAGCCCTCACCTACTGCATCAACTGATGATAAAAAGACAGCTTCTTCTGAAGGCAAGAAGACAGTATCAGATGGCAAAAGTACACCAAAAGGCCCCAGTCAAAAAGGAAATCTTTTGTCACGCAGCACAACTCCCAAGCGTCCACGACCAAAGGAAAGCAAGGGTGGCGATGGCAAGAAGGAAAAAAGCAGCAGTGCGAAGCCCTACAAGCGTCTTCGCCTAATCAGCGACGATGAAGACAGTGAGAACGACCAGAGTCTGGCGAACGGGAAGGCTCCAGAAGGCGGTGATGTGGTTAGGGAGAAGGAGTCTGGGCGTGGTGACGCTGACACAAAACCGCCGGACGAACCGGTCCTGTCGGATTCGGACGGACCTCCGGAGGACGACGACTCGGCGGACGAATATAAATGTCAGTGTTCACTGTTCACTGGCTTTGCATGTTCTATAAACACACTTGCCCATTGGAGAAATCATTTGAGATATTTCAATCTGCTTTACTTTCGTTAGTTTGGCATACAGTCGTGCAACGGTGTCTTTAACTTTTCGAACTACGTACTATGCCGTTAATTGTGGCGTGTGCTACGTAAAATTAAGCAAAGTCGTCATACTTTTGAAGCCTTTGAAGGCAACAGTGAATGTTATAAACACAAACAGGATGTGTAATGTTATTCTGTCATTTTTAACTTTCCATTTAGCTGAACTGTGACAGTTTACTTTTGTTTTTCGTCGCCAGCCGGCAAGCACGAGCTCAGCTCTGAGGACGAGCTGGCCGACGATGCCGTTCCCTCCGAGGAGGATTCGCCGGTGAAGAAGACCCCTAAGAGGAAGAAGCCGTCGGCGGCCACTCCGAAACAGACGCCCCTCTCCCAGAGTCGACTCCCGGGGACGCCGGCCACTCCGAATACGGCGTCCACCCCGCGAGCTGGCGGCCCTTCCACCCCAGTCACACCCCGCGCTCTCGGCTCCGCCACAAAGAACAAGCTGGCCTGCTTCGCCTTGGATGTGAGCTGACGAAAAACGCGTTTCGGTGGTCGGTTGGTAGAGACTTTTTGAAGCAAGTTTCGTTAAAAATATTCCTGTTTTCTCATAGTCAGCGTGGCAGCTTCGTCTATGTTTTTTTATGTAAAGCATGCTACTTCGTTGATAATCTCGTTTCCTATTTCCGTTCATTTCCGTTTGATTGATTGCAAATCCGGCCAGTTTTTTATTGCGAATTCCGGCCAAGTGTTCTGTCTTCGTATCATCCTGTGAAAAATTTAATGTCGGGACATTGATGTTGTAAGCACACGTTGCATGACGCCCTCGCTGGTTGTAACAGAAGGTACCCAGAGCTCCACTATCATCCCCCCTCTGTCCGGCAGAGCGAGCGGCCGCCGGCGCCGGCGGCGGACGCCGACCACTGGCCCCACCTGCAGCTGGAGTTCCTCCGGCCCGAGAAGCGCCGAGACGCCGCCGGGCGCCGACCCGACGACCCCGAGTTCGACCCGCGCACACTGCGCGTCCCGGCCGACTTCCTCGACAAACAGACACCGGTACGCAGCGGAGGCTATTCATAGGAAATGTTTTTACAAAGTTGTGGGAGGGGGATCAGAGTGGTTAGGACTCGACCTGATTGCAGGGCCGAGGGAAGTGGTGGTATATGATAGAAGTTGGGCGTCGAAGTTAGAGCTCTCATTGATTCTGGCAGTTCAGACTAGTTTCAGGTGCCGCAATCCGTCATTTCGTTGGATATTTGTGTTCCAGGCCATGCGTCAATGGTGGGTGCTCAAAAGCAAGCACTACGACTGCGTGCTCCTCTTCAAGATGGGCAAGTTCTACGAGATGTTCCACATGGATGCTGTCACCTGTGTCAAGGAGCTTGGCCTGCTGTACATGAAGGTAATCAATTGCTGCTTGATATTGTACGTGAAGCGTTGTGTTGTGGTGTAACCTCACCGTGCTGCAATGCATTGCGAACGCTTGTTACTGTATCTTTAACTTCTTAACAACTATCTAGCCTTGTTTTGCCACTTCCTTTCCTAGCTTGTGCAGCACTGATCGGTCCCCCGCTATCCGCTCTGCTCACAGGGCGAGCACGCGCACGTAGGCTTCCCCGAGGCCTCCTACTGCCGCTACTCTGCCTCACTGGTAGCCAAGGGATACCGCGTGGTGCGCATCGAACAGACAGAGACGCCAGACATGATGCAGGCGCGCGTCGCCAAAAGTGAGTGACGGCAAACGGAGGGGGGGAGGAGGAAGGGGAGAGTCAGCGACGGTCAGCTCAGCAGCCCAGCTTTTCTCTGACTGTGGCTTTGTATTGATGCATTGTGCTACGATTCGGGAAATTTAGCTGATATCCTTCGGAGTGTTCCCGCTGTCTGCGCTTCTGAGTTGTCTAACGGCGTTCCCTCTGCACTGGGGTCACCTGCCGATGTCCTCGCCTCTTCCTGTCTGCCCCCCCCCCCCCCCATAATAACTATGTCGCTATATCGCCTCTAATCGCCCCACTTCTGATCGTTCCCCTCTCGGTCCGCCAGGCACCAAGAAAGCGACTAAGTTCGACAAGGTAGTGGCTCGCGAGGTGTGCCAAATCACCACTATGGGCACGCGCACGTTCAACGCCGTGGAGGGCGACGCGTGCGAGGCCGACCTCAGTTACCTGATGGCGCTCAGAGAACAGGTGGGACGCGGACAGATAGGAGTGGGGGGGAGGGGGGCGGAGGGTCGGCTGGGAGAGGAGGGACAGGATGGTCGTATTGAGAAACTGGGAGGCGTACAAAGGACGGATAAACGTGGGAGGGAGGTAGTAGGCGGACAGGGAAGATAGGGTAGGCTTATGTGCATTTATGTGGGCCTGGTTACGGAGCGAGCGAAGCGAGCGGAGTCTTACGTAGAATAACGGAAATTTCTGAGTATGAGCGGCCGGCGTGGTCACGATTCTGCGACGCTTATATCTCAGCAACCACTTGACCGATTTACATGCGGTAATTTTTGTAGGGTAGCTTCATTCCTTCTACCAAGTATTGGACTATTCCCGTTGCATGTGGGTGACCCCTTATGCACGTGCCACGTGCAAAACGAAGAGGTGTCACTTTTGTAATTGTTGCAATATCTCGGTAACTACTTGGCCGATTGCGCTGAAAGTTGGCATGCAGGTAGGCACCCACTAGGCAATGCATATCCATGTGCCGGAGTTGGGGTGCTGCTGCACGTGTGCACGTGCAGGGGTCGATTCCAGATCTCGAGAACGGCTGGACCGATGGCGCTCAAATTTGGTACATGGCTAGGGACCGGTTAGTAGGGTGCCCGTGCAAAAGTCAGTTGGGACCCATTTTGCACGTGCGCACGTGCCGCTTTCAGATCTCTAGAACGGCTGGGCCGATTGTGCTCAAATTTGGCACATCGCTAGAGACCGGTTAGTAGGGTGCCGTGCACAAGTCAGCTGGAGGTACCCCCTCGAAATTTCGCACGTGCAAGGCTCACCCTCTCGCTCGCTCCGTTAGTCGCCCCAAAAGGCGTTATTACTGGTTTTATTTACTGGAACGTTACCGTCGCAATAATGATAAACTAAGTGCACTTTGCCTTTGAGTTGTCCAGCATGTGTTTTGTTTGTGGCTGTGCCTCATATGACGCCTCCCGCGTAGCGTTCTGTGTAGTTAGTACAGGCAGGTGACCGACTAGTGCTGACGTGGCGCGGTGCTCGTCCGCCAGGAGGTGGACGGCCATCTGCAGTTCGGCGTCTGTTTCGTGGACACCTCGGTGGGCCTGTTCCACATGGGACAGTTCACCGACGACTGCCACTGCTCCCGACTGCGCACCCTGCTGGCGCACTACCCGCCCTCACAGGTGAGCTCAAACAGATCGGGTCAATAGTGGGAATAGACAGAGACGCTTTTGGATTTCATGATTTCATATTGGGTAGTGAAGACGAAATCGATTAGAATGTCAATTTTGTTATCTAGCGAGACACGTGTTATCGCTTCACAAACATTTTATATCGGACTTACACGGGAGGCGTCGAAATTTTACATTTGTATTACGTGTGAGCAAGGCAGGCCTAAATTGAAGTTTTGTCTCGTTACGTCACTGGTCGGACTGGACTGGGATGTAGCCCCGCTCGCCCTCGGCGGTCAGTGACGCGCGCCGGGGTGTTTCCGACTGTCTCCGTTGCTCCCCGGACGAGACGTCATCGGGTGTGTCTCTGGAGCCGCCGGTGAGGGGCCGGTCCGAGTCGCTGGGCGCTGGGGTTTCATCCGCCGGCGTCAGCTCGGCAGGAGCCTGGTCGGAGGTGTTTGGGGTCTCCTCAGCAGCGGGCGGTTTGGTGTCCTCGGGCGGCGGCGGTGGCGGCTCCTCTGCGGTGGGGATTTCGCTCGGTTTACCGTCAGATTCCTCAGTCGGCAGCGGCTGGGGCTCCGCCGGCGCGCCGCTGTCCCCCTCAGCCCCGGCGGTCGGCGGGCTGTCGGCGGGCTTCTCTGCCGAGTCGGTGCTGCGCTCAGTGTCACTGGGCAGCCGCTCGCCGCTACCACAGCAGGTGACCGTGGACGAGGGACAGGCCGAGAGGGTGCACTGGTGGCCGGAGGCGGACAGACGCACGCCGAACCGCCACAGCCAGCCGATGGCCTGGTCGACGGCGGCGCGCACTGCGGCGGCGCCCTCACCGTACAGCGGCAGGGAGCGGCACACTCTGAATTCCCCGGCGATGAGCCGGACGGGCGCCGCCAGCACCAGCTGCAGCGGCACGCCGAACTCGCCCTCCGAGGCCACGCCGAGCGTCTCCAGCCGGCCGTCGTCGGCGCCGGCCCACCAGCGGCGCAGCGTGTCCGCCACGCAGACGGCCAGCGGTAGCGCCGAGAGCTCGGCGCCGGCCGGCCGCAGCGGGCTCGAGGCGCGCTCGGCCAGCAGCCGCGGCAGCTCGTCGGCCAGCCACTGGCGCTGGTGGAGCACCTCGAGCAGCGGGCGCCGGTAGCCGGCCGGACCGCGCACGGCGCCCTGGTGCCGACTGACGGCCGCCGCGTCCAGGTCGAGCCAGCAGCGGCCCGCCGGCGGGTTGCCCCACTCGGCCAGGCCGTGGATGTCGTGCGCGGCCACTCCCAGCCGCTCGGCGATGAGCGCGCGCAGCTGGTTGGTGCGCGGCTGGCAGACAGCGATCACGTTGGAGCGCGGCAGCCGCGGCAGGTGCAGCAGTACCATGGTGGCGGCCAGACAGGGCATCCGGCCGCCGGCCACCAGCACGCGGCACCGCGCCGCCGCCGTGGCGTCGATGGCGCACGCGTACTCGCGCATCCTGCAGAACAGCTCGGCCAGCTCCTGCAGCGAGACGTCCGTGTCGTCTTCGACGTCTGAAGGCGGCTCGAGCCAGCCGTCGGCGTCCGTCTCACGGTCCGAAGAGCTGTCGCCGGCCGGCCGGCCGGAGCCGCCCCCTCCGGCTCCGGCCGGGTCTGCCGCGGAGCCACTGCCGGGTGGGGTGCCGCCGGCCGCTGCTGTCGACCCCGCCACCTTCACCTTACCGGACGGATCAGCGGCAGGATCTGAGTCCACCTTGGACTTCCTCCGCTGCTGGGCACTGCTGGCGTTCGGTGAGCGGTACCGGCCGCTGCGCCGGCTGCTGCTACTGCTGCCGCCGCGTGACGCCATCAGCTGCTCCAGGGCCTCCTCCTCCTTCTCCTCACTATCCGGGTCCTCGACGATGATGGAGAGCTTGCGGGAGTCTCCGCTGCGGCGTGCCGAGCCACCGCGCGAGCCGCGGCCGGGCGCCAGGTCACCGGGAAGCCGATCCTCGTCCGGCGGAGTGGTGGTAATCTGAGGGGATGTCGGAGACGAGGAGCCGGCCGAGTCGCGCGCCGGCGGTGTGGTCGGCGGTGTCGCCTCTGAGGACGAGGTGCGCTCGCCGTCACCTGCCGAGCGCGGCCGGTCCGCCGGCGGGGGCGGCGGCGGCGGTGGTGGCGGCGGCTCCTCGGGCGGCGGTGTGGGCGGCGGAGTCGGCTCCGGCGGCGGCACGTTGGGGATCGGGTCGAGGATGATGATGACGGTGGCGTTTCGGACCGCCTCCCGGACGGAGGGCAGGAGCGCCACCTGGCCGAGCTGTGGGCTGGCCAGGTCGAGCAGCTCGCAGCGGAGCGCCGCCAGCGCCGGGTCGGCCGGGTCGCCGAGCAGCTGCAGTCGCAGCAGGACCGACTCACCGAGCACGGAGCCGGTGGCCAGCGTCGCCAGGAAGTGGTAGGCCGCCTCGCTGAGCGGGCTCCCCAGCACGGACACCACGGTCAGCCGGCGCTCGAGCGCCACGCGCGCCTGGCGCCGCTGTTTGCGCTCGAGCTCGAACTGTCCGGCGGTGTGTGTGGCCATCTGCCGGGCGACCAGCGGACTCAGTTCGGGCGGTGTCAGACCGTAGTAGACGGCGGCGAACTGCAGGAACTCGGAGAGGCCGCCGACCAGCAGTCCGCGGCCGCCGCGCTGTACCAGCAGCCGCCACACGAGCGGCCTGTCCGTGTCGGCCGGCAGGTGCCAGCCCTGGGCGGCGCACGTGCGGCGCAGGTAGCACGGCCACTCGAGCGCCGTCTGCGGCTCCTTGTGGACCTGGAAACTGGGCAGCCGCGACTGGAAGTAGTCGGCGGCAGCCTCGAGCCGCGCGTACCGCTCGCAGTCCACCCGGCCGGCGATGACGAACTGGCTGGCCGCCATCGTCGCTGCCGCCGTCGCTGGGGCGCTGTCGGTCCGATGATCAAAATCGCGAACCCTATTTTGGCTCACGGGAGCCGTTTCTTCTTCGATTTGAGCTGGACATTGTGATTAACGGTCTACATGTTCAATAGTCGCGCAATAGATCGCTGGTTTGATTATAACGTTTGTTACCATTTACCAACTTTCTAAAAGAAATATGGCGCCCTTTTAGGCTATTCACTGACGAAATAATCGCTGTGGGTTTATATTTGATTTATCACGTGAATTAGCATGACACGTACTTTCAACCTGCATCCTCATAAAATTCCAACACTGTAGATTAGCATTGAGCACTGAGCAGTGTCGTTCTGCAAAGTGTCCTCCAGAATTCGTATTGCTGCTCGAAATGACATTCATGACATTATGAGGTTACCCAAAATTGTACTAACGACTATGAGTCATTTTATTATTTTCTCATGCAGAATTCGTTCCACCCATGCCGTTCTACATTGACTGCTGGCTCACACCGTGCCACGGTATTGACCCCTCCACAGCTGCTGCTGGCCCGCACCACGGCACCCCAGGAGTCGCGTACCGTGCTGAACTCTCTGCTGCCCAACGTCCTGCGTGAGACGCTGCGGCCCGGCCAGGAGTTCTGGACGGGGGAGAAGACTCTGCGCTTCCTGGCCGAGACTGACTACTTCAGGGAGGATGGGGACGAGACGGGTCCCGCCCAGTGGCCTGAGCTGCTCCTCCAAATGACCAAAGATGGTTAGTTTATAGTCCATCCGGATAAAACGGCGTTAGAAGAACGATGCGGCGCGACTGGAAATTTCTTGTTGGCGATTGATATGGACTGATGATCGTTGATGTCTTATGTGATGTGGGCTGAACATCCTTATACGTTGGGGGTGCCTGTTGTAGATTTTTGCAATTCTTCCTACTTGTTATTTATAGCGATGGTTGCTTCTCTTTTATCATACCCAGCGACCTGTGACCTGACCTCCCTCACAGGTGACACGCTGCACCTGACGCTTCGGCCCGACTGTGAGCTGGTCCTGTTACTGTGATCGGACTGTGACCGTGACCATCCATTCTCACAGGCGACACGCTGCACCTGACGCCTCGGCCCGACTGTGAGCTGGTCCTGTTACTGTGATCGGACTGTGACTGTGGCTCCCTCCCCCTCCCTCACAGGCGACACACTGCACCTGACGCCTCGGCCCGACTGTGAGCTGGCCCTGCAGTGTCTGGGCGCCATGACCTGGTACCTGCAGCTCTGTCTGCTCGACGCTCAGCTACTCTCGATGCGCAGGTGGGCTGGTGGGCGGTAGAGGAGGAACGGAGGGGCTGCATTTAGCAGTCTCGGTTTCGGGGTGTGAGCTGTGTACCTATCATTTTGGACTTGATTCGTCGTGATACTGGACTAACTAGAGTCTGAGCGGGATTTGAGTGGGGAGCAGAAGGGAGTCGTAAGTGCCATGTTTTGTCTATCATTTACGCTACTATCTACATTCTTCTGTCACTAATTTCTCTTTGATTGTGGATGTATACCGATTGTGCTAAACGTGTTTCCTTCACCTGCTTCACTATGCACAGTTATGATCCGTTATAATATACTGTGTTGACCGCTGTTTCATCCCCTGACTGTTTTACCGTCAATATTTTATGTCTCAGGTTCTGTCGGTACCAGCCGCCGGACATCGAGAGCCAGCAGGAGGGCTCCTCTGGTCCGTCCAGCGGCGGGGGAGACGGCTCCGGTGATCTGTCCACGGCCGACCCGACCCAGTCCGACCACACCGGGCGGATGGTGAGAGAGCGGGACCGGGGTGAGGCTGGAGTAGATGGAGTCAGACAATCGACAGAGTGGGTACCAGTTGTACCAGGTACCAGTACCAGTTGTGCAGTGGTGACTGTGGTTTAAGACACATAACTGGAGTCGCACTCGCACTAGCCGGGGCCAAGTTGCAGGCAGTCAGTCAACCAGTCGCAGAGCAGACAGTGCTGACCATACCGTTTTTGCTCAGGTGTTGGACGGAATCACTGTGAAGAACCTGGAACTGGTGGCCAACACGGTCGACGGCACCACCAAGGGCACGCTGCTCGGCGCCCTGGACACGTGTGCCACCGCCTTCGGAAAACGGTATGGACGTCCTGAGAAGATGGCACCGATCACCTGCGGACACTAGAGACGGGCCATAGTTGAAATTATTCTTGAGTGTTTTTAATATGACAATCAAGACAGTATTTTATCAAACCTCATTGAGTGTGAGATCATCTCCTCTGCTAAAACTTACAAAGTGATTACGCAGTATTGTTAGGGAACGGCAGATTATGATGTTGTCCCCTTTAATTGAAGCACTAACCGGTCTGCCCGGTGCACAGTGCGCGTCATTCCTCTTCAAGCTGGGAGACGTCCTGCCATTCCCATAACCGCCCTAACCTACGCTCTGTTCCACACAGCGTGCTGCGCGCCTGGGTGTGCAGTCCCCTCCGCTCTCCGGCCGCCATCGCCGCCCGGCTGGACGCCGTCGATGACCTCATCAGTCGCGCTGACGTCATGGATGACGTCACGGCGGCGCTGAAGAAGCTGCCCGACCTGGAGCGGCTGGTCAGGCGGTGAGTGCAGCTGGTCCCCAGATGCCTAGGGATTGATGCTCTCTCCTCAGCCTTAGTGTGATTAATCCGAGGCTTCTGTATGACGAAGCAACAGGCTTCCCTGAAGGCTAGCGTTATTGTTGAAAACGTAACTTTGCATGACTTTGTTGGACCTGCGTTAGCTTTCCCATCTCTTCATATTGTGTCTGGTTTTAACTCTCACCATTCACCGGTATTCCGCTTGCACCGTTCGCCGACTATCACCTTTACCTTCTATACAAACGTCAAACGTTGATATATGTATGTCGTCCCTTTCAGTATCCACGTGCAGGGTAACGGTCGTCTGCGCGCCGGTGGCTCTCACCCCGACTCGCGAGCCATCATGTTCGAGGAGGGCAAGTACAGCCGGAGGAAGATCCTGGACCTGCTGGCGGCCATCGGCGGCTTCCAGCGCGCGCTCACCATGGTCAGGACGATGGCCGGTGAGTCGGGTCATTGGTGTAACGTTTTTATCAGGTGTTGGCTGGTATCGATTGAAGACGTCACTGAGCATCGCAGAATTAACCATATTGTGGATGGAGTGGTTGTGTGGGACGTGGGTTCATTTTGAGTGAAAACGCTAGCTTTTTGCGGTCACTTATCATCAATGATATAGAGTTGTCCAATCAAATCATACAAACTCCTTAAAAAGCACGCATGAAAACACACTGCTCGTTGTGTATGGGGCGGTGTTACCATAGAAGTAATTGACCTCCCTTCCCTTTTTAACTGTCTGGCAGACACTGCCAGCTCCTTCTCCAGCTACCTGTTACGCTGCTGCCTCACCCTGGACGCCGACGGAGGAAAGTTTCCGGACTTCGCCGACGTGCTTGAGTACTTTGAAGTTAGTCCAGAGGCAGAGCGCTGGTGACCCCGAAAATTTCCTTTTTGTAGATGCTTCGCTGCTTTGCTGCTAGTGTGACGTGAGAATTGTTTTAGTTTATTGGAGGAAACTATCAGCTGTCCGTCTTGTGTGTGGTGTAGTGGTCACGGTTCGGACTAGGCTGTGATTTGGATCGTCCCCTAGACTGTGCCCGCTCCCTCGCCGTCCTATGACCACCTGCGACCCCCTCTGTCGCGTTTCAGAGCTCGTTCGACCAGGAGGAGGCGCGCCGCGAGGGCCGCATCCTGCCCGCCGACGGCGTGGATGAACAGTTTGACGCCGCCAAGGACGCGCTGGAGCAGATCGAACAGGAGCTGGCCGAGTACCTGCGGGAGCAGAGCAGACACTTTGGCTGCAAGGTGAGCACTGAGCACGCGCTGTGTTATAACTCATGGAATTCCGGTCAAGAAGACACCGTGAGTTAGGACGGTGCTGAGGATCAGGAAGGGTCAATCGGCATTGGTTGATGCTTTCCGGCTGTCTTAGCATCCAGAAAGAGATTTGGGGTAAGTGACAGTGAAGCGTTACTGTATGTGGTGCCAGATAATCCGCTATGTCTTCCAATGGTCGGAAAACCGACCCATCCTACTCGAACTATGTTATTCCCTGACCAGATCTGACCTGACCTGACCTGACCTGTGTGCCGATAGGTGTCGTACTACGGCCAGGCCAAGAACCGTTTCCAGCTGGAGCTGCCGGAGCGAGTGTCACACAAGGTGGACGGCTCCTACGAGCTGCAGTCGCAGAAAAAGGGCGCCAAACGCTACTGGACAGACACCACGCGGGTGAGCTGGGACTGAGGGTGGGAGATGGGATGGGGAGCACGAGAGGAACTGTGATCGTGAGCGGGCTTACCGATGAAATGTTTTACCAATTTGGTGCATCCACTTCGAATTTCGATTTATGATCAGTGCGTAGATCAAGGTTCCATGCAGCTGTATCCTGCATTTACCTTTAATCACTGTTCGTGTTAAACTTGATAATATACATTAGACTGCTGGTTTTGCTGTTAGCGCCTCAGATGACCCCGTGTTCCGTTTTCCATGTTCTCCCTGCCCAGTGACCCTGAACATTCCCATTGACTCCCGACAACCCCAGTGATCCCACTGACAATTCCACTGACACCCTGATCGTTTGCCGCTCCCCCAGCGTCTGTTGGCGCGCCAGCTGGCGGCCGAGGAGGCGCGCGCCGCCGCGCTGCGCGACATCAGCCGGCGCATGTTCGCGCGGTTCGCGCGCCACCACGCCGTCTGGGAGCGCGCCGTCCAGTGCCTGGGTCTGCTCGACTGCCTGCTGGCTCTGGCGCGCTTCAGCCGCGGATGTGAGGTCGGCTGTCGGCCCGAGATCGTCACCGACCAGAGCGAGGTGAGTCGCGATCGACAGCGGAGTGCGGAAAAGTTGGAGAGGTTTGTTGGATACTTTCCAGGAGCTCGTCTGACGTCAAAGAACCACGTCTGACCAAATGTAGTTATACAAACTTTTTTGTTGATTGCTTATAAACTAGGCATTTAAACTTGTTTGTTCCTTGGTATAATTTCCCCATTCAGCGATTAATCAGGTATAACTCAACCACCTGGCTTGGTATGACCTCATCATGCTTCGCACGACTCGAAATCCATCTCTGTCTAACCTAGGATGACCCAGTATGACCTCGCCGCCCTCCGTTTCCAGCCGGTACTGGAGATCGAGGAGGGCCACCACCCGTGGCTGGGCCGCTCCAGCGGCGGCATCGACTTCATCCCCAACACCATATCGATGCAGCACGGCCGGCTGATGCTCGTCACGGGCCCGAACATGGGCGGCAAGTCGACACTGATGCGGCAGGCCGGCCTGCTCGTCATCCTGGCTCAGCTGGTGAGAGTTGGGTCGGGGAGGGGAGGCAAAAGGGAAGGTTGTGATTGTTGTATGCGGGATTCGCATTTGGCTGCCCGGTGTTATAAGATCGAATCCAAACCCAACAATAATTGTCTATTGTCAGTAATTTAAACAGTTTTGCTGAAGCGCATGGTTGTTCTGTCGCACCTGTCGTTCCCCAGCTCACAACATGCCTTCCTTCTCTGACCTCCCTCGCTATTCTCCCAGGGCTGCCACGTGCCGGCAGAGTCTCTGCGCCTCTCGCCGGTGGACCGTGTGTTCACCCGACTGGGCGCCCAGGACCGCATCATGAGCGGCCAGTCCACCTTCCACGTGGAGCTCAGCGAGACGGCCGCCATCATGCGGCACGCCACCGTTCACTCGCTGGTACTGGTCGACGAGCTCGGTACGTGCGCGCCGTGCGCAGATGGGAAGGGAACCGGCAGGGGCTGCTGTAGGTTTGTAGTGCGATTTGTCGAAGTTTTTTGTTTTTGTTTATGTATGTAGCCTGTATCACACCATACATGATCGTTAATAGCACCTGGGCCGTCAGACCTCAATCCGTGAGTGGGCCGCTGCCGCGTTTCGCCCGTTCGTTCTACCGCGCTCTGTAAAGCCCCTGAGTCATTTGACTAACCCATCTCCCGTCCCGTCTGGCAGGTTGACCAGCGACCCTTAGCCCTGTGTGACTGACCGCCCGTCCCCCGCCATCAGGTCGCGGCACGTCGACGTTCGACGGCTGCGCGATCGCGTCCGGCGTGCTGCGCCAGCTGCTGCGCACCGGCTGCCGCTGTCTGTTCTCCACCCACTACCACATGCTGGTCGAGGAGTTCGAGCACGAGCCGCGCGTCCGGCTGGCCCACATGGCCTGCATGGTGGAGAATGAGAATGAGGAGGATCCCACAGAGGAGACCATCACCTTCCTGTACAAACTCAGCGACGGCGCGTGTCCGAAATCCTACGGGTTCAACGCGGCGCGCCTGGCCGGCATCCCCGTGGAGGTGGTGCGAAAGGCACACCAGGTGGCGCGCCAGTTCGAGCAGCGCATTGAGAAAATGGCGCGCTTTGCGGCTGTTTGGCGCGAACACTGCGGCGGTACGGCTGTGAGCCCGGCCGCGGCTATCGCGGCTCAGTAGGGCGGCTCGGGATGTGGAGGAGGGGACGATCGAAACGCGGGGACCTGCGATGGACCGAGGTTTGAGACTGCAATGGGTGGTCCAACGAGGGCGATGAAGTGCAAACTGTGAGGAAAGTGCCATGGCGCATGCAGCCAACGGTCGTTTACAGGCTGTTAGAACTATGAATGAAAGTGTTTTTGTTGGATCTGTTGGTGCCAAGAGCTGAAATACAAGCTGTTTTCTAGAGCTGTTGTTTCGACAGATGGTTACTGCTTAGATTTAATAGGCTGTCCCGCATGTTATTTGAACTGGCTTTGCAGGTAGTCTGGAAGCGCAGTTATATATTCTCGGCTGCGACTTTCGGGGGCTGCTGTGTGGAAGGAATCCGCGGGCTGCAGGCTATTGGGCAGGTGGGAGTATTGCGGGACAGCCTACACATCAGGCGCACGTTAGCAGAGCCATCTATCGAGCGGTTTACAAACGAGTAACACGTTGGGGGCGTCGGGAACCACTCCGGGGACCATTCGCTCCACCTGCCTGCCAAACTAGCGGAGTGGGCTTGTGCCTGAGACCGGACCACTATCCGTGCATCCGATCCTTCTTGCACTTGCTGATTCACCCAGGCGCGATATCTAGTTAGTCCCTGCCAGTACTGGTTGACTTACGTAAATGCCGACGTTTTTCAAACAGGGATGACTTCATATCAGTGTTGCATATCCTTAGCTCTAAATTGGTGCCAACTCCGGAGTCGGGTAGAGCGGAGGAAAATGAACCCGCCCGGGTACCTCTACAGGGATGGTCGACTGCGCCGTCTATTGCACCTCGTCCAATCAGCGTCCAGCTAATGGAGAGCCCTTCACGCTGATTGGCTGTCACGCCTGATTACCCAATAACAACAAAGAGCGAAAAAAAAAACTGAGCGGGGCGTGACCAGAAAATCGGCGCTGAACAGTCCTAGCTTGCATCAGGCCCCGGCATCCAATGAACAAGAAACCGTCATATTGGACGCCCACCACCACAGTTCCCTGTCAGTTTCCTGAAAAGATGTTCTTACTTGTCCTCCTTCCTTCAACTGTTTAGCTCACTACGAACCAAAGTTTCGCCCCAAAAAGTCACACCGTCCTGCGAAAATCACATATATTGTATCACTATGTGTGGGCTGGCCGTGCGGCCTAACAGGGCGTTATAACATGACACTGCCAGTAGTTGATCAGATCAGGGACGCGCCCCGGCCGGGCGCACTGCTACACTGAGCACCCCTACCAAACCCGTGAGAAACGAGGCAGCTACTCGGCGGCGACCAGCTCTAGCCACAGCCGGACCGGGCAGATCAGACGGACCGAACGGACCACGGACCGATCACACAGACCGGAGGACCACTACGGACCACGTACCGGTCGCTGAACCTCCCAGGACCACTATAGGACCGGGCGAATCCCACGCCCGCGGTCCCTCGCTAGTTACCATTATCGTTCGCCGCGTACGCCCCGACTGGACCCACGCGGCACGCCGGCGGACTCTGGGCCGCCCGTGAAAGACGTCATCAACAGAGCGGAGAGCGGGCGGCGGCCGGCACCACTGGGACGCCCACCACCGCGGCTCTCCGGGAGTAGAACCCACTCCGGGCGACTACACACCGGTCCCGACGACTACAGGCGCCAGCGGGTCTACCACCACACACGCACCAACAGCCTAGTACTCTGTGTGATCTGCGCATCAACACACATCTCACTCGGGCTCTCACTGAGCCGCGCGACCGACCTCTCACTGATCTCAGGTAGGACTCACGACCCGCAGGACTCACGACTCGCAGGACTCACGACCCGCAGGACTCTCGACTCACACCAAGGCAGGACGGGACAGGTACGTGCGAGAGGTCACACTGTGAGGACAAGGACGGATGGCTATTCGGCAGTGGCCGCGGCGGCCGGCGCCGGCTCGCTGTGAGCGCCGCCCGGCCGCAGCTGGTCCATCTGCTCGGCGATCCGCCGCTTCATCTCCGTGTATTTCTGCCGCACGCGCCGCTTGTAGTCCTCCTCCTCCTTGTTCAGCATCGTCAGGAAGTTGTTCAGCTCCGGTAATGTAAAGTTGTCCCACTGTGGAGCGGGTGGAGCGTCAACAGCTGTTCCAAATCCATCCAATGGTTGTATGAAGAAGAACTGGGATTTGCCCCCATTATTCAGTTGTTCTTTCTTTGAATACATCACTGCGGATACAGTCGAGCAGAAGCCCTATCAAAGCACATAAATACAGGCGACTCACCAGAATGTCACCCGTATCGTTCTCCTGGAGAACAAACTTCTTGTTCACGACGCCGTGGTGGCTCCAGGACAGGGCCAGCTCCAGCGGCCGCTCAGAGTCGGCCAGCCGCCGCATCTTCACTGTAACAACATACGGAGAGGGCACGTCAGCACACACGAGAATAAAAACACACAGACTACAGATACTGATATTCGGCCATACATAACACAATGACTAGAAGGTAACGGGCAATCTGGACCAAACGATACACCTTCCGTGCATGACCTGGTCTGAGGGTCAATTTTGAACCCAATTACGGAGCGGTTTCCTAATCAGAGGGGCGGTCGGGGCCAGAAACACGCGAGCCCCAGTGAAGCACGTCATACGTCACGAGAGGGACGGTGCACTGCAGGAGCGTGCCACAATGAATGCCTCTGATGTCATAATCTATATTTTACAGTACTCAATAAGTAATGTATCAGGAATCTCGGATAAACCATGTAATGCAGCGGCAATTCGAGACAGGTGAACACTTGTTATTCGCGGGCATAACTGGCGTCAAGGTAAGGGAGCGGCAACTCTTTCGCGGGTGTACCGACGCGAGTGCTGACCTGTTTGGGTCAGACCGGACCGGACTCGGTCGTCGGCGGACGGTATCCGCTCGGTCGGCATCGGACAATATTAATGCCAGCTCTGCCAGGTCGATAATCGCTCCGGGACACGACAGCGCACAACAGGGGCACGGAACGGCACGGCACGGGACGACAGGGCACGGGACGGCAGGGCACGGGACGGCAGAGGACCGTAAAGCATGGCAGGACACGGCCAGCTCCGCAGTCGGCACAATATGCCATGGTAAAGCCCTGCACGGCAGGACGTAGAATAATTGCGCACGAGACACAGTATGACTGGGCACTACGGCATGGAACAGGACAGCACGACGGTCGGGATATGAAAGGATGCCGAATGTCGGGGGCGAAATGATAGCTGGGCAAAGGCATCATAGTGAAAGGGCACGCCATGGTCCACCTTAGTGAAGGTGGACCACTAAGCCCGGTGTCGGCTTAGTGAAGCATAGCCGCGTCGGGTCAATCGATTCCGGGGCACGCCACCGACCGACCCAGGACACGGTGGGTGTCGCCGACACGCCCTGATCGACTAAGGTCGTCTGACAGGACAGTTAAGTTCGGACGGTATGCACTGCAGTCTGCGGAATCATGCTGCGAGTGTCTGAGACGCGTCTCATCTGAGCCAGGAAAACTGGCTCACGTAGGCGGACTACAATGAGTCTGGTCACAGAGTCGTGTGGACCTGCCAAAACACATTAAAAAAATAAAAACTCGTGCTAGGCCCCCACCTGCTCGTGCCATGCACCCTATCCCCTGAACCTGGCGAGACCACCAGCTCCTCGAGCGCCGTACCTTTGGTGGACTCTCCCTGTTCCGTTAACCGTTCGTAGAGCGCGAACTTGCGCGGGTCGTCGACGATTTTGAACTTCTTCAGCAGTGACGAGATCACTTCGTGTACCGTGGTATCGCTGTAGGCGGAGAAAGGGGATGGCCGAGGTCAAAACAGGAGTCTCATTGAGGTCACGCTGAGGTTCAACTGTCCGTGAGTCGCAGAGTCCTGTGTATTCGCGCTCAAAACTGTAGAAAACTATAGAAACAACATATATCACTAACGATCCCATAACTATTAATACTCTTTCCTCACATCACAATCATGGAAATCGCTAACCCGGTTTCCAGCGACCTCCATTCTCACAGACAAACATGCATTTACTGAGTATATTGACCTCGCCCCGGTCAAAGGAGCACGTCCTGTGGTCCGTGCACCGTGCTGAGCGGACAGCCGGCTGTCCCGACCAGGTCAATACCGTCCAGGGCAGGGCAGCTCGACCGACCACAATACGGTGACCCACTGACCGATCGGCACGGACGCATATACATACACACACAGAGCGAACCGCAAACAGACGTAATGACATCTGAGCGGGGCAGCTGGGCCCGCGGGGAGATCAGAGAGGGAGAGAGGGAGGGAGAGAGGGAGGGAGGGAGGGAGGGAGGGAGGGAGGGAGGGAGAGGGAGAGGGAGGGGGACAGGGAGAGGGAGGGGGACAGGGAGAGGGAGAGAGAGAGAGAGAGAGAGAGAGAGTGAGAGAGAGAGAGAGAGAGAGAGAGAGAGAGAGAGAGAGAGAGAGAGAGAGAGAGAGAGAGAGAGAGAGAGAGAGAGAGAGAGAGAGAGAGAGAGAGAGAGAGAGAGAGAGAGAGAGAGAGAGAGAGAGAGAGAGAGAGAGAGAGAGATCAAAGCCAACAAGACCTCCAGAAAGAGCCGTACAATTACCAAGGATAAGGGGTTCAGCTGCTACAGCCTGATCATATATAACAATAACTGCGTACCAGTAATGGGCAAACCATGCGGAGCCGGAGCCCATCGAACGCCATCAATGCTGGACAATCCATTATAATGCACCGTGCACAGCACCATACAACACAACAGAACATCACAAATCAGCTGCAATGAAGGACAGACGACCCATATAGGAACACAATAGCACACAGCATGCGATAGCACAATACACATGATACACAATACACAACAGAATACAAAACAGACAACAGAAGACACAATGAACACAGTCAAACGCCACCTGACGGATCGTCATCCGGATTCACCTAGACGTCTAACAGCCTTCCCATCCCCCTCCCCCAGTCGCGGCGTCATCCACACCCACTTGTCGATGTGCAGCGCCTTGACGGTGTCCCGGGGCAGGTAGAAGGAGGCCAGCGTGCGCTCCAGCGTCTGCTCCGGCTGCAGCACGTCGTAGATGGACGGCGGACGCGTGCCGGCCACGATGTTGATGGGACGGAACAGGTTCATGTGCACCCGGATGAAGCCGTGGAACGACCGGCCGTCCTCCGACTGGGGGCGAAATGGGGGGGGGGGAGGGGGGGTCAGACTGACTGGGACAGGAACAGTACAGTCACCGTCGGCTTGTACACCGTGGGCTTGAACGTTCAAATGATGATGCTAAAAATATTTTAGGGTTTGAAGAGCCGGTTCTGCTTTCATAGCTTAAAAATAACTAAAAGTGTTTCTGGCTTATTTCTATATTTTCCCAGACGAGCAGACCGCTCCGAAGCACGGACTTGTGCTGCTAAATAGAAACATAATGAACAATCGAAAACAAACATCTCCTGTGTCTGCAGACCCCGTCGGCAATGATGGAAACTAACGACTCGGATGAGCTATGCCCTCATTGCCTTCTGATTGCTTTCTGAGAAACTATTAGCCTTCATCACCATATAACCCGCCCCGGCATAACATCAAATCCAAACTGGGCTGAAGAAGACCTCCTAGCCGTTCAGGCCAAGATATCTGAAGCATGGGTACGGCACCGTCCAAGTCAGAGGTCGTCAAGACGGCATGACAGTTCTCCGAACCCCTGTTTGCCCCACTGCACATACAAACAGCCCCTGGCAGATGGGGAGGGGCGCGGAGCTGCCATGACAGCGGTGTTTCCTGGTCCGCCCCGCTGCAGTATTGTACACTGTACGGCCCTGGGAGACGGGGAGGGACGCGGAGCTGCCGGGGAGCGGTGGGACAGCCATGACAGCGGCGTTTCCTGGTCCGGGCCGCCGCCATCAGTCCGGTTCCGGCCCGGTCCACCCAGCTGTGAGGCCACGTCCGTCCCACGGCCGAGGCGCCCAGGCCCTCTCTTAGGGTAATGACATCCGAGACGGAGCCACAATGGGGCAGACGTGAGGCAATGTTTCCGGGAGGAGGCTGTCACCTAATTGGCCAACCCTAGCTGCTCTTTTTCTCGGTGCAGCTAATGCAGCTTTCATGGAAACATTTCTTACGAATGAAACTGGTCAGAATTCTCACAAAACTATAAACATTATTTACATTGAGGAATAGGGACTCTTACCACCAGATACTGTAGAGCCTCTGATTCGAGTTTAACTCTCGTGCGTAGCTCGTCCAAGCGTCCCTCTTTGGTCCAATTTCGCCTGCTCCCACCCGGCCTAGTTCGGCCCAATCGGCTTACGCCCCACACTCGACGCTCCAGCCACTGACGAACGTAATCCGTGCCGTAAAGTGGCCCCGAGAGCGTGGCAAGCTGTAAAAACAAGACTTTACTTCAATTAGTGAGGATCTGTCACTTTGGGCCGTAAAAACGCCTTATCTCCCACCAACACTACTCAATTTTAAAAGCGAAAAACTATTGGCGGAACACATTCGTCTCAGTGACATAAACACAGGCGAGTCGCTTCGAAAACAGCAGTCTTCACGGCCACGCAATAAACAATTTCCTTTGGTTTTAACTTAGTGACCGATCTTAGCTTGGAAGCCACGAAACCTCCGGGCGTCCAACTGAACACGGAATAGTGGCCCTCCTTTCACACCGTTCCCTACCTAGTCTGAGCGCCCTCCCCATCCCCGCTCACTACAGCCGGGAGAGGCACGGCCGTACTCTCCGTCAGCTCCCCCCCCCCCCTTACTCCAGCCGGGCGCGCGCTGCCGTACCCACTCAATGTTGAGCACCACCAGGTCCTCTGTGCCGTCCTCGTTCACCGAGACGATCGAGAGTCGCCGCTCGCGGTCCCGCTCGGCCTTCCGCCGTCGCTCAGAGGCCCGCCGCGCCTGCCGGTCCTCCGTCTCCGGGTCAGCCATGGCGCTACGGACCGCGGGATCAGCAGAACAGGTCGCCGCTCACTGACACCGGAGATCTCACAGGGCTCAACAGAGCTCACTGGAGTTCACTGCTCGCCACCAGTAGAGATCTTGCAGCAGCTCACTTCAGCTCAACGCCAGTAATGTTCTCACTGGTGCCGGAACGACGGCTCACAGTCGCACCGAATCACTGAGTTCACAGTTCACGGATCACCACCCCACTCAGGTTCTTACAACGGCGACCACCGGGGACAATCCACGAGACCCACGGAACGGTGGCAGGACAGGCAGCCTGCCTCGACAGGAGACTGGCGGGGCTCAGTCCGCGCCTAACCACACCAGGAAACGGACGGTATCGGCCGACGCCGGCTGCCCCTATCGCGACCGCTTCCGCCAGATCCGCCGGCAGTGGGGCCCGGTCGGCGGACATGGCCAGGCATACAACAGACGAAAGTCGACCTTTATCATACTGGTGCGAAAAAGGATGCGGGAATTTGCCGACTTACGGATACATTTGCTGGTAGGTATCAGCCCTAACAGCAGCCACACAGCTTCATTGTATGGCTGACAAACGCCAGATGACTACAGCTTCAAGAAATTGAACTCTCTTCTGGTGCCTAACGACATAGGTACCGACTACCAATAGCGGTACACATTACACAGTGCGGTATCAACCCATTACCAGATGGCGATTCGAAGTCACGTACCAGCGTCATGTAGAGACCATGGGACGTGGCATTGTACTTTTCGATCATCTCCGCTTTGATTGTCGAGTCCGTCTCACGCACCTCAGCAACAGCAACATTGTCACACCTCTGTGGAAAAGAAGACACACATTGTCACACCTCTGTGGAGAAGGGGGACACACATTGTCACACCTCTGTGGAAAAAGGGGACACACATTGCCACACCTCTGTGAAAAAGGGGACACATACTGTCACATTGTCACACCTCTGTGAAAAAGGGGACACATACTGTCACACCCCTGTGAAAAAGAAGACACTGTAGGCTAGCCATGATGACATCGGTTTACGGATGAAACTGATATGATGCCAAATGCAGCGGCAAACATGCTCAGAGTGGTTATTGTTTACCTGATAATTCAAATAAATGCCAACGTCCCTGTACACAAAAATATGCATTATGCAATGACATATTGTTGAATTCAACCAACTACATTCATCATACTGAAAGAGAAGCGAACATTTGTATCTGCGACTCCCGTCACAAAACAACACCCAGGTGACTAAGGTATTCCCCTGCTCCCGTTCTCCCCTACCTCAATATCGGGCCTCATTCTGAATAAACGACTATTCCTACTCGCTCAGACATCAGCGAAGTCGTAGGCTGCTTCTAGGCAACACATCTGCCCGGATGCTTGATGAAACACGCTTCTCAGAAGAATGCCCCGAAGTTGAAACATTAACCAACTTATGGTGCACACAGGCGGAAAGTTGCGGACGCCACCCCCACGCCTGATGTCGTTCGCCCGCTCTCAAACAATGCGTCCCCACTATTTGTCGGACGTTCATCGCCAAATGTCGGACAAATGTTGAGGCCGCCCAGCTGATGACTGGGCTCAGAAGGCGGACCATATGGTGAAGATGATGTCATCACAGAAGGAATAAGGAAACGAAAACGAATTTATGTTAGCAATCTTGAGTGACTTTCTGAGAGAATAAAGGTGGTGGGATATTAAGAAATATTATCGAGATACCGGCCGGTGATGCCTGCATTTAGGCGTGCCGGCTAAAGGCAGAAGAAGAAAATCGAACTCACACTGGAAACTAAAAACATGTTCACGCAGTTTTGGTGATGCATATCAGCAGCTGCAGTGCTTTAATATTTCAAAAGGCAAGTCAAGGGAAAGTTGTTGACACCTTTGACACGAATTAACCTAGGACCTCAATCTAGGGTTCCTTGAACCTCAGCTACACGTCCGAGCTACAGGCCAATGAACCTCGATGCTGATCTCGATGCATTTATTCCTGGTGCGGTGTCTGCTGTCTATCCTCTACAGCGGAGAGATTGTCGGCCTGTTCCCACCACGGCGTTCCCACTGCGTCAGGCGACTGGACGTGTGTCAGGGCGTTTTGCTGAGCTCCAGCAGAGCCGGCGCCGAGCGGGCCGATTGAGTTAGCTCCCCGACTGGCGGCGCCTAACTCAGTAACGCCACGCGGCGCCCCCCGGGCCTCGGGAGGTGTCTGAGGCAGACGGAAACAGACCGAGACCCGATTCGGCAAACATGGCAGAATGGCTTCTTCTTGGAACCGATCGAAGCTGGCGACTGCGGAGGCATAAAAATGATGTGGAAACCAGAATTAGCTCGTTTGGCTTGCATGAATGAGATTGAGAGCAATCATGCCGACGCCGATTTATTCACAGGTGTTTCATTTTACTCTTTAACGGATCGAACCCAAGTTTCAAAGCTCTAATGGCAACTAATGGCAGGCGGATGTAACATGACAGACCTCAACTGACGGGGTCGTTGGTCCGTCCCCACACAAGGCGTCAAAGCCGCTATCTGCCGCTCCGTGCCACCACTCAGCATAAGTCAGGGCTGTTTCTGCCCGCTCCGCCGGAGACACGTGAGTAGCGTACCGACGCACAAAGCAGAGCTCACACAGCACGTGCCACCCCGGCCGCTGCTGGCAGGTCGTCGGCCGCCGATCTCGTCGGCAGCGTCGGAGGGGGGGGGGGGGACGATGGGGTGTTCCTCTGAGCGCACACGGGCACAACTCAGCTGAGCAAATACGCTACGGTAGCGACCCAGCAAAGCGGACAGTGACGCTGTAAATCCGGCTGATCGGTACTGCTGCCGGGCGCAATCGGTCGAGCCCAGCGGCCCGGCTGGTACTACATCACAGCGATCGCTCCGCTCGTCCCTCAATGGGGTAACGACGGGGAAGAAATGGCCATGTGAAACGGCCACGCCTGCAGGCGGAGCACCCATTGAACGTGGACATCCCAGATGATGACTGAGCCCGTACGGTCCGCTAGAGCTACCAGGTAGTCCGAGTCGCTTCTAAATAGTCCGCCTTTGCGTCATTCGACGAATTTCTGGCGTCCGGTTTTTAAACAGTCGCTCTCGTCAGTCCGGGGAATTCGGGGAGTTCTGATGACGACGGTGGTCCTCAGAGGCGCTATTTTCAGAGCTGGTGGGACGACGGTGACATGTCAGACAGCGGTAGGACGTGACCGCTGTCCGGACCAGCGGTGACCGCTAACCATCGAAACCGCGACCGCTGGCCAGCACCAGAGGCTCTGCACGACCGAGAAAAGCGGATGGCGAGGATTGCGCGTGGTCTGCGGTTCACATCCTGACAGAGAGATTGGTGGCATTTGGTTAACGATGCCGAAAATGTGAAGCATGCGGATGAACCCAAACTAAACAAAATGTATCCTAGCTCAGCAGAATCGTCTGTGTCAGCTGATATATTTGACACAGACGTCAAGACCTGAATCAAACGTCAGGACCTGGCAGTTGGCAGGTCCTGACGTTGTTAGGACGTGTCTCAGACGAGAGAGGGGAAAACAGACGGACAAGGAGAGACAGCAGAGGTTGAGAGGAGGTAAGGAGAGATGAGCAGCGATGTAGGGCGTGAGGGGCGTCTCTGATGAGAAGCGGACGGTGTCGGCCGCAGCTGGCAGTGACGGCCGGCGCCGTTCGACACGATCGGCCCTACTAATGAGACGGCTGGGCGGCACGGCCGGCCTACACAGCGGCCAATACGGATCGTCCCTGCCTGCAGACCTGCGAGCCTGGCAGATAACTCTGAACTGTACCGGTACCGTGCTGAACGTCAGTCGGCACGCATGAGTCCAATGTTGACGATCACTCACTAAGGATGCTGTCGACTTAAGCCTCACCAAGTTCTTGTCTGCAACGGTCAGTGCGGACATTGGCCCAGTGGCTATGTTCATTCGTTACCATGCACGTAGTGGTTCTGGCCTCTGAAACCCCTGACCCACAGAGTGCACGGGACACCACTCTGGTAATACTGCAATCACAGTGGTATTACGGCCGGGCCAGCCGAGGTTCCTCTAAACTGGGTAATTTCGTCCCACACTAACTAAGCTGCAATCAATCGTGAGCGGCTTGAAGCTCTGGTGTCGCCTCCTAACCGCAACATAAGGCAACTTCGATACACAGACGGAGGAGTCCAAGCGATTCAGAAAGCCAGCGAAATTTTCATTGCTATGGCCAATCGTCTCATACCTATGGTTCATAAAACGATGGCACTTGAATAATGTAACAAGCAAAGTCGGCAAAAAGTAGAAAATAGAAGAAAATTACGGATATCTCACCACTAGAGTTTGTACTTCGACCAGGTCAACGTCCTGGTTGGGGTCGGTGACCTCGGAGAGGTCGAGGTCACTGGCCGTGTCGGACGGACAGTCCAGGGTCACCAGGTCACGGCACCGCTGGTGGCACGTGTAGCTGCAGTCTGTCAACGAACGGAGCGACAGGTCAGTCAGTCAGCAGACGCGGGTAACGCACAGTGTAACTCCGGTCCACAGACAGCTCAGCTATCACTGGGGCGGGGCAAACGGTGACACACAGCTCTCGAGCAGATATGGTGCGGGATATTAATAGTTAATACCAATAATCAACATAAGCGCTATCAGCTACAGTGTGGTTCGCATGTACGATGCCTAATTCAACGAGATACGTTTAATATTAAAATATTGGAGTCATATTCTTATCTATTTATAACGATCATACTATTGAAGTCTCGGCGAAATCTACCTTCCTAGCCCTACAGCGCTCGAGTCGCCAGTTATACACGGTAGTGGAATCAGCCACTAACATTTGCCCCCAGCTGCGAGCAGAGTTCGATAAACACACTGATCAGAGTCAAACAGGCGAGCGGCGCTTACAAACAGAGCAGCTGAATGGGCCGGTAGTCGGTAGGGCCACGGCGGGGCTCGGAGCTGTGTGGTCGGAGGGTTTGGGTTGGCGGCTAGAGCTGAGAGGACTCGAGATTTCTTTGAGAGCTGTTGAAAAACCTGTGGTGAGCTGTTGGAAGGAGTTAGGAAGTTATTGAGATGTTTGGAGACCAGCTGGCACTGTTGACACCATTGGCGAGGGTTGTTGTTCGTCTGTTGGATGGCGTTGTGGGATTCAGGAAGTCTTTGAGGTAACTGTTGATGATGGTGACGCTAAGAGCTGCGTCAGCCAGCCAATGAACCAGGCTCCCACGGTCGAAACTATTAGTAAGGTGAGCTTGCTTTCAAGACTCTGCTCCTATTTGCCGAAACAGACGGGCCGCCGCCGCCCCGCCGCCCCACCGCCGAGGTCACCCCAGGGCAAGCCGGGACGGGGTCGCCGACTCGAGGTCACCTCGGGGCGGGCCAGGTCGGGGCCGCCGACTCGAGGTCGCCTCGGGGCGGCCCGGGCCGGGGCACGCTGACACCAGTGTCGGGCCGCCGGCGGACGATCGAACATCGATTCGGACCAGCTGGCCGCTGTCGGGACGGTCGCGAGGAGCTGTTGGCTCGACACTCCACCTTCGACCCGCGACGGTCCGCGCCCGATACCAGTCACAGAAAGATATACAGGGATGGCATAGAGTGCGGGGACGGGATAGCATAGAGTGCGGGGATAGCACAGCTGACTCACGCAAATCAAATCAAATCTGCCTGACATTCTGGCATGCTTGAGAAAGTTAGGTCAAAGTTAGCCAGCCGTTGCCTGAGGATAAACTGGCGATCTCGGTAGCAGGCGGAGCAGGCCTGCAGCACCCCAGAGCCGAGCGCATTGCCCGGCCAAATGGGAGAGCTGCGAGCCTGAACAAACAGAACCGCACGGCTGCTGCCGTCAGACTACGATCAATCTCGGCACACCTGAGCAGCCCCCACCCCCACCCCCACCCCCACCAGCACCCCCACCTCACCCTCAACGATGTAGGCCACCTTGAAGCACTTGTCACGAGGCACATAGTCCAGGTAGATCGAGAAGCTCGGCTTGGAGAATTTCACCATGAGCTGCGATTTGTATATTTTCGGCTCGGTGGCAGCGGCGGGCGTCGTAGTATCGGCGGCGGGCCGAGAGTCGTTCGGACGCGCCTCTCCACGCTCCCGCAGACTCTTGGAGCGGGTGAGCTTCTTTCTTTGGAACAGATCGCCCGTCCGAGAGCGGACGATCTTCCTCGGAGCGGGCATGGTCTGTGGCCGTGACGCGCTGTTCGGTTATAGCCGAACTAGGCCTACCGCCGAGTGACGCCCATCAGGCCGATGGTGCTGGTGGTTCAACACAGCAGCGGACCTCAGCACTGCACCGAGGATGGGTGACACTCAACACCACAACAGCAGTCTGCAGTGATGACAGCGGAGCACAGCACTAGGCACTAGCACTGTCAGCCACCAGCCTGTCTGTGATCACAGACACCAGGTGGTGCGTTCAGACGCAACTCAGTTTTCCGCCCAGCTCTGTCATCAGCCCTCAGAGCGACCCTCGGGCATCCTTCGCACACCCAGCACACACGCCAGCACCTCACAGCCCAGCCTGTCAGTGTGTGCAGGCAGGGAACTCGAGTGTCCGACTGGCCGTGCCCAGAACGGAGGAATGGCTCGCGGGGCAGAGGCGCGGACCGGGCGGCGGGCCAAGCGCGCCCGCTGCCAGCCGCCCCCCGATAGACAGATCACCCAGCCGGCTGTCCGAACTGCTCTGCAGTCTCGCCGCTGTCAGAGCGCTCTGAAGATTCAAGTTTGCACTAGTTGGAACGGACGATAATGTTCCGGAACCTTGCAGTTGCCTTAGAGGTAAGAAAACTCGGACCTAATGCCGCTGACCTGGTATCAGAGGGTCTCGTTTATGTTGAACAGTCTGTGTTTTGAAAACAGTGGAACCTGAAGAAGACTGACTCAGAACTGAGCAGATCCGGGCTGAGCCGAGGCCAGTAAGTCGCTGGAGAATTGGAGCAAGGCTGCGGCTAGTCCGACACTGGCACGGGTGCCACCACCTGAGCTCGGCGTTAGAGCTGGCGAGGGATGGGAGGCGGCCAAATCACCGGCTCCGAACGGCTGCACCTGCGCACAGTAAACAGTCGGCAGAGCGGGCTGCCACGGGCAGATGGCTATATTGGAAGGCAGGTCCCCGGGACACGGACCTGCGTCCGACAGAGGCGGATTATTGTGTTATATGATATATCCCGGCTGATCAGTGTCAGTCGGTGTTGCCTGGCAGGTGCGCGGATGGCGATGTAACAAAATAGTATTTCATAGCGAGGTTTTAGGTAGCAACGTCGAGAGAAACAGGACCGTCTCATCAAACATAACCGTCTTGTCAAAGCCCAATTCATTGATTCCATATGCTGTCATCAGCCCGAAGCTCGCGACCAATCCGGACACAGTGACATTTCCGTTCGCGATCCGAGCGGACATCCATCCGTGATCAGAGTGGACATCTGTCCGGAAATGGATCGGCACTCGGACACCGGCTGGGACGTGCAGCGGCGCTCAGTAATGCCAATCAGCGGCTCTGAATGCGGGTCATTACGGTCACGGCCGAGCCGCGGGTGGTAGACGACGTGTCAGCGGGCGTCGTCTGGGTCACTCACCCCTAGGGGGTTGGGGGGTCACCACATAGGAAGGAGGGTCTGCGTTACACCCACGCGCGGTGGTACGGTTTCCTAGCCGCGTTCGTATGGGTTCTGTGTGGAATGGCCACTAACGAGGCACTCAGAACTGCTGGCAGTGTGTGGTCGCTGGTACACACCGCGCCCGTGCATCACCGCGACGACAGCCTCCTCGTGTCAGTGTCGCCGACTGACACAATGTGTCAGTGGTCCGGGCCGGGCCGAGCGCTGCCGTCCGTCTCCGGACCACGCCCCCCCTCCCACCGCTGGGGGAGGGAGGCTGCGGCAGACATCGAGAGGACAGTCAACGGCCGCCGCAGCCGCCCACAGGAGCGGCGGCAAGTGGGGCGAACCGTCGGTGTCTCCCACATTCGACCCTTGACTCTGCCTCCCAGTCCCTGGTATTCATATCCCTCGCATTTTCAATTCGTTTTTCCTGAACACTTCTTTCCAGTTCAATTTAGTGAAGTTCAAGATCTTCTACAGTTTCACTCCATCCTTCTTCTTTCTGTTCCCATCTATACTCACTCCGTCTTTGCCCCTTTCATGGCCACATCATTTTCCAGTTCCATCTTCACTCTATTCCCTCCCGCCGCGTTCCTCTCCTGTCCACCACCCTCCGTCTCTGTCCGTCTCTCGGACTGCAGAAAGACGGCGCAGACCACAGGGAGAGAGGGCACGGACCGCAGGGAGAGACGGCTCGGACCACAGGGAGAGAGGGCTCAGACCACAGGGAGAGACGGCTTGGACCGCGGCTCGGGTAATAGCTATCGACCGCCTTCTCCGCTGTATGGCTGCACACAGGAGCCACCGGACGGCGCGGCTCCGCAGTGCGCCCGGGTGTTGGTCAGACTGTGCTGAGCACATGGCTCGGCACAGCACAGCGTTCTAGCACGGTAACAGACACCAGGCTGGACGCGGTAGCAAGGGAATATGGAACAGTTCGCAGCGCCAATCAGCAATGCATGCTTACGAAACGTGCCATGAGCACGGGCCTACATGCTGCATGGTGCAACGATAAGCAGCATGAATTTACCGCGTGACATATCAATGACTTTACCCGGTCCTGACTTATAGTCTGGTGGTTGGAGGCCTCACTCGGTGAGCTGTCACCTCTGGGCGCTGTCGTGTCCCTCGGTCTCCACATCTCCAACACACCCACTGGGACCAGCCCAGTGATGGAAGGACATTGGACGCTCAATTGGATGGCACGGGGCCGATAGTCGGCCGGCGAGCGAATATTGTCTCGTCGGTACAAGCATATATATTGGGTTCACCCTATTCCTATCTAAGCATCTCAGTGACACAACCACACTGCTGTCAGTGCGATATGTTGATTTTGACTGTGGGAGTCCATAATTTTCCGAAGCAAAGTTTTCGTGTCCATTGCTCATTTATCAAATTGCTTCAATGTCCAAGACCTTGATCGATACCTTGGGCGGCGCTAGTTGGTCCCAAACTCAGCAACCGATAAAACTGGGGGCGCTAACGGCGTTTCCAGCCACCAAACCTGTGGCACCAGGTAAACTCTATGGCAGGATGGATGTCACGCCCGTCGCATAAGTTCAGACCACTGTCTACCTTGGACTACACGGTAAGTTACACCCAGCATCCACCACCACATCCAAAAGACAGGACTATAGACGGCGACCCAACCGGCAGTCCGAAAACAGCTGCGTCGGCACTCAACTCACCAGCTGAGACCTCCCTCCGCACCAGTCCCACCACGGGGACCGCCGGCTCGGCGGCCGCTGCTGGATAGCCTTGTTTGTCGCGCTCGTGTCCAGTGATGACCACTCTGGATTCAGGCCGGGCGCGGCGCCGCACACTATGTTTATGTCGGCGTAATTATGCCGCCGTCAACGTTCACACATCGTTTGCGGCCAAATGGGCGGTATTTAATGGCGCGCGGAGGACGGCCGGCATCCGCTGACCGCTGACGGAGGGCGCTGGGTCAGCTCAGCTCAGCTCGGGGTCAGGTCAGCGGCGTCAGACGGCGTCCTATTTCTGATCAGACCCACCGCCGCGGCCGCCGGGGCGCGACATCTACAAATGACTGTCGGTCTGCGGAGCTGGGCGGCGGCCAGCGGGTCTCCGGAGGCCGTATTGATGCAGCCAGTTATCGGGAGGGAGGCAGAACCGACGGCGTCAGCCAGAAATGATTCGCCTAATCGGGGCGCACCAATCGATGGACAAATTAGCGGACCAATTGGGCCGAATAATGAGGAGGGGTTCTTGACTCCCCAGCGGAGCGGTTGTGGCGCAGCAGTCAGCATCTTGGGATCCCAACCCATGCCTGATCCATACTGCCGCACTCACATCTCCTGCTGACAGCGATGGGATACAGGCGACACACGGTCGCCCAGCCCTAAGTGTTATTTACTTATGAATAACTCAGGATCGCAAGATGCGGCTGCCTTGTGAGGTCTATTTCTGTCGTGTAGGGTGTGGCGAGGGCTGGTCTAATGCGGTACGGCGGACGGAAAGAGGTGGAAGGGTCGGCTGCGACATGCAGACAGGTCGTTAGTTGTCATAGAACCAGCATGCTAATACGACACGGCGGCGGCAGCAGACATGAGCACGGAACGCCAATGCAGCACGGCAGGGCACGGAGCCACGTCCCCAGTGGTTCTGCTGCACTGGACACGGTGATAAACAAACGACATAGCAGGATCAAAATCTGGGCAGCACGGAGCGTGCATCCTTCTAAATCACGAGCTGCTGTCATTTGACTGGAAGCTACCAACTCCAGCTAAAACATTTAAGCCAAAACAGCATCAAAAGTAACGAAAACAGCTCCCAAGATATGGAAGTGGTTCCGGGAGCCAATCCGATCATTACAGGCTGCCGTATCAGTGGCCCGTGGCCGCAGGGAACGATATCGAACACTGCCGCCCACCCTGCGATCCGTCGGCCGCACCCTTCCCACCCGAGCCCGCAGCGACAGACGGCGTGTCGCCGGCGCCGCGTCAGCACGGGGGGCGACGAACCCTCCTGGGCGAACAGCTGATCGGAGGGTCCCGGTCCCTCTCCTGTCGCCGACCCTCCCCTGCAGACCTGATCAGCTGATCGGAGGGTCCGTCCGGGCGGACGACTGTGGTAGACAGCCTGGAGGGGACGAGCAATTGGGACCGACGCGTGACGTCGCCATCCATGAGCCGGGAGGACAAATGGGTTGTTGACGTTACCCCTGACGTGAGAGACAGGCGTGACGTCAGCATCAAGGACGTTAACTCGCCGCCAACACCAGCACCACGACGTCAGTGGCGACGAAGTCGTGATCGGCGGTGCAATTTGGCTACCAAAGTCCACTCCAAACTTCAGCGCGAAACGACACACTCGACACAAACAGCTGCCGTCACACGCACAACAAACGCCAGCAAACAGCCATGCAATGAGAGCGTGTCCAGCGCTCCAAGCTGTCGGCGCTCGGGAGGTCGTCCCTGAGACCCCGCCGGCCGACGGTCGGCGACAGGCCCCCTCAGCTCGACTTACCGGAGCGGCCGCTCAGGCCGGCCACGAAGCGGACCGTGCCGTCGGCCTGGTCCTCCTCCGCCTGCCACAGGTCCGGCTGCGGGCCGCTGAGCAGGCACAGGGGCTCGCCGCTGTCCACATCGCTCGCGCGAGGGAACGCCGCGGCCTCGGCGTCCACCGACGCGGCGTTGTCGCCGACTGAGACACGTTCAGCTTCACTGGAGGCATCACTGGCACAGGCTCCAGCAGCGGCGCCGTCAGAGGCGACTTCAGAGGCACTGAGTTGGTGTTGGGCTAACTTCAGGACCGGATTGTCATTCGTTATTGAGTCACTAGATATGGCGGCATCACTAGAAGATTCACCAGGGTGAGGAGACGTCACATCAGGCGGCGCCTGCAGAGAGCGTCCTTCAGTCGCATGTAACTGGTCGTTCGTCGAACCCCGCTGCTGTGGCGGCACGGGCGGCGATCCTTCTCCGTCCGAGGAGTCGATCACAGTGGTGACCACGATCACTGAGAGCGGTTTCCGACCCGGCTCCTGCCGTCGGCCAGGCTCTGGTTCACACTCGGGCGCTGCCCTCGTAGTGTCCTCACTCTCCGGCTTCGGCACCGGCTCCCGTGCAGGCTCCGCTACCGGCTCCGTCACCGGCTCCGGCAGGCTGTCCATCAGCATCAGCAGCACGTCGTCGGCAGAGTCGTCGAACAGCCTCTCCTCCTCCGCGGCCGGCCCGTCGTCGCCGGCGACCGCCCCCTCTGTCTCCGGCACCGAGGTGTTGTGCTCGCGCCCCGATCGGTCCTGGCCCGGTGCCAGACTCACGCGCTGTGAGGTGGAGGCGGACCGCACGCGCCGGCCGCTATTCACACCACCCGGCGCCGTCCCACCCGGCGGGACGGCCGCGTCAGTGCCCGCAGTCACCGCCGGGGAGCGGCAGAGTTTGGACGGAAGCGTCCGACTGCGGCACTCTAAGAGAGGCGTGTCTGAGGCATCACTACACTCACCATCTCCGACGGACAGCTCCTTTGGCATCGTCAATCCCTGGTTCTCCAGTTGATTCACATACACACCTGTCCCGCACACATCACCGCCGTTTATCGAGGCGTCACCGTCTTCCACCGTACCATCACCGTCACCCCCATCACCGTCCACCACGCCATCCCCAAACCCATCATCGGTCTCGTCGTCGGCCTCGGCTCTCCGCAGCAGTCCGTGGATGTCACCGGTCAGCCGGCGCAGCGTCTGTCGGTACTGGCCGTCCGGCGGGCTGTCTCCGGGGCTCTCCGGCGCTGGGAGGTCGGGTGGGCTCTCTGGAGCGCCGCGGACCGTCACCACGGTCGGTGTCACGGGTGCTGAGCGGGTGGGACCGGCCGGCGTGGCGGAGTGACCTCCGCCCTCCTCCGCTGGAGTGCCGGAGTGCGGTGCGTGTCCCGGCGGCTGGTGGCGACTGCCCTCCGCCGAGCGGCTGCGGCCGGCCGGCTCCGGCGGCCGCGGCCCCCAGAACATGGAGACGACGCGGCGCCGCTGCAGACTGCGGGAGCGGCAGCGCGGCCGGCCTCCCGTCCAGCGGTGGCGTGCCGAGGGCGCCGGCCGCCGCAGCCAGTCGGTCGAGGGACTCAGCGGGCCCGCCTCGGCCGACTCGTAGCTGCTCTCCAGCAGACCCATGGCAGAGGCTCACGGCACAGTGGGCGCCCAGCGGTCAGTTTATAGAATCATATTCCACTCCACCAGAGAGACCGCCAGTATAATGTCCTTGTCACCGAACAGGCCAGGTCCGGCACTCAGCGACCACGATCACATATTTGGGCGCCCTCCACAGTATCACCACATGGCGTCGGATCTTATCAAGGCCTCAGCTCTTCTCACTGTTGGCAATTTCTTCTCTGGATGACAAAAATACACCATATGAGTCCGTCGGAGAACACAGCACTAACACAAGCTACTCCTAGCAGCGGGGGCAGTGGTGGTGGCGGCAGTAGCGTAATTCCAGAGTGTCGGGAGTGCGTGACATGAACAACAGGACAAGGTATTATGCAGCAGGTTTCACTGGCTAAAAATAGTAGACCAGCGCGGCTTCTTAACCACAATGAGGGGTCACCGGCTGGCGGCAGTATTTTTAGTCCAGCTCGAGCTGGTGCTTCATCCCACAAAAGGATTAATTCCAGGTCAAATTGGTGCCATTCGTTTGATTTAGGCGCCCGCCCCCAAGTTTTGCGATTAATGTCAGGTCGGTGCAATGACTCAGAGCTGGGTTCGACTTATCGGTGAAACAAAGGGATATTCTCCGTTCCTAAATTCTACTGGCAAGGAAGAAATTGAGATAGTGGTTCGAAAATAGATATTCCAATCAACAGAGCGGTATTACTGAAACTGAGCGCAGTTAGATCTAAATCCTTGATAAGAGTAAGGATCTTCGTAAGACGATCAATTTTCCAATTAGAAAAATGGCATTTGTTCGCCGGTGGTGGGCCACGCACAACCTTTGTTCGTGCGGTAATTCCATTTCAGCCCGGGCGCAGAGCGGTCGTAACGGCGCAACTTGGCCGCGGATTGCAGCCAGATCTCGGCGATCTGGGCGAAAAAGAAGCAGCGCTAGTTTACATTAGAGTCCGTTACCGGGCTGTGCGCCCGATTCAGACCGCGGAGAGCTCTGGACGAACCACCAGCCGGCACTGGGAGCGGATAAACACGGGTCCGGGGCGGCGCAAAAAGTGGCCCGTCACGCCATGGACGGACCATGTCATGTGGGAGCGAACGGAGGGGCGGGTCACTCAGCTCACAGGCCTAGATAAACAAATATCGGAAGATTATTTTGATAAGACATAAAGTTAAGCAGACAGACTGTGCTTTCAAGAAAACTCAGGGAAGCGTTATGCATCACTGCCGAGGCTTATCACATTGAAATGAGTTGAGGCGAGGTGGAATGGAACTAGCACAAAAGTTGGCGAAGCGTGGGAATATAACTTTAGAATTCCGACAGCCTGATATGGAAAGAGATAGAGCCGAAATAGGAGTGTAAAAAGATATGCTGCAAGAATTTATATCAGTTCCGTTAAACATGCCACCAGACGCTCAAAAGATGAATGTAATCAATGAAGCCTCCTAGAACGGAGAAATGAAAGTAACCGTTTGTATCGCATGGTGAATTTCAACGCTCTGCTGGCGCCGTAAGATACAGGTCACAGCCGCGGGCCCACATATGTGGCTCTGTGCATTGTGCTTTAGGTCAGAGGTCACGTGGACAGCAGGCGGTCGGACCAGCTGTGACTTTGTGTGTCATATGGTGAAGGTCGTGGGTCACATGGGCAGGGGCGGCGGGGACCAGCTGTGACTCTGTGTACACAGGCGCGCCAGGCCGGCCCCGCGTCACCGACTCACAGCTGGCCGGCAGGGGCGGGGAGCGGGCGGGGAGCGATGGATATTGGAAGAGGGCAGGGATAGCCTACCGAAAATCCAAATCAATAATATTCAACGCTGTTACAACTGTCACCATCACCGCCACCGCCGCCACCACAGCTCATTGTCATTGAACCCTTCCAGCTCATCCCACCACTAAGCACCACACTCCAAACTTATGCTCCGCTCTCAGCACACTCCTCACTCCGAGATCACCACCCGTCACTGCGCTGTCGGCGACTGACCCTCTCTGCCCGAGCGTCGGCCGGCGGACCGACGGGAGGACGGGAGGACGGGCAGCGGCAGTGGCCAGCCACGTGCCGACTGACCACCGCTGGCGGCGACGACGACGACGCGTAGCGGATCGATCGGCGACGGACCGCCGGGCAACTACGCACACAGGCCGCCACCGCCGCCGCGGGTGGCGTGCGCGGGACTGACGGCGCTACCTGCCCGGCCACAGCGTGAGATACAGACTCAGAGGCACACAGTGAGAGACGGACACCGCGCCGGGAGCGGGCCGGGCCGGACTCTGGTCGCCGGGCAATCCACAGTGACCATAGCCACGTGACCAGTCGGGGGCGGGGCGGGACGGTACCGCGAACCCGATCCAGACATATACAGTATACATCAGGAGACACGGCGGCTCCGCGGCCCCACGGCCCAACTCGGACCCGAAATAGGACGGCAGAGCGGCCTCTCGCCGCGGGCCCGCCGAGCGGCGGAGTCATCGCCGGCGGATCTATGCAGACTGATGCAACGTGGTGGGATGACGTATTCAGCTGCCTCTGGCAATGACCCGGAACATATGGTCGGAGAGTGAGCGAGCCCAGGAACCGGGCTAAACCGACGCCTTCAAAACGAATTGAATCGAGTAGTCGGAAAGTGGACAGACTGAAAAGTGGGAGGATGAAAACACAGGCGGATTCTCCAAATTCTCATTCTCGCTTAAAAGGAGCGACAATTTACGAATAAGTTCATCCGATAGGAAAAGTTGGAACCGCGAGTTTTGCATTGTCACACTCACAATGATGCTAATTGAATGATGCTTTAGGCCATTATGAACTAAATTACGCTCGTTTTTCATTCTATTCGCTGTTTGAAAGTACAGCCTGAAAAGTGTCATGCGCAAGTGTCCCTACGCTTCAATCCACTCCATACTCGTCGATCATCATGAAACACCACATGACAAAAATTGTGGAACTTCCCCTGGCCCGTTCAGACGGACCACACTCGGCCACTGTGGCCCGGCCGCCGCCGCCGCTGGGGCTCAAGGGTCATCCACCGTGTTTGCTGACGGAAACCGACAGGACGTTCCGCGAGTACCCGTCTGGCGAGGATTACCAGCCACCGAAAGAAGGAACAAACTCGAGCTTAATCCGCCGGCCAGTTCTTCTGTGTGTGTACTCAAACACAACTTCTCACTTCATTTAGCCTGCCGCGCGCTGAGACCGTCCCAGCCCTCTCCCAGAGTTCAGACTGAGAGCCTCCGCAGGCCTGCCGACTTTTAATGCACGGGGGTGCCGGGTACCGTTCGCTATGGGATAGAGAAAATTCCCTGTAGGCAGACAGGGACCGACAGACCGGAGATTGCACATCAGGGCAGCGAACCCGATGCATCACCAACCAAGCAGATCCTATCCATCCTGAGGTCGTTACCGCGCCGAATAACCCATCGACCGCGAGTCAGACGGAAACAGTTACAATATCACACCGGCGCGACTTCATAAATCTTCTCCACGTCCAAACTCTGCGCCAGTTGATGGAATCGAGCCTTTATTTTAAGTCAAAGGCGGGCGCTAAATAAGATCTCATGACTCCAGCACTCCAATCATACTCGTCACTGCAGTCTTTTGGCACATTCACAGGTGACGACAGTGACACACAAGTAAGAGATCTGAAATGCAAATAATGAACTGCCGATCTGGATATGAACTGCTCTGGCCATCTGATACCCGGCGTAAGCCTGCGATCCGCCGCCGCCGCCACCGCCGCCGTGAGGCAGGTCGTCGCCGCCAACACTCGGCCGCGGCCGACGGACCCGACGGGCGACGATCGATGGTGTACTGGGGAGACCAGCGGCCTGACTCCGGGCTGGACGGGTGGAGGGTCTCAAAGGGTATGACCGGACGGGTAGAAGGTTGACCAAAGCAAGGGTGGATGCTGGTGGGACGGGTCCGGTGGAGAGTGCCACGGGATCGTGGGAAACCCAGCCCATGAAACCCATCACTGAACGAAAGGGTATCTCAGCTCCCGACCCAGAGCCGATCAGCTCACGACCCATGGTGGGTCAGCTCCCGACCCACAGACTGGCGGCCGCAGTGTTCGGGCACCACTCGCCCGACCTTTGTCGGTGGCCGGTCGGCGTGACCCGACCCCGACCGCCCCGGTCCCAGTCCATCAGCCGCCCACCCTTGGGCGTTGTTAGGTCAGCGCCGGGCGGCGAGTGACATTTGCGGAGAGGCTCTCCAGCGCAGAAAGGGGACGGCCAGCGGCCGTGGGGTGACATCCAGGCTCCAGAGCGGGGGGAGAGAGAACGAGTGCCGATTTGGAGTCATAAGAAGAAAAAACTGATAAAAGGCAGTGCGAGAAATGAGAACCGGTAAACATGACACAAATATTTAGCTACAAATGCGTAGTTAAAGGAGTAAAAAAGGAGCGACAAGTTAGATGGCCATTCTCATTCGGAAGTCACATAAATTGAAGGCTAGTGAGACGATTCTCAGAGCAGTGGAGAATTCCCGCCGGCGGGACCGTGCCTCTGATGCTATGTCTCCACTGATTACAGCAAATGACGCCTGTAATGGCGACGGGCAGGGCGCAGAGAGGACGAGGGCGGCGCGGTGTCAGGTCAATAAGACCTCTGGCGCGCCCCGGCCGCCTCGGCCCATCAGCGGACCACGGGAGGCGACCGCGGGCTGGGGAGACAGAGCGAGGAGCGGCGGCAGAGCAACGGAGGAGAATCAGGCGCGGCGGGGGCGGAGGAAGGGGATTGACCACCCACTGACCACCCACCGTATCCCAATGGTAGTGTCTTCAGGGCGGCGGAGCTGTGCGTGGCTGAGCAGCTGGCCAACCGCTGCACTGTGGAGCGTCCTACCAGAACGGAGCCTGGTATAGACGTTCGGTCAGTCCGTGAAGAATAGAGGGACGGCCGTCCGGTCGCTCTGACATCGTTCGCAGATGCGGGATCTTCAACCAGCTGACCGCAGAAGAGCAGCAATGTAGCGCGTCACAACGCGCTGACGTCATCAGATGGCTCAATATTGCCTCCAGAATCATGACAGCGGCATATCGGATTATGATAGAATCCACGCACGCTCCTGATATAGACGATGAGTCGTACTCATGCAAGAACTCCCAACGTAAAAAAGTTGGTAAAATGTCTGTGGGGACGAGGAATCCGATAACTCTGTTCCACATTTGACCGAAGAGACCTGCTCTGTGACGTCACTGATCCAAAAAGGTGGCCGTCTGACGTCACTGGCCGAATCTGAGGACGGCGTGTAGGGCGGGGGATATCCCCGCCGGCCGCCGGGACCCTCCCATTGACCGATCGGACGCAGACCGATATAGACGCCGCGGTCGGTCAGGCGAGCGGCTCGGAGGGATCGAGCACTCCACGGCAGTTACCCAGGCGCGACCGGGCGGTCGGTCACGCTCGAGTGTGACCGCGCTAGTTCGAACGATGCTGAATACTGAACGTCAGCACGTCAGTCACTCGGTCGCTGTCTATCAAGCTACCCAGGCACAAACTACTCGGCTACAGGCTGCTTCAGGTACTTTCTAGTTTTCTACCTAGCCACACGTTGTCTCCTCGGCTTCATGGATTTTTAGCTATCGGCTCCAAAGTCTCCCCGTCTACAGTCTACATGTCGTCGGGCTTATTAACTGTAGCCTCCTTGTCTAATCGGCTACAGGCTACATTTTCACGTCTCCCCGACTACTCACAGCGGCAGATGACGGTGTCGCTCCAGAGCAGGTCGCCGCAGCAGTCACACCAGCTCGGCTGGTCCAGAGTCGCCGCCGTGAACCGGTGGCCCTCGCCGGTACCCGTGCCGTCAAACTGCCGAGGGCGGGGGTACCTGGTCAGTAGAGAATGGGACAGAACGATCACTTCAACACTTAGATCAACAAAAACATGAATGCCGCACTATGGACATTGTAATTAGCAATCACATGACTAAACAAAAGACTTAAAAAGTACTGATTCCGCTGCAGTGCTTACACCCAGCACCCAGCATCCATAATAGACAGCATCATTGAGCTGAAGTGTACCGTTTACAACGGAAAGACCCTCCATCCATAATAATGCAGCATACAACGAACAGGTAAGAAGAAACAGGACACTCCGTCGACACATTTCTGCATCGTTCCACATCGAAGCTAGCGACAAAACTGGCCGCTCGTCCGGCGATAACACCCGCGTCACAGCCAGTAATAAAAAAGATCGACGTAAGGGCGTGTTATCACACAGCATAAGCATCGAAACGTCGCTGACCCGTCACAGCCCGTTACCACAGCAGGAACATCGCTGCCCGAGTGACAGCCGTTTACCACAGCAGGGACATCGCTGCCCGAGTCATAGTATGTGGCGTAACAACAGGCACGCCGCAGAGGTCCCAGTGCAAATTTTATGGCGCGTTTGATCGATTAGCTGTCAGTCCTGACGACCCCTGCCGCACCACACGGTACTATGCTGAATAGGCAGCTGTCAGTCAGCTGTCAGCTGTCAAATGTCAGCTGTCAGTCAGCCGTCAGTCAGCTGTCAGTCTAACAATGAACGGTGTGGAGTTCAGTGGACTGTCACTCTCAGCAACCAACTGAAGAAACAGGTAGCACGATAAACGTAAAGTGACAGTAACTTCCCTGCCGAAATAACAGCTTCCTCCCAAACATCACGCTATCTAAGGAAGCATCGAAGCATCAAAGCCCATATAACATGAACCACCGTAACTGACCCAGTGTACGTAAGCCAATCACTTAATTAAAGATCCACCGGCCTGGGTGAACGACCGACCAAGGCCGTTCGGCGCAATCAATGTTCATCAAACCCGGTCGGTGTAGTGCGCCGGGCCGCAGCGGCGGCGGCGGCGCGGCCTGGGCCTCCCCTGGGGAATACCGAATATAGACCGGTAAGGACGGCGACAAATCACACGCCAGTGACCTTTGGGTAATGGCTGGCCAAACGGCGGCCAAAGTCACGTGATGTGCCTCGCCACCAAGCCCGCCTGGTCGGCTGGTGACCACGTGACATGCATCGTGATTAGCCGGGTGGCACGCGCGGCTCTGAGGTGTCACCGGTATTTTGAGAATGGCCAGGGGTATGCTGACTGGATTACTGAGGCCTCCAGTGACATACCCGGCGCTATTTGTTTTGTTTTGTTGGGTTAGGCCCTTTCGGTCCAATGAGACCATTTCAGAGCCGGGAGGATGATAGGATACAGGGGAAGACATTGGTCTGGGCAGGCACCCTAGTGAGTCGCCGGGGCTGAACCCGCACCCGGCGCTAACCCCGTTTGAGCATAAATATCATACTGACAAGTCTTTAGGTCTCACCAGTCACCTAACCATGTTGCAAAATATTAAAAGCATCGCCGCATTGCACCATCCAGAATGTGTCGAAATACAGTATCTTACAATGTTTAATACAATGAGTTCAGCGAAGACAAAACAAAATCAAAACAATAAGCCAAAGAAGTGGAATGTTTAAGTGCACATTTCATCGTCCTTAGATTACGTCGTCGAGGTGATATCATGGGAGCTGTCCGAAAGCCATCAGCTCATGGCAATGTTATGAACTAAACAGGCATGGTTAGCATTTCCCCATGTCATGCCGTGGTGCATGCACGTAGTGCTGTCGTCTCACCTCCTCCCAGACGGTGACGCCGCTGCCGGACCCGACTGTGGAGTCGCGATCCACGCACACGCCACTGTCCGTGTCGGACACCTCGCGCCACTGCTGCCGCCTGTCGGCCAGACTGCTAACTACAGGTGACGACGACACCCGGCAGAGGGCCGGGCTGCCGCCCACCAGCGGGCTACTCGGCGCTACCTGCAACAGAGGCGTGCGGCGGGCTCATGCGGCGGCACGACCGGCGCGGGCCGGCGCCCGGCGGTCGGCAGGCCACTATCTCACATAGAGAGACACAGAGAGCGCCGAGGGATCGCGGGGACGTGCAGTCAGCCTCCGCCCGGCCGGCTATTCTACCCACTGAGAGCGAACGATACAGGCTGGCTGCGGTATCTGGACGGAAATACAGCACTGATGTGTCTCTGACTCTGTGATATCAGAGTTGAATAAAAACGATATTCCTACAGAAAATAATGAACGCAAATTTGAGCCCTCGTTACGGTAAGTGTACCTCCTCCCACACAATACACCCAAGACCGTTCGAAATGACCGCAGTAACTCAAGTGTCCCATGTTCCGAATGGTTTGTAGAGCTATGTCGTACCAGCGCCGCTTTAGTTTGAGATTTGAGTCACAGCCCCGCACCTTTGACCCACATGGCGTGTCCCCGTATTGACCGTCACGTATTGACCGTCACAACTGTGCAGCGCGGGGCCGGCGTTGATCAAGCGGTCCGATACCAAGAAACTCGACAAACCCTCTCCCCTTGGCTGGCACTACATCGAATCTATGGAGCAAACCATGTCTTTTTTCGCGGCTGTGCCGTGAAAATTGTGGAAATTTTTCATTTACCTTGATATATCTTTCACTGATACAGATAAATATAGCTGAGCGAAATACCTACCAAAAATCCCACGGCAAGGCTGATCATGATAGGAAACATGGAACTAGGAATACGAACGTAATTCCGAAAACGCTCAAGTATTCTATGCAATAATGATATTAAAGGTCGTATGAAATACAAGGGGACGCAATTAGCGAGCTGCGTTAACATTTCACGACCTCCGGCCCAGCACTGTTCCGCGACTGCTTTCCGTGACGACAGAGCGGTAATCATAATGTAAGAGGCGGAGGCGGGTCGATAGCATCCCAAGCGCTCCTCGCCGACCACCGTATATAGCTGCCATTGTTTGATAGATTTACTCGATTATAATATGATAGATTAAATAGCACTGCAACACTGACGTGTACTTTTTCTTGTAACCTACGTCGCTAGCTTGAGGGTCATCTTTCATTCATTGCTTTTGCTTAGAACATTTAGCATTTATCAACATCAATCATATTTTGCAAAGCTGGGCTATTGCAAGCAGCACAATGCTGATAAGTTAACATTAAATTATAGGTGTGCGAGCAGTTAAATTAGCTTTGATAAAGCTTGCATGCACCTTGTCACGATGCCTCATGCTCTAAGAAACGGCTCATCTACCATTCCCATATGACTGTTAATCGTCATGACATGAGGCCGAGCCCAGCTGGTAGCCTCACAGCACCAGTAACCGCCGGCGGCCAGTCTGGCCACCCCGCGGTCCCCTGTACCTGAAATACTGACCCGGTAGCTGAAGGAGGCCATCTCGATGTGCTCGCGGCGCCGGTGCGGCGGAGAGGGCGCGGCGCCGGGGCTGCGCGCCGCCGCCGGCCGGCCGGCGTGCCGCCGCCGGAAGGCCGCCAGCAGGCCCCAGCTGTGCAGCAGCTCGCCGATGGCGTTGTGCAGGCTCAGCCGCAGCCGGTCCCAGTCGGGCAGCTCCGACTGAGAGCCGCCGGCCCGACCGCCGCCCGGAGACGGCGTCCGCGGCCCCGAGCTCATGCCGCCGCGGCTGGCGGGCAGCGCGCCGGATCGGTCAGCCAGGCACCGACAGACACAGAGCGGCTCTCTGGGTGCAGACCAAAGCAGACAGAGGCACTGCAGCACTGCCGGCAGATTGGGCACAGAGTCAGCTTTTGTGTCATTATCCACTGATACCTACAGCAGCTGGGAGTATGTGTGATTTCTGGTACTAGCTAGTTACCCTCAAAACCTTTGGGGGGGGGGGACTCATGGGGGCATCACAGTTACCTACTGACCCAGTCATTTGCACTGCAACTTGAACTTTTATCACATTCTTTTCTGTTCCTCTAATTCTGTTCAGAGTTCAGGATAGGTCATAGGAGTGGAAGTGGAATCAGTTTTTTATAATAAAGGTGTGAAACTGACATCAAATGCACTACGCAACATTTCCTCATCATCCTATGTTAAATTATTTTCTAGCAAGTGGCATTAAGAAAAACCTTCCTTCATTAATCATTTGCAGCTTATGCTTATCATTCTGGACAGCATCAAGGCCATTAGCCCATATGTAGATCAGCTACTAGGTCGGTTTGATCAGGAAAAATAGCTGTCCTATTTAATGAAGTGCATGACGCATGGGTGTATAGAAACCTCACTAAGTGTGGGAGGATGGGGGGGGGCTGCAACGAAACTTCAAGGTCACTTTGTGGGATCCCCAATCAACCTTGCTAAACCATTTCCTTCTCCTCATCTTAGTTTTGCATTTAAATAAAAAATAAAGATTTTACTTTTAAAAAATGCTGAAAAGTGGGGAGCCATATGCCCCCGGCCCCCGTGTTCCAACGCCTATGGCAGGATTTATGGAAATATTGAAATTACAGGCAAACAGAAAAACAGATAAGAATTACAGGTAATAATGAGGATATTGGAAATAGCCCAGTAGTGGCGGAACACCTTCAACTAAGGGGGGCACTGATGACTTTTGGTCCTATTCTTTCCATGCAACGCCCATAGGGCTAATTGGGGCTAATGTTAAAATGCCAAAATCAAGGGGGCACGGTGCCCCGGTGCCCTCCCCGTTCCGCCGCCTGTGAAATAGCCAATGCCCAATTCAATGCACACGGAGTCAAGAGTAGTAGCTAAAACGGAATACAAATCAAAATAACATGGATGAGAAATTTAGAAACAGTTGACTCACAATTAAACAAATCAAACCATCAAGAGTTGCATGGAATTTATAATGCACCATGCACCCAAGGCAGTATATATAACAATGCACCAAACACTACCGATGGTTTATATAGCCTTCGCCTTGCTACTATAATTGAAATATGAGATCAAAACATAAGAAGTCGATTTTATGCACGAGAAATAAAAAAATGAATTGTATTTTTGATTGGTAGCAATGCAAATTCAGCCATAAATGGCGCGCTTAGGACGTTAAATCCATATTCACCTGCCTTGCCTTTTACAAAATATCCTGCTTTTAGAAGCGAGTTGCCTAGCGACGATGACTTTTTGCTAGGCAACTTGTCACCACTGGCTTATAAATTTCATAGCGTGAATAGTGCTTGTAGCCGCATTTATTTACCTGGCGCCTTCACCCTCGTGTTTCGTTCACAACCCAGTTCATTATAGTTTATTATCATTTGTTTGTTATTTTGAGTTTATTATAATTATTGTTTGGAAGTTCAAATTCTTGGGTAAGGTAGCTTGAACTGGGAGTTAGTTGTGGAGCTGTTTATAGGTGAGTGTTATATCGTTGGATAACTTTCAAACAGGATAGGCATTGACAATGGGTATTGGTATTTGTACGACATAATCAATGTAATGATAACGTCACCTTTCATACTAGGCTTGCAAGCAATTTGATCAGAGGCCAGCTTTACCGACAGAAAAATAGCCGCCTGCCTGAATTGTTTTGCCTAATGACCGCTTCACAGTTCACATACTGATACGGAACGTAAATGGTAAAGCTTTCTGCTTATGTGCCCATCGCGATTGCTCCGTATGTGATGTGGTCCTGGTATTTATTTACTTTAGGTCCGCAAAACAGAGGGGTAAATAAAAGTCATTCACACGATACTCTAAGACCTCCTGATTTCATTTCTGATACTTATTCCTTCTAGAAACCAATTTAAAAGCACCAGTACACTAGTATCACCAGTATCACCACCAACGGCCCCACCTCCGACCGGAACTGCACGTGTCAAAAGACCGTCTGCGCGGCGCACCCGCTACAAATGGTCCAACCAAGGTTGAGCGAAATTACGGATGATAATAAATTGTAAGGAAAGTGACGTCAAAATAATCGAGGCGGAGCGGTGCAGTGCCGAAGGCAATGCCTTAGGAGAGATTACAGGCAATGGTAAGTCAAATATTTTTAGGTTAAGTGGTTGTGTATCTGGCTTCAGGCCGAAGGCCTGAAGCCTGATGCATAACCACTTAACCTAAAAATATTTGACTTACCATTGCTTGCAATCTATTCATGCAAGTCACTTTTTCCTTTTCCCCCAGTAGGCAACATCAGTAGGTCAGGTTAGGTAAGGTTTGGTTATTCTCGATCATTTTCTCATGCTCTATTACCTTTGCTAAATATTTTCTCTTTTTTTATTCACCGTTTTCCTTGTGCTTTGGTATTATGACGTCATTTTCATATCGTCGAAAACTAATGAATATCCGCATCATTTTTTTCTTTTATAGGGCAGCGTTGTATGTTTCGTTTTTGTCGCGGAAGCGTGCTTTCTTCAGTGTATATTGTGCAGCAGTGCGGTGTAATGTGCTGGGGTTTTAGTATCTTATTTTAAGTTTTTGATGCATTTAAGCATCATATCTGAATTCAGGACATCAAATAGTGTAAGAATGTGCATTTTTTCTTGTTAAAATAATATTGCGGACCTAAAGTAAATATTTACCTGTGGTCCTTAGGCAAAAAATTCCGGCAAGCGGCTATTTTTCTGTTGGTAAAACTGGCCTCTGATCATAAGTTCATTTAGGGATATGAACCCTATGGCAAGGGATTGTTACATAACATGCATCTTTATATAACTATCTATTTTTCCCCAGGCACTGCACAATAATGGATCTCAGACCACCAATGACCAGGAAGGAAGTTTTCTCATCCTATTATTGTCCAATTGAGGCAGGTTATAAGGACAGGTCTGGTGTTCTTCCATATGATAAAGCAGTCTGTCGTGCTTTAGAGTCCACTTATAGGAAGCCAAAAGATGTGACAGGATCTGAGGATAGGACACTTTTTGTTGGACGACTTCCCCCAGAAGCTGAAGAGGGTGATTTAGAGAAGGTGAGTGAATGTGGCTGGCCATGCTGATCCTATCCTGATTGTGAGGAAAGTCTCTTCATTAAAAAAAATGATATTAGCATCTGACATGTGTTCCATCAACCCATTTCAGTATGTAGCTTGAGGGCTGAGGCTCATGTTTTTCCCACTGATTAAAAAATAAGCATTTATCAGCCATCCAAGTAACCCCTGTCTGCCTACATTGGCAGGCATTCAGCAGGTATGGTGAAGTGGAGGAGACGCGCGTCACGCGTGACCTGGTGACGGGCGCGCCGCGCGGCTACGGGTTCGTAGTGTTCGCGCGGCGGCGGGACGCGGCTGCGGCGCGGGTCGGCTGTCGCCGGCTGTGCCTGGCCGGCGCGGACGTAGTGGTGGAGGCGGAGTTCAGCCGCGGCCTGCGCGGCTGGCGGCCCCGCCGTCTTGGTGAGCTGTCCACTGGGGAGCCGGACTGTGTGGAAGGCGGGCATGTCTGGTCGGTCAGACCACATGGGACGTCTGATGACGTTTGTGGTCTGACTCTGAGAACAACTGCTCGAGAACTTTATGTTTTCATAATCAGAACAGACATCCTTACAACTCAGCACTTTCTGAGCCGTCTGAGCCGATCCTGGGGATAAACAGGACCGAACGATATGGTGACCTTTCGTGACCTCAATGACATTGGAAAGTAATAATGCGATTTCGCCCATCGCTACGGCTTGGTAACTCATTTTGCAGCCCAAAAGATCTAGTAAGTTTGGATACGACATACGTTCCAAAGGTGAAATAGAGACGACTTCCGTAACTCGCCGATGTTCCGTCTCTGCGTGTTATTGATCTGGCTTCCGGTTTCAGGCGGCGGTCTCGGCGGCAAGAAGGAGTCGGGTCAGCTGCGGTTCGGCGGCGCGGCGCGTCCGTTCCAGGTGCCCGTCTCGGAGCCCACCGAGCCGGACCGGAGCCGTCCGCGGTGGACCAGTGACCGGGTCACGGACGGCGGGGAGCGCGTCCCCGACCCCGCCGGCGGGCCGGGCCGGCACAGCGGGGAGTCAGCTCCGTCCCAGCGGCGTGGTGAGGAGGAGAGACACCGAACGGAGGACGCTGGTCGGTCTGAGCGGGACGAAACCAGACACAGACACAGAGACAGAGACAGGCACCGGGAGCAGTCCAGAGACAGACACAGAGACAGACGCCGTGAGTCAGGTGAAGACAGACACCGGTCACATCGAAAAGACAGGCGCGGAGAGGACGTGGATCGGCACAGAGAGTATGGGAGTGACGGGCACGGTGATCGGCATGGCCGTGGGGAGAGGAGCGGAGACCGGCACCGGCGTGGCGACAGAGCAGTGGAGGACGGCGGCGAGCAACGCCGCTCACAGACTCGGTATCATCGGGAGCGGTAAATCGGCCCACGCCGACACGGCCCAAGCCGTGTCGGTTGATACGGACTTCACCTGGATCGCATGTAGAGTCGCTCATGTTACAGTCTTGCTGCTAAAGGATGGATTTTGCAAAGATAAAATGAATTTGTTGAATGATTCTGGTAACGGCGACGTGAGGGCTGTGATATTTTTTTCTTATAAATTTAGTCCGAACATTTTGAATGGAAGGATTGACAAGGACAGAGCCCACGCTAAGCGGAGCTTGTTGCGTTGACCCTGCCCTCTACCCTCTGATCGCGCAATCCCGGTTCTAAGGCAGGATTTGGAGTCCAAAGTTTAACGTACGCACATAGCCGCGCACTGGCGGTCCCCTCGCTGACTTCGCCTGGCTACGGCCTGCCATCAGCCGCAACCATACCTGTCAGGAGGCTCATAAACGTCAAGCGCCCGTCGCACTTCGAACCCTTACTTCTGTAACCGGGACGCGTGCTCTCACCACGTGGATTCGGGATTCCAATGCTCTACCGACTGAGCTACGAGATTCTTATTGAGCATTTTATTTCGTGAAAATGGGCCTGTCGATGGTGCAGCTCCCTCAATGTTTTTGCTTCGTTTGGTGGCTGTGAGAAATAATTGCTGAACTATGAATGTGCTTGTTGTGCGTTTGATCCATTGGTTTAAAACGATGGCGTCGGAGCTTTTTTATCCATCTTTTGTGATGTGCCGAAAATAAAAAGACATGACGTGTGAAAAATTAAAGTATTTTTGGGCGTGTTCGCAGTCATAGGTGGAGAATGTTGCTGGACTGGGGGTGCTCTAGCTCTCCCAATTCCATTCCGGCATAATTCTCCACGCATGTTCGCAGTCTCCGTGTCCTCGGACGAAGAACATTCTACGTCGTCCGGCCAACCTCGGGGCCGTATTCACGTCGATCATTTTTGTAAGAATTTTCTTAAGTTTGACCTACTTCTTAAGTAATTTTTTTTTTAATCACGTGAACTCCGATGATAAAAACTTAAAAAGTGTCGACATGAATACCAAAATATGCTTACGAAAGAAAATCGACTTACGAAGGCGACGTGAATACGGCCCTACTTCGTCGTCCGGGAGACTCCTAATCCGGGGTTTGTCGGTACGGAATATTGACCTAGGGCGAGATAAGGTCAGAAGAAGAGGCATTTCAGTAAACCTGGAAACGTGCCTTAGTCTTTCCTAAAGTCCGCTCTTCTCTGCCTTGAATTTGGGGGGAACATGATAACCCATGCTTCCGATATGTGCCATGCTGAAATTACTTGAAAAGTTGCTGCTCTAACGTTTCCCGGGCTTTTATAGAGGTGATAAATATAGTTTTCTGCACGATCAAAGCAAGATAAATGTCAACGAACTTGATTGATTTTCTAACGAGTATCTGAAGTTACATGCTGTGCTGTACTTTATTTTCCTTTAGACAATAAACAATGAGAAATAGAGCAAAATAAGTAGAGAATGAATCATCACTTTTACCAAGGTCATTTCCGCCCTTTTCCATTTGGCGGGAGAGGGAGGACCTCGTGGTTCCGGTTTCTCTGAATTTGGGCCACACCGCTTGTCGTCGCTTATTTTTTGTTGGGGACCGGGTCTCGGCAAATAACGCTATTCCTGGTAAGTCACCTCAGAAGTCAATTCCTGAGCATAAGTCATTTTTGTTCCTTACTGCACTGCTTCATGGTTTTTGATTTGGTGGCGAATGCGCCGATCTGCGCTTTGTTTCGGACAGGTGAATTGGTGTTGATGGTATGTCAATATCATTTACAACGTGTTGTTTCCCTAATTATTTGTAAAATCTTGCACGTGTATCAACTGAGCCGTGTTCGGGCAGTGTGTACTGCTGTAAAATTTTGCCCCACACGTGCAGTTTGGGTCCCTCAGGTGCCAAGCTCAGCTCTTCGGCCTGCGATGTCACATGTCAGTAGGCGGAACTATGGTCAAGCGTACCCATTTTCGGGAACGCATTTTCGTTCCCATGTTTGGGAACAATAAACCCAAATATGGGAACGCCATGTAGGCATTATTTAAAACAAGAAAAAGAGCCGTTAAATGACGTCCAAAAAATATAAAACGATCGTGAACCGCCTGATATTTGTCTCAATATTGTTGGAAAAGAGTTTGCTATTGAAAGGCCCATCGTAGTTTCAAATCGTTCCCCTATTTCTAAAGCAGTCCATCATCCGGGCCGCGTGCCCAAATTTGGGAACGCTCTCATACACTGGTGCTGCAAGCATTCCTTATTATGGGAACGGCGTACCCAAAATTGGGAACGATTTCACCGACGCCTTTCAGGGGCTCTTTTCATTAACAAGCATCACGTCCAACGCCGCAAATTATTGTTAACGCAACGATCATCAGATGACCTTTCCGGCAAGACCGTCGCATGTTTCGCCCAGTCTTCTGCGCTTTTATTCCCGTCGATCTCGCAGCGGGCACGCCCCCCTCTGCAGGATTACGTAATTCACAACGCTCAGTGATGTTCAACAAGGTCTTCCATATCTATATCCACCGTCCGTGCCGAGGGTGGAGACATGTCAAGCACCTGTCTGTTTATCACCGATAGTTGACGAGTACAAGGAAGTATCCAAAAATGGGAACGCTGAATATGTTACACCCTCAAAACACCTAGTCCCAATGAAAATCTAGTTTTTTTCCTTTCTTAATGAGTGTAAGTGGCAAAAGGCCTGGTAGGATGGGCACGAGGAATGATCGAAATCAGCATAGAAATTATAAATAAGCCACACAGAGCGACCTATATAAGAGAAATTCCCCCAAAACGATCATGCTTAGAAACACGGACGACAAAAACCACGCTCATGAAGCTCCCTATAAAACAACGCTAAACAGCTAGCATCCAAATAAAATATGTCTTTCCGGGCTGATAAAATACAGCTGAATAATTTTTGACCACTTAAACTGAGTTTACAACAGTAGTTCGGTAAAATCACGCACGTTCTACGCGGTCGTCCGCCTCGACACCAAATGTCAACAATATTACCTCGGGACTGTCCGCGTGTTCGCTTGCATATGTCAGCATCTGTGTCGCTAGTATGAAACTTGATAACCAGGCGAAAATTATTATACTTGACCTCAAAATGTAAAAAACGCTTCATTTTCCTTAAAATTGCATGTTAAATGTAGTGTAACCCATGTTTTCACCATTCCGTCATTTCAAAAAATCATTAAAAATATCATTCGACGGTCAATTTCCTTGTTCAACAGTCAGATTAAAGAAAATTTTATAGAGATTTAGTAGATACTTAAATTAGCGTGCACTTTTTTGAGACGTGATGCACTAATGAGTTTTAGTGGGCGAACGGCCGAAAAATTACCTTCCGTTCTCATAAATGGGAACGCCCGTTCCCATATTTGGGAACTCCGTTCCCAAAAATGGGAACGTTCCTATATTTGGGTACTCATGACCATAGTTCCACCTACTGATGTGGCGTAGGCTTGCTCAAAATCTTTCAGTTTTGCGCAAGAAGTAAATAGTATTTTTCTTTTCAGTGGCACATTGCTATGTACCACTTTTGAATGCATTTTACTCAGTTATTGAACAAAAACTGCCAGTCTGCCCACGCCACGGTTCATCGCACGTTGAATTGTCGCGGCAGCGGGCCGGTGATGCCAGGTGGATGACGTCATCCAAGTGTGCCGTCACACTGCAAGAAAAGAAACTGTCGCGGACTCGGAAGTTGAGAGACCTTTTATGCATAACTATCAGCTTTGAAATTTGACCTTTTTTACCTGACCTTGACCTGACCTCCACCAGAAAGTGACCTAAACTGTACCTGATGGTTTATAAGTCAACACCATTGAGTTGGAAATGAAAAATTGGCCATAAAACATGCACCGCACAACCTTAGTAAAGTTGGGTTCATGTGCTGACCCTTGGTGACCTGACCTGTGACCTGACCTGGTATTATCAGTAACCTCTAATAGCAACATATGTACTAGGCAACTGACGCCCTATCGCTGATTTTCGACAAAATGCGTTTTGCTCGGTGTTATAGCGCTTTCCCTAGAAGATCCGTGAACGGTGAAACATTTTATCTTTAACACGCGCAGTGGAAGGGTTGCGAGTACTACGTCCAGTGGAAGGGGGTGGATGGCCCCCCCCCCCCCCCCTAAGATCTCAGCTCCCAGTGGAGCTAGGAAGACGAAATTTGGAGGGTAGGTGGGGGCCCTGGGGAACTCTGTTGTGTCTGAATTTCATGACCCTAGGTCAATATTTTCAAGGTCAAATGTGGTCAAATCTGCCATATGAGCGACTTTTTAGCGTTTACACGCAGATAACTCAAAAAGTTACCGGCCGATTTTCTTTTTTCTTTCACTAACACTTTACGAAAGAACATACATTTGTGAGTATTTATGGTGAATTTCTAGTTAATCAAACAATAAATATGGCAGTTAGAAGCCTGCTAAGGGTAAGATGTCGCCGGCTGAAGCAGGATTGGCCGACGTGGGAAAAGCGGCAATCACAATTTTGAGCTTACACACTCATAACTCAAGTTTTTACCGGCCGATTTTCAAAATTCTTTGACCATAAGATTGCCTGTACATTTCTTAGTCTTTGTGATAAACAACCCATTACTGTCGAATGTGGTGCTCTCGCTAATATCTGTTGTTTCTGTTTCGTCCTCAGGTGCACACTCATATCGGTCGAATTTAGTTGAATAAAACTATTGTATTCATACTACAACTTTTGGTACCACAGTCTTCTCACCAAATTTGACGCGAATCGAATATAATCAGCGGTAAGGAGCGCAATGTAAAGACGGAACCGTCCCGCCCCGGCACAGTCCACAATTCAGGCGGCGCGTAACGGCTAGCGCCGGCCGCCGCGGCGGCAGGATGTTTGACTTTACACCGCTATTACTAGAAAAGTTGCGAACCGAATTTCTTATTTCTTGCACGAGAAGATCCGCAATTCAATTCTGGACAGGTAGCCAAAAGTTCACGTTAATATTATGTTTGCGGCGCGAGTTATTGGCGAAAAACAGGAGGGGTGGGCGAAATCCGGCCCCCCCCCCCTACCACTGCGCGTGTTAACCTGACCTGTGACGTCATCAGTGACCCCGAGGTCAATGAAATTTGGTTTCCGTTGACAAATTTGACAGGGCTATCAAACGCCGTTTGAATTTCACGGACCCGTCCAGTGGTTTCGGAGTATGGGGGTGGCAAAATTCCCCCCCCCCCACACCGCGCGGAAGGTGGCCGGAAGGCCCACCATCTGCCGGGTTAATCAAAAATATAATCATAATATAAATTTTAACCCGCGCCTGGCTGGGGGTCCTGGATTTCCACGCCCTGCTGGGGGGTGGGGTGTTTGAACACCCCCCCCCCCCTTGTAACTCGGCTCCTGGGCCACGTAGCGATACGCGGAAGGCGGCGTTCGAAAGAGCGTAAAAAATAATGACAAATCACTTCGGTCAATATTTTGGTAAGGTCAAAGGTTAGGTCACCAGAGGTCATTGAAGGCAAAATTTCGCCGATTTGCAGGTCGAATGTCGAAAATTTCCAAGAAGCCAACGTATAACTCGGGAACCAATAGAGCTACAGCGCCGCGGAAAAGTGCATTCGATAGCCCTATTAACGCCCTTTCTGAGTAATTCTCTCAGATTTGACCTAACGTCAACGGTTTTGCCTGCAGGGGGCAAAAACTGCAAAAAAGCTTATTTTTTCGGAAACAGTTATTCTGCAATAACTTTTGACCCAAGCCTTGTACGAGCTTACTTTCACCGGCATCGTGTTCCTCTCGTCAAGACGCATCGAATGAACTATAACTTGACCTTTAAAGGTCAACTTAAAAATTTGACCTTTAAAGGTCAACTTAAAAATTTGACCAGGTCAAGGTCATGACCTGACCGGAAAAGGTCATGTTGCATATCAGTCGATCCGTATCGTCGAGCTGAACACATATAAGGCGTTTTCATCGCTCTAGCATGCCTCTATCAAAAGTTATTTGCGAAAAACTGTTAGATACCATTCGTGACCTAAGATGACTTCAGGGCACAAACAAGGGTCACGGACACCATTTTCATGTTCATTGTGTCTTAACCACTTGTAATTCGGTGTTTGGGAGTGTTTATAATGTCTTTCGTCCAAAAGAGGTGCATTTCAATTTTCTCCCATTGACTTATAATGGGGAGGTCGCAAAATTGACCTGACCTTAGGTCATCGATATCAAAATTCTGAGATATACATTTTGTACATGCTATTGCTCTTAGCAATCGCTGAAAGTTTCAAAGCGATCGGTCGCTCGCTGTAGCTTTGACAGACATTGAAACTTTTTATGAGGTGAGGTCACTTCAAGTGACCTGGTGACCTGACCTTGAATGACCTCGGTCTGAAATTTTCACAACATGTGTAGAATTGATGTATGATCAGGTTTACCAAAAACGGCGGCGCCGTTTTTGAGATATTCGCGAACCCCCCCCCCCCCCCCCCCCCCCAGCAGGGCGCGGGTTAAAGCTGCAGCACTTAGATTCAGAGGGGCTTATGCATGTGAATGCCCCTTCTGACTTGACGTCAGCACAGCACAGCACAGTTTCAGGTCTCTATCGTCAGCGTGTTCGGAGCTATCGCGAAAAACCCAAGGGGGGGGGGGCGGCACCCCCTCGGCCGGCGAGGGCTAAACTGTGACGCAAACACATTTCCAAAATGAGAGCAACTCACGGAACTTACATCGAGGCCCATGAGACCATGCCTACTGCCAGAGAAGACACTGGCAGACTTGGATCAGGATGCTTCCACGACTAATCTCACTTGGCAGGAGTGCTTTAACCACATCATTGTCGCTACATAGCAGTCTTTTGTAGAACAGAATCTTCCTATTAGCTATAAGCAATGCATTGGGCATGTAAGGATATCCAACGAGTAACAGATACGATGATTTCTATGGGATTTGGGAATACCGACCAGTTTATTCACACACGGGTGGTACACGATGCACGATAAGTCACTTTTGCCTATGAAGAGTACCAAAGTTCACAGCCATATACATAGGTTTGTATGATAGGCCCTAAACAGTTAAACCTGAATCTCGCTGCTTGCCTGCCCCACCAAAGCACGAAGCATTTGACATATTACAGTACCTCTTGGTTTTCCTCTTGATATTTGCTGCTTTGCGCATTACATTTGCTGCACTGATAAGATACTGTTTCCAAATGACATCATAAAAACAGCAGAGGGTCTTAACCCGCGACCGCCTGGGGGGGGTCGGATCCGACCCCCCCCCCCCTCCGTTTTTCTTGAATAACTCAAGAACCGCTTCCGCTATCAACTTGAAACTTGGCATACCTTCTCCCCCATCAATTTAACGTCTTCTGTGTATTTTTTAAGAAAAAACGTGTATTTTTTTAGAACAAATTTCCAAAAAAAATTGAGATATATCGATTTTAGTGATGTAACTACACGGCGTTTTTAGTCAAAAAGTGGTAAATGTTTAAAAAATCGCCAAAAATCAGGGTTTGAAGCAAATTGCAAATTAAGGACATGTATAGACGCAGCTCAACGAGTCCTTTAAAATGGCTATCTCGGATTTTCCTTAAAATGCGTTTTTCACCCCTAAAAATTCAAAAAACTACATTTTTGGAAAACAGCTAATAAAATCCAAAATTTTGAGAATTTCCTAAAAACCGGAATATATGTTATAGAGCTCTATTAGAACATTAGATGTCCCAAATTTCAACTTTCTATCTTGATTTTTGACCCCCAAATTGTAAAAAAATAGCTCCAACATGCATAGGGCAATAGGGCATGGTGACGTCATAAGCATTTTCGTGAATTAGAGGCACTTCTGAACATCGCATGTGAAAACAAATGGCACCACTAGATTCCTGGGACAAAGCTCGTCTAGAAAAGTGCATTTTTATGTCAAAAATAAAAAGTTGAAAAATTGACCTTTTTTCTCAGCCCTCGTATGGTATAAACAATTTTTTATGCTTTCAATGCACATTTATCACCAGCACAGTGACTTGGGGTCACATATAACCATTATCATCGGATTCGGCGTGAAAAATAAGCCATAAAACATGTGTCGCACGCCTATGTAGCAGAAAGTGAAAACCGTGACCTTTCGTGACCTGACCTGACCTTGACCCGTACTTAGTATGACCCCTATACGCACATGGTACCTTCACTAGGCCTTTGAGGTCATTTTTGGTGAGTTTCGAGCAGCAGCTATCGATTCCGCTGTCCGTAAGCCTAATCATGCAAAACCCCTGAATTTGACCTTTGACCTGACCTTGACCCGAAAGTTGACCTCAATCTTAAAATCTTAAGAGTGCTTTGGGAAGGTCTCGTAGAGACCTTTCGAACGCTGCCTCGCGGGTCTCGATGCGACCATTGGTTCTCGAGATAACAGGGGGGGGGTCGGATCCGACCCCCCCCCCCCCCCAGGCTGTCGTGGGTACGGAAATAGCCCAGGCGGTGCCGGGTTAAAGGTAAACTTTAGTAAAAGTAATATCTAAAAATCGGTACATATTCTTAAGTGAAATTTCGTAGATATTTATTTTTGCTCTTTTCTGAACCACGGTACATCACTTTCATGACTATTCAGGAGGGTAACATTCGTGCCCTTATCTGCCGGGCACTTGGCTGCCTCACTGAAACCCCTCCCCGACTGGGGGGGGGGGGGGGGGCGCTGGGCCGCCCGGGGCTCTGGCCTCGGTGCCGGCTCACTGTGGTGTCACCCCTGTCCGGCGCCACACTGCAGGCTCGCTCAGCCGCTCAACACTGACACGATGCCCGTTTTCAGGAGGAGGAATATGGACGACGACTGGGATGCACCCTCATCAAATGTGAGTACCGATTCGCTGCTCGCGTGTGGAGGTGCTTCCGGCTTGTCTTGCTGTCTCTTTTCATGGGGTCCTTAACACTTGTTCGGCTGGCAAATTGCTCAATGTCCATTTAAATTGTTGAATGTATGATGCATTAAGAGAAATACGCGCACGGACAGTGGTGTGAAGGAATTTAGAACTGATGGATGAATATTCGCCCCCATCCCTCGGGGTCGGAGATCTCGAAAATGACGAGTGGCAGGCTGATCTATGGCTCGCTAGGTCTATCGAGATTGCTTATGTTATTTTACTCGCTAAGATAAAAAATGGCTGTTGTTGAGATAATCAGGGAAACTTGCGGTTCCCTCAGCGGCATCAATTTGACACCTTGTGTTAACATTTCGACTTTCTAGCTACCATAGTTTGGCCAGAAATGACGTCAGAGTGACGTCATGTCGGCCGATTTTGATACAAAATATTGAATTACGGCAAACGCTCTCAAGAGCTTAGTTTTAAAGCTGGATCCAATTTATTTGTATCAGTGGACTACAAATACACGTAGCTACGGAACTGCTATCTCGAATTTTCGAAATTTTTAAAAATTTGAAAAATGTGCTTTTACAATTACAATTTTTTTATGTTTTCAAAGTGTTTGATTTTTCGCAAAAGAAAAACGTAATAGGTATATGTGATAGAACCAGGGCTGCGGAGTCGGAGTCGGAGTCGGAGTCGGTCGGAGTCGACAGTTGTGACCGGAGTCGGAGTCGGAGTCGATTTTAGAAACCCGAGCCGGAGTTGGAGTCGGAGTCACCGAAAATCTGTCGACTCCGCAGCCCTGCTAGGTCTGCGGAGTCGGAGTCGGGAGTTGGAGTCGGTCGGAGTCGACAATTCTGCCCGGGGTCGGAGTCGGAGTCGGAGCTGGTTTTTGAAAGCCGGAGTCGGAGTCGGAGTCGGAGTCGCCGAAAATCCATCGACTCCGCAGCCCTGGATAGAACACACACTGATTAACTACTCTAGCAAGTTTTAGCCCAATATCTTAAAAAATAGCCAAGTTATTTAGATTGTTGTCAAAATTTTACAATTATATACGTTTCAAAACCATTTTCAGTACGTTTTTGACATCATACAGCAATATAAATGGCACCATCGTGTTCCTGAGCTCAAACTGCATCTAATAGGCATCTTTTTGTTGTAAAAATTCATCTTCAAAATTTGCCCTTTTCTGACCTGAAAGTGACCTGACCTCCGGTAAATTCAGCTGAAAATGACATAGACGACATTGTTTTCGAAATCTACGAGTAAATGGACCATAAAGCATGCGTCACGTGACCGATACATAATATACAGTTTTCGTGACCTAGGATGACCTGGCCTTGACCTGAAAAAAAAAAATCGAAGTAAAAGTTTGCTACCCTCAGGGTATCTGAGACATATATCAAGGGGTGTGTAAACCAAAAATGAGCCTGATCGGACTTGTCAGCCGGCGGTCAGAGCCTAAATTGTAAACAAGCAAAAATGCCGATAATTTTTACTTTGACCTGACCTGCGACGTCATCGGTGACCTCGAGGTCAATGAAAATAGGTTTCGTTCGACAGTTTTTCCAGGGTTATCAGGCGCCGTTTGAATTTTGACGATCGGCTCAGTGGTTTCGGAGATAGAAGGGAGACACTGTGAAGATCTCAGAAATGTATAGGCTCTGGAGAGCCTATACATTTCTTATGGAAAATACCCCAGTCATGCGCGGGTTAATAATTCAGTCAAACTCATGATTCAATTAGAAAGCTACGTGAGTGAAACGAGCAATTAGCTTATCGAATGATTATTGACGAGGGCCCGTAGTGTTTTCCATTTCGGCTTCTGGACAGTTAGAAGACAAATAAAAGGTAGTTTATTTTACTCCTGTATCATTGATCTTAAACCCGCGCATGACTGGGGTAAGAAACTCAATAATGCAGTAAGAAACTCAATACAGTCGCTCAAAATAGGTGATTCCATCATTAATGATAAAGAAGAAATAAATAAGCACTTTTCAAAGAACTTGGAAGAAAAATATAAGAAAAAAAGCAACGCAAACCCCACCACGTATCTCAGAAAGCATATTACGCGAAAGTTAAGGCAAGACCAACGAGATGCTTTAGACATGCCTCTAACGTTAAACGAATTACATGGTGCTTTAATGAGCATGAAGAAAGGCAAATCGCCAGGATCGAACGGCTTCACCTCCACCTTCTTTAAACACTTTTGGGAGCTCATAGGAGTATTCTTGTTTCGCGCTACAAACGAGGGACTTCTTTTTCAAAAAGTACTGAATTCGCACAAGGAAAGCATCATCACGCTTATACCAAAACAAGGGAAACCTATGGATTCAATCAAGGGATGGAGACCAATTTCGTTACTGAATGTAGATTTCAAAATAGTTTCTACTGCAATTGCAAACAGATTAAAATCAGTATTAAGTTCATTGATATCTCCCTCGCAGACGGCTTATATCCCGGGTAGATTTATAGGCGAGAATAGCAGGTTGATGTATGACGTCATAGAGCACGTGAACAATGTGGGATCGTCTGGCTGTGCAATGGCTATTGACTTCGAAGCTGCCTTTGACACAGTTTCCTGGCAGTTTTTGCTAGAAGCGCTTCGTTATTATAACTTTGGACCATTTTACGTAAAAATGGTAAAAACGTTTTATTTGAATTCAAACAACCATGCTCGTATCCTGCTTGACGGAAAATTAGGCGATAGAATTTATATGGAAAGAGGCATAAGGCAGGGTGACCCGATATCAGGCTACCTTTTTAACTTAGTTGTCGAGCCCCTAACTAGCCAAATGATAAAATCGGAGATCATAAAAGGAATTGCATTAGGACAAGGAATAGAGGCGCGTGTTTCACAATATGCAGATGATTTGATAGTTTTTTCGCAGTTGAACCAGCCATCAATAAGAGGGGTAATCAATGAACTTGAACAGTTTACAAAGGTCTCAGGCTTACGAGTTAATGTAGACAAAACTAAATGTTTACCGATTGGTAAAAGCAAAGATAATGAATGCTTAAGCAATCTAGGCGTAAATGTAGTCAATGAGTTAAAAGTCCTTGGGATTGTTTACAATGGTACAAATAACGACATTGAAGATAAAAATGTAAGTCTCGTTATCCCTAAGTTAGTGCAAGAGATTGCACAGTGGAGACGGCGAAAGCTAACACTTATTGGCAAAATCACTGTGGTAAAAGCAATGCTATTATCGAAGTTTGTACATCTTTTCACATCTTTGCCGAATCCATCTTGGGATATTATTAAGAAAATTAACTGTTTATTGTTCAATTTTATTTGGGATAGTAAATCAGACAAAATAAAGAGGAGTAAACTGGTGCAAGACTATAATAGCGGTGGACTCAAGATGGTAGAATTAGAAGCATTCATCAAAAGTTTAAAAACATCGTGGTTACAAAGACTGTACTGGTCAAGTTGTGACGCAGTTTGGGCAAGCCATGTCAATAACAACTTGCCATCCGTTGAAAAGCTTATCTGCTTTGGTGTCTCTAAATTGAAGGATGTGACTGCAAAACGCTTTAAGAATAGGTTTTGGAAAGACGTATTAAACGCATGGGTTTCGTTCTGTGCCTCAGTGCATCTCGCCCCTTCCGAGCTTCTGACAGAATCTCTGTGGTTCTCCGACCACACGAAATTCAGGAAATCTATAGTGAAGTCCTGGGATGAAAAAGGCCTACGTTTTTTGGTTGACCTATTCAATAGAGAGACGGGAGCGTTGCGTGGTAGGAGCGAATTATGTGAGCTGTTTAACGTAAAAATGACATTTTTATGTCATGCCTCTCTTGTAAGAAACATCTCAGCGCTTTCGATAGCCGCTCAAGAGGTAAAAAACGTAGCACTCCCAATTATGCCTTTCAAATTAACTTTATTAGGGAAAACTCGCAAAATATCACACGAAGTATATAAAGTATTAATAGCCAAACTTAAAAGTAAACCGAGCAATATTCAAAGCTCAGTCAAACGTAAATGGATAAGAGATGTTCAAATACATGAAGAGACACTGGACGATGTCCGTCAATCAACACGCAGTACTTATTTACAATCATTTCATTATCGCTTTACATCTAGGATAATGGCAACAAATACTTTCCTACATCGGATAGGAATAGCTGAAAGCACACTTTGTTCCTTTTGTAATTTAAACGACGAAACACTAATTCATCTTGTATGGGAATGCGATGTGACGCAAAAATATGTAAAAGAGATCATCGACCATTTAAAGCACAAGTATGAGTTGTCGTTTAGATTTACAAATCAGTCATGGGTTTTTCCACGTGTATCTATGTTAGGATCCTTAGGCACGCTAATATCTACAATAGCGAAGTTAGTAATATTCAAAGCAAAATATAACTCAAGTATTCCACACCTTCAGCACTTTTTATCCTTAGTCAAAATTGAAGCATCAAATGAAGAGCGTTACGCGTTGAAATCAAACTCAATGCAGTTACATGTCCTTAAATGGGGCAGGCTTGCAAACATATCAAGAGAAACAGATAATTCACAACCCATTTCGAATCCTTGTTCCTTGACAACTGAGTCCATTGTTCTCCCGTCGCGCACCGGGTCCCGGGTGGGGGCACTGGCGGATCCAGGCTTGCGTTTTGGGGGGGGCCAACTCATGCAGGAGCCAAACCTAGGGTACCCCCAAATCCTGTTTTCTCATCGGATTTAGGCCACTTATTTTTCGTCACAGCCCTGACACTATGAATATTTTTTTTTTACTAAAAATAAAAATATATAAATGGTAGCCCACCCGACCCATGCCTTTATATTACTTTGCAAACACTTACCATTGCTTTTGTCGACCAGTTAACCCGCTTCGAGTCAGTGCTTGGGTCCCTTTGCGGGCCGGGAGGTGGTAAAACACCCCCTGTCTAACTCGGCTCCTGGGCCACGCACTGATTGAACTATGTTTCATTATCGTTTGGGGGAGGGGGCAAACGGGCCACTTTAGGCCTCTGGGAAGGGGGCATGACCCTCAATGCCCCCTCCCTGGATCCGCCAGTGTAAGAGACCATTGGAGCTGCAGTTGGGTACCTCAGACGTCAGGGTACGCCCTCAGATGTATAGGACTCGAGTGGAGACCTCTTATGCTATAGTGGACTGAAAGGACCCAAAGGAGCCCGTCTAGGGCTCCCGGAGATAGACGTGGGCCCTCAGGAGCCCGCCAGAGCCCCCAATAAGGGATAAGTGAGGGATACCAAGTGCCTGCAATTGCATATTGCATAAGCCATAACGTATCAGTGGCAGATCCAAGGGGGGCCACATGAGTCATGACCCCCTTGGTGCCCGGGGGCACCACAGGCCTGTCAGGGGCACCACCGACCTAGCAGGGGCACCGGGCACCACCAGCCCGCCAGGGGCACCACAGGCCTAGCAAGGGCACCACGGGCCTGTGAGGGGCCCCGCAGGCTTGTCAGGGGCACCCCAGGTCTGTCAGGGACACCAGAGACCTGCCAGGGGCACCACCGGCCTCGCAGGGGCACCATGGGTCTGTCAGGGGCACCAGAGGCCTAGCAGGGGTACCATAGGCCTTACAGGGGCACCACCGGCCTTGCAGGGGCACCTTGGGCCTGTCAGGGGCACCATAGTCCTGTCAGGGCCCAGGGGCACCAGCGGCCTAGCAGGGGTATCACAGGCCTGCCAGGGGCACCACCGGTCTAGCAGGGACACCACCGGCCTCGCAGGGGCACCATGGGCCTGTCAGAGGCCCCACCGGCCTCGCAGGGGCACCACCGGCCTCGCAGGCATCACGGCATCACGCAGGGGCACCTTGGGCCTGTCGGGGGCATCACGGGTCTGTTGGGGGCACTTTAGGCTTGTCAGGGGCATCACAGTCCTGTCAGGTCCCAGGGGCATCAGCAGCCTAGCAGGGGCACCCTAGGCCCGCCAGAGGCACCACAGGCCTGCCAGGGTCCAGGGGCACCACGGGCCTGCTGTCAGGGGCACCTCAGGCTCCCGTGCCCCCCCCCCCCCCTGGATCCGCCAGTGATGCCACACCACGCGAAACACCGCCAACTACCAGCTGCCGCGCCATAAACACGTGCCAACCAGTCTTTTTTTGAAGGTGGCAACTCCGCTCGCGCAACTTTTGACTGACCCTCACTGCTACCATATTGCCTCCATATTATGCTGTGGAAAGCTTTTCTTCACCAAGTGGCTAAAAACCTCCATCAAGGTGTATTTTCTTAGCAATTTTTCTGACGTTTTGGGGGGGGCCAAACAGGCCACTTTAGGCCTTTGGGGGGGGCCATGGCCCTAAATGCCCCCCCCCCCTGGATCCGCCAGTGGGTGGGGGTGGGGCGCTGGCTGCGCCGGCCGTCTGGTCCGGATTCGCCCGCCCTCCGTTCTCTGCCCGCCCGGTCCTCCGCGTCGGCTGCCCGCGGCGGCCCTGTCGCTGCTGCTGCCGCCGGCGCGGTCGCCCTGTGCTCGTCCGCTGTGTTGACTGGCGAGCGACGACAAAACGTGTGAACTCTGTATGTGTGCTCTAAAAATGCCATGACAACGAACAGTGCTAATATGTACAGTGCTAGGTACAGTGGGACACTGACCCTGTCCATCCCCACTCGGGAAACAGTTTGTGTGCTCATCGTTTCCTGTGTTTTGTTATGAGATGCGTTCGTCCTAAGTTGTTTGGCTTCTAAATAAACGGAAAAAAATAGAAAAAAAAATAATTCAGTCAAACTCATGATTCAATTAGAAAGCTACGTGAGTGAAACGAGCAATTAGCTTATCGAATGATTATTGACGAGGGCCCGTAGTGTTTTCCATTTCGGCTTCTGGACAGTTAGAAGACAAATAAAAGGTAGTTTATTTTACTCCTGTATCATTGATCTTAAACCCGCGCATGACTGGGGGCGGAGCTCTACAGAAGCCCCCCCCCCCCCCCCCACCTCTCCCATTCTTCGGCGATATCTTTCAAACCGTCTTACGTATCGACACGAAACTTGCACTTTAGCGGCATTAGTTTGACACCTTGTGAAGAACTCTCGGCTTTCCAGCTACCACAGGGCGGCCGGAAATGACGTCAGAGTGACGTCATGTCGGCAGATTTTTATGCTAATTTTGAAATATGACAATCGGTCTGAAGAGCTCAGTTTTTAAGCTTCGCCTTCTTAGGTGCAATTTCTAAAAGTTAAAGACAGAATTCAAAAGGCTCAAGCCCGGAATGCACGTGAACGTTTTGAAAATGGTTTTAAACGCGCGCAGTGGAGGGGTTGCGATACTACGCCCAGTGGAAGGGGTGGGCGAATTTCGCCCCCCCCCCCCCTCCCCCAATAAGATCTCAGCTCCCACTGAAGCTAGAAAGACGAAATTTGGAGGGTAGGTGCCAGGTGGGGTCCTGGGGAACTCTGGACCTGACCTGAGGTAAATTCAGCTGAAATGACCAACTGACACAGACGACATTGTTTTCGAAATCTAAGAGTGAAATGGACCCTAAAACATGCGTCACGTGATCGATACATGATGCAAAATTTCCGTTACCTAGGGTGACCTGGCCTTGACCTGAAAAAAAATCGAAGTACAAGCTCGGTACCCTCAATGTATCTAAGTCATATCCAGAAAAGCGTAAACTAAAAATGAGTCTGACCCGACTTGTTAGCCAGCGGCCTGAGTCTAAATTATGAACAAGCCAAAATACTGATAATTTTGACTTTCACCTGACCTCTGACGTCATCAGTGACTTCGAGGTCAATGAAATTAGGTTTCGTTCGACAGTTATTGCAGGGCCATCAGACGCCGTTTGAATTTTGACGATCGGCCTAGTACATTAGGAGATAGGAGGGAGGCTCTGTAGAGCCGCCCCCCCCCCTCACTCACTCGCGTAAGAGAAAATACCCCAGTCATGCGCGGGTTAAAGCATACGAAAAAGGCCCAGTTTCCAAAAGACATTAAATTGCGTATGATGGCGTTTGTCCCGTAAGAATCTGTTCATAAATGGGTGCAGGATGTGAAACGCAATCTGGTATTTGGCATATAGATGCGGGAAAAGTGCATATTTGATCGTGCAAGCCCTCAAATGTGATTTTTTCCTTTGAAGTATGCAAATGACGGCAGCTCTTCCTGGGCTGACGGCTGTGGGCTCCCTCTTGTGACTGCTATTGTTGCCTGTGACGGACGTCGACCCCCTTCTGTGACTGCCTTTATTCCTAGTTACGACTTGTCTGTTGCTCCTTTCGTGGTGGTCACTGCTCGCTCCCTCGTCTATTTCCTCCGCTGACTGTTGTTCCCTCCCGCGCCAACTATTCTGAACTGACGGCCGCTGATCGTCCTCTATCGGCTGTCATCCTCTCCGCTGACGACTGTTTCTCGCTCCTGTATCTGTCGTCCTCTCCGCTGACGCCGCTGCTCCCTCCTGTATCTGCTGTCGTTCTCTCCCCTGACGACTGTTTCTCCCTCCGACAGGCGGGCGGTGTGGGGGTGGCAGTCTCCGCTGACGACTGTTTCTCCCTCCGACAGACGGGCGGTGTGGGGGTGGCAGTCTCCGCTGACGACTGTTTCTCCCTCCGACAGGCGGGTGGCGGCGGCGGTGTGCGGGTGGCAGTCTCCACTGACGACTGTTTCTCCCTCCGACAGGCGGGCGGCGGCGGCGGTGTGGGGGTGGCAGTCTCCGCTGACGACTGTTTCTCCCTCCGACAGGCGGGCGGCGGCGGCGGTGTGGGGGTGGCAGTCTCCGCTGACGACTGTTTCTCCCTCCGACAGGCGGGCGGCGGCGGCGGTGTGGGGGTGGCAGTCTCCGCTGACGACTGTTTCTCCCTCCGACAGGCGGGCGGCGGCGGCGGTGTGGGGGTGGCAGGCGGAGGAACCACGTTCGGACGTGGCCGCGGCTTCGGCGGCGGTAGTCTGACCAGCGGCATGGCCGCTATGTCGGTGGGAGGCGGTGGCGGCGGCGGAGACAGCTGGGGCAGCGGCGGCGGCGGCGGCGCCAAGACCGACAACGGCTGGGGCGGCGGCGGCGGCGGCGGCGCCAAGACCGACAACGGCTGGGGAGGTGGAGGCGGCGGCACTGACAGTGGCTGGGGCGGCGGCGGCGGAGGCGGAGGCGGAGGCGGAGGCGGAGGCGGATGGGGCTCCTCCAATGGTGAGTGGCAGTTGCGTATGAGTCTGCGTTGTCGCGCGCCCGTATCGGCCGGACATTCGCTGCGCTTCCGGAGCGTTCGGTGACTGCGGAGCGCCCCCCCCCCCCGTCCCAGTCCCCCGCCCCGGCCCCGGCCCGGAGCAGCTGTCCGCCGGGTGTGACGTCACGGGTCGGCGACGGGCCGCGGCCGGGGACTGCAGGGGAATGCCGGGGCTCCCCCGCCGGCGTCCCTGCACGTGCGGGGGGGAGGGGAGGGGTCAAGTGGGTGCTCTGCTAACAGCTGACGGCGGTATCGGAGCGGCGGCGGGCCGAGCCTGCAGATCGCCGCTGCCGAAGGGAACTGGGGCCAGTGGGACGGATGTCTGAATAATCATTTCATTGTCCACCGATAGCTACCTTTCTCCAATGACCTTCGTGTAAAACTTTATCGTTGCCTCGTCGCATTGCACTTAACAGTAGGGTGGCTCAATTTTACACTTGGTTTCGGTGCTTTATTATTTAGTCAGGAATTATTCATAGTGGGACTGTGGGTAATGGTGTCTATCAGTGACGTGCGTCCGTCTCGTTTCCAGGGACGTCGTTCGGTGACGCCGGCGGCGGGGGGTTCGGAGGCGGAGGCGGGGGCCGCGGCGGACGCGGAGGTGGTCGCGGCGGCGGCGGCGGAGGAAGGGGTTGTTTTAAGGTTTGTGTTTCATTTACGTGACAACGGCACCATCGTAGCTTGGGGATTGGAATCGTTCCTAACTCACGTCCACTGTTCATAATTATTGTGCTGTTGTGGTAGGACAAAGGTTGAAAGAAATACTAAATGGGAAGCGTTTGTTGTTATGTTGCTTCGTTCAACACTCATTAAATGGCTTTCATCTACACTGAGTTAAAGTGATGCGTGCAAATGAAGTTTGCTAGTTCTGAAACGTGTTGTGTCCTTTGCAGTGTGGCGAGGAGGGTCACATGTCGAGAGAATGCCCTAGCGGAGGAGGTGGTGGTGGCGGGGGCGGCGGCGGGAGCCGAGCCTGCTTCAAGTGCGGAGAGGAGGGCCACATATCCCGTGACTGCCCCAGCGGAGGAGGTGGTGGTGGCGGGGGCGGCGGGAGCCGAGCCTGCTTCAAGTGCGGAGAGGAGGGCCACATATCCCGCGACTGCCCCAGCGGAGGGGGCGGTGGCGGCGGGGGCGGCGGCGGCGGGAGCCGAGCCTGCTTCAAGTGCGGCGAGGAAGGTCATATATCCCGCGACTGCCCCAGCGGAGGGGGTGGCGGCGGCGGCGGTGGCGGTGACAACCGCGGGTGCTTCAAATGTGGCGAGGAGGGCCACATGTCTCGAGACTGCCCTCAGGGAGGCGGTGGAAGTCGAGCGTGCTTCAACTGCGGAGAGGAGGGACATCAGTCCCGGGAATGTCCAAACGTGAGTAGTTAGAATCTTTCTCTTTGTGACGGCTGCACATGTGCTTTCGTCGTATCGAGGTATGGTAATCGTATGTAACTTCTTGAGTCTTCTCGAGTATTTGGGCACCAATGGACACAGCGCTTGCAGCCGTTTCGTTGTACATTAATTTAAGGCCTTCATTAAAGACTGTTGCCTACACTATTTCGTCTCTTTCTGTCGCTACCTCTGTGTCCGCCCCTAGCTCAGTTGTGTTGCTCTGCCTTTGGCCGCCCTCTGACTCCATTCTCGTTCCGTCGGACAGCCGGCCAAGACGCGCACCACGGTCGGCGAGGACGGCAAGCCGCGCGAGATATATGTGCCAACGGAGAGCGGCGAGGACGCTCTCTACAAGGATGGAATCTCGTCCGGTATTAATTTCTCTAAATACCAGCACATTCCGTGCCGGGTGACCGGTAACAACATCTGCGAGCCCATCAGTTCGTTCGAGCAGTCGGGCCTGCGGCCTATCCTGCTGGAGAACATCAAACGCTCGGGCTACACGACTCCGACGCCCGTGCAAAAGTACGCCATCCCCATTGTGATGAACAACCGTGACCTGATGGCGTGCGCCCAGACGGGCTCGGGTAAGACTGCCGCCTTCCTGCTGCCCGTGATCCATTCGCTTCTGGAGCAGAACGTGGCGGCCGCCTCGTACAGCTCGTGCCAGGAGCCCGCCTGCGTGGTGGTCTCCCCCACCCGCGAGCTGGCCATGCAGATCTACAACGAGGCGCGCAAGTTCTCCAACACGTCTGTGATCCGCGCCGTGGTGGCGTACGGAGGCACCTCCGTCAACCACCAGTCCAACATGCTGCAGGTGAGAGCCGCGGGTCGTGCGGGCCGCGGTGAGGGGCCGGCGGCTGGTTCGCTGCAGAGAAAGCAGAGGGCTCTTACAGAGTTCAACATGCGGTCTGAAGTGGGCATCTCCGCCAGACGCCGGTGGTTGTTATCGGCGGTGTGCTCTGTTCGATTGCGTCACTAGTTCTCAGAACGCCGACTCTCGTGGTCTGCAATGTGTGGGCCGTTTGTGCCGTGCGCCCCGCGGTGTTTGTTCTGTGATACGTTATCGTGTACGGGCAGACGGGCATTAGGTGTCGGCGCGCGGCGCCTGCTCGCAATGTGGCCCATATCCGGTACAGCTGCCACCACGTGGTGGGGAGGGGGGAGGGGCTGGCCCTCTCGTCTCCGTCTGGCTCTGACCTCCGCCTCCCCCGCGCGCCGTTTGCAGAAAGGATGTCACATCCTGGTGGCGACACCGGGTCGGCTGCTGGACTTTGTGGAGAAGGGGAAGGTGTCGTTTGGTCAGTGCAAGTACTTTGTGCTGGACGAGGCCGATCGGATGCTGGACATGGGCTTCCAGGTGGGTACGGCGGCGGCGGCGGCGGGAGGGGCTGGGAGGGGCACGGGGATACCGCACACAGCGGCGGAGAGGGGTTACGGGAAGTGGGGCCGGGAGGGGCTCAGGGATACCACACATGTGACGATATGTATTACGATGGGAGAGATACTATGACGTGAAGTAAATGATTAAACATTGGTACGGCGGCGGGGAGGGGCTCCGACGATCGCTCGTAGGACACTGGGTTGGGAGAAGCCCCGTCAGGGGATTACAAGTGGGTACATACGGGCAGGGTATGGGGTGGGCGGTTCAGGCAAGGGTTAACAGGCTGCATCTGTGACAGGGTCCTGGAAACTGCCTGTGTCCAGGGACTCCCACCTTGCCCTAGGCTTGTCTCATGAATACCAAATGTGTCAGCCTTCTCTGCCTTGCCATCTGTGGTGACTGACCGCCATGTTTGCCTGTTCGCAGGGGGACATTGACCGTATGATCAACCACCCGTCGATGCCGCCCAAGGGCACGCGGCACACGCTCATGTTCTCGGCGACGTTCCCGGAGCAGATTCAGCGTCTGGCGGCCAACTATCTGAACGAGTACCTGTTCCTCACCGTGGGCCTGGTGGGCGCCGCCTCGACAGACGTGACGCAGAGCTTCCTGGAGGTGGGCCACCGCGAGAAGCGCGACAAGCTGGAGAGCGTGCTGCGCGACATCGGCGGAGAGAAGACGCTGGTGAGTGGGCAGGGGGGCGGACTCTGGCAGCGAGACGCGCCGGAGCTGGAGGGGATGGGCAGACTGTGGAGATCTGGAGAGTCGTCAAATTGTTGACAAGACCGCCGCTAATGTAATTTAACGTGTATCGGTGATAGGCCGGCTACGTCCTGTGATATCAAAATCATTCCATTACAATCTTGGACCCTTGGATCAATGATTCAAGCCTCTTGAATGGTCTCTTGAATGAGCCTCTTGAATGATTACACTTGCTGACTAGTTACCGCTGCATGTCGTGATAATTTGCGGAGTTATCGCCCGTGGGCTGCCCCCATTCTAACCCATCTGACCTGACCCGTGACCCCGGCCTCAGGTGTTCGTCGAGGCGAAGCGGGTGGCCGACTTTATCGCGTCGCACCTGTGTCAGGCCGGCTTCCCGACGACCAGCATCCACGGCGACCGGCTGCAGCGCGAGCGGGAGGAGGCGCTGGCCGACTTCAAGTACGGCAAGACGCCCACCCTGATCGCCACCTCGGTGGCGTCGCGTGGTCTCGGTGAGTGACTGGCTCGGCTGGGGATGTGATTGAGATTGGAATTGTTGTTTTTTCCACGACTTTTCTCATCTTTATTTGGTTCATTGATTTAAAATATATGTATTTGTAGGCTGTCAGACAGAACTTAAACTTGTCGCTGTGGCAGTTAACACTCGCGTCGCGTGCCTCAACTCCTCTGCCCACTCGCCGACTGCCTGCCTAACCGACCCGGTCGTGTTCCAGACATCAAGGGCGTGGCCTGCGTTGTGAACTACGACCTGCCGAAGGCGATCGACGACTACGTGCACCGTATCGGCCGCACGGGGCGTGTCGGCAACACGGGCAAGGCCATCAGCTTCTACGACTGTGACCGGGACAGCGGCCTGGCCGGCGACCTGGTGAAGATTCTGTCCGAGGCCCAGCAGGAGGTACCCGACTTCCTGCAGCGCGACGCCGGCTCGGCCGACTTCGGCGGCGGCGGCGGCATGTTCGGCGGCAACCGCGACATCCGACGTGGGGTGAGTACTTGAGCGGCTGGGATAAAACTTGAGGTAGGGCGGAAGGAGTGTTCACTGTTAACCGATAGTACTATAGTAGTTATGTAGCCGTGACGGAAACTAATGAGAGGTCGAACGATTTACGTAGCAGAAAGCAATGCCTTTGTATCGGTTGCGTTGATATGTACGAACGTCATTGATTTTAATTAGGTGCCGTGATATTAGTTTTCACTAACTAGCTATCCTTTACCACACTGTTTGCCTTTTTTTGCCTGCCGTTAACACCGGTGCGTATTTGTCCCCAGTTCGGAGGTGGCAGCGGCGGCGGCGACAATCAGGGATACAACCAGTCGGCGCCGACCCAGGAGGCGGAGGAGGACTGGGGCTAAGTGGCCAGACGGAGAGCGCCGGGCGGCAGTGATCCGGGCGGCCTGCCAGAGGCCGACGGTGAGCCGCGCGGCCGGCCCGCCCTGTTCCTCCATCTCTGTCGCAGGTTGAGCGACCCGCTGGGGCCGGACGTTGTTGAGTTAGCCGTGCAATGGCGGCAGAAAGTGTACGCGGCGACGCGTTGGTAGTCTGTTAGAGTTCGTTTATTACCAAGTTGGTAGCCATTCTCAGTTCAGCGTTCCATGTTAGGGACGGCCGGGTGCCGCCGCGCGGTGCGGTGCGGCGTGTTGCCGCGCTCGGAGGGCGGTGTGCGGACCGGCGGCGCTGCGGCCGCCCGGTCCGCGCCGCCGACTCAGCTACTCGGGTCTGTTGGTGCCGGGGCGCGCGGCGCGGTGTGTGGTGTGGCCGCCGGGCGGCCGGCCGGCCGTACCAGGCTGTGACCGCGGCGTGACCAGGCCGACCGGGCGCCCGGCGGCCACCGCGCCCGCCCCGGCCGCTGTGTGATGGCTCGGCATCCGAGGGCCCTGTTAGTCCAGTTTATTGTGCTACGCTCGATTAAACACGTTTTTATTTACATCTTGTGTATTCGATAGTGCGGACGAGCAACGTAACAGTACCGGACGGGCAGTGGCGAACGGAAAACAACACAACTTGTGCACGAGCGGGCGAGCGTCTATAGTTCGGTCTCTAGAGACCGATAGTGTCCAGGAACTCCTGAGCGTAGGGCTTGTCGCCGACGAAGCAGGCGTACTTGAGCGTGGCGTCGGCCGTCGGCTGGATGACCACGTTCTCTGGCGCGCTGAAGTCGTCGGCGTCTCCTGCGGGCGGCACAGTGGAGCTGAGCGAGGCGGAGTGACGCGGGGCGGACAGTGGGTGACGCCGTGGGGCTCTCACGGTGCTCGAACCGACAGTGGCACGCCAGATATCGGTCCGTCTACATCGACACGGCAATTAGAGCACGTCTCTGATCCAAGGGCACACTTCCACACAGCAGCCGTGCGCCCCACGCCATCCTCCCCAGCCGTCCCACAGAGAGCGTCCCGTCAGCAGCCTAGTGCACTCACCATCGTACCAGATGAGGTCCGTGCGCTTGGAGAAGAGCGTCGTCCTCGACAGCTGCCTGGTCTCGGTCAGCTTCACGCAGCCGATTTCCGCCAGCGTCTGCAGAAGTCGACACAAAAACCAGTCATTTTACACGGTCCACAGTGCGGCAGATGGCAGGGCGTCTCACAGATAGTTGATAGCTTGTATGGACCATTCGGGCACAGCACTGTCTCTTGGCACTACCCTAGCGACAGACGCACACAATCGTACTGCACGCGGATCCGGGATGTCCGCGACACGCCACTCGGACCGTGTCCCTCCCCCGCTTTGGTGTTGGCGTCCGAGCCGCCACAACGAAGAATGCTTAGCGTTAGTTATTAGTCCGTCAGCTTAGTGATTAGTCCGCCAGCTGAGGGGCGTCACCGTATTGTCTGCGCTTGCTTGGGGTCCGCCGGGTGACCGCGGCCGGGCCGGCGCGGGCTGAGCCCCCGGCGGCCTGCGCTGGCCGGCCTCGGAGCCTGTCTTGGAGTGTAATCCCGTGAGGGGCCGCTGCTTTCCCTCCGGGAAATGTGTACCGCTTATGCTTTTGGACAATATAGCAACTGAAAACCTGAAAGACTGTCATGCTCCCACCACCCCTCTTACCTCGACGAGCAGTCTGATCTGGAAGCCGGTGAGCATGGGGTGGAAGAACTGCTGGACGGCCGCCAGGCTGGCGCCCGGCTCTGTCATACAGTGGCTGAGGATGGCGCCCGACAGACGGTCCAGCACGCGGCGGTTCACCGAGCCCGAGATGCGCCGCCACGGCACCGGCAGGAAGTACACTGACTGCAGGTTCCTGCAGAGCAGAACGGGGCGGTTAGGGCAGTGGCTGGAGATACACCGACTGCAGGTTCCTGCAGGGCGGGGCGGGGTGGTTGGCGGTTACTGGCTGGTGCTTAAGAGGTCGAGTTTGTGCTGATTCAGTAGGTCAGGAGGGTTGCACGGTCCGGTGAGGACGAGTGGCTGATAACGCTGAATGAAACGGTCGGGCCAGCTCGGGGTAACTCCCGCATGATAACTGAAGTGTCACCGGTGGGGTGTCAAAAGGAAGTATCTGCCATCTAGCCAGACCATGTGGTTAACAATGATCACCACTTATTGATAAAGCCAAGCCGTCACTGTCGGAAAGGCCACTAAGCATTGAGTGCGGGCATCAGACTAGCTATCGTGATTACTCAATCACTCGGCTGTGTATCTCGCTGACGCACCCATGGAATTTCCTCTCACCTCGGTGCTAAGAATAACCTTGATAAGGCAAGGGTATGTGTGGGTCTGACCCCACTCTAGCGATAGGCCAGGCCACTCCCTGCCCGAGGACACTCACTTTTCGGGCGCAGCGCGCAGGTCGCCGCCGGCGGCCGCCACTCGACTGGCCACCGTGTCCTGCTGCGTGCGCGTCAGGTGGTACGAGTGCAGCACCCAGGGCTGGCCGGCGGCGCGCGACACGTACACCAGCTGCCCCACGCCGCAGCGCAGCAGCAGCTCGTGGCGCACCATCAGCTCGCAGAGCCGGCGCAGCTCGGCGCGGCCCAGACCCGACTCCAGCTGAGGGGGGGGGGGGGACACACAGTCAGTGAGGGGTGAGGTGGCGCAGCTCGACCCTGCCTAGACGTTGGGGGGAAACGTGGACACAGTCACTGTGAGGGCGGTGAATGACTGATGGACTGACATCCGCAGACATAGACCGCATCCGAGGAAACATATGTAGAACCTGATCATACAGGAAATAAAACCACAACAGACGGAAAAATCCCCATCAAACGGGGACACTCACAATGAATTGAGTTCACATGTCAACAAAGAAAGGGCACAGCACTCGAGCGTAAAAATAAAAAAAAAACGGAGAAGGGGCAGTGCGAGCCCGAACTGAACGATCTGCCCGTGTGACCCATCTATCGTACACCACCCGGCCAGACAGCCCCTGCGTGCCCAGCATCCCCCTCCCCCCTCGGCCCTCAGTCGTCCGCTGATCGGCCAGCGTCCTCCGGCCGTTATCTCACCAGCAGCTGTTCGGGCGGCATTCCCAGCACGCCAGCGTCGTCCAGCAGCGACAGCAGGTGCTTGATGTGCCGCGACTCCTCGGTGGTTATCGCGCCCTCCTCCTTCAGACGGGTGAGTACTGACTCCACCGGCGGCGCCCTGGCACTCAGCATCCTGTCAGCAGACGGGTCACGGGTCAGGACAGGTCACAAGTCGTTCGGTTAGTGCAGGTCGCGGGTCTTCACGGGCTTCATCGAGGCATACAAACTATGTACATTGTACATACAGTAGGCTCAAGATGGCATAACACTTCATAACGGTAGGTTCCATCATAACCCCAGAGACGCACCCGTCCACGCACCCGTCGACCGCACAGGTATTCAGCCCTGTCCACTTGGATGAAGCGTCACTAGCCATCACTCCATCAATACTCTCCACCACTCCCTTCTATCACAACCAGCCGCCGTCACCCGGCCGTCCGCGCTCACCGTGCGTGTTTGTCCCGGGTGGCCTGCGCCATCAGCGGGGTGACGGGAATGAACTGTTCGTCAACCTCCATCGAGCCGTCGCCGGTCTCTCCGTCGGCCGCCGGCGGGGGCGGGGTGGCCGCCACCAGACGGCCCAGCACCGTGAACGGCACGATGTGCAGCTGTTCGTGATACTCGTGCGTGTCCTTCCTGAGGGCGGGAGGAACGGGGGGAAGGGGCTACAGTCAGGGAAAGTTTGACTTGGGATGGCAGAGAGAAGACGTCATCAATATTTGTCGGTAACTGCTAAACAGCACTCAGACACAGCGGTAACATCCAAGGTCCGGTATCCGACCAAACAAGCGCCTGCATAACCGCTCCTTTTCTGAAGGAATCCTGTGCTCGCATTTTCCGTCTGCCATCGAGCTCGTTTCCGTACATTGTTAGTTACCTTATACCATGAGCCTGACAGATGACCCTCGCGATTCTTTCCCCGCACCCCACCCCCTGCTGTCCGTCCCGTCCTGTCACACCCCGCTCCACCCGGTCACGGTCCCACACTCAGCCACCCCGTCCCGCCTGTCTCACCCGCCGGCCTTGTCGCCGTCGGCCATGGCCAGCTCGGTGTCCTGGCTCTCCCGGGCGGCGAGCAGCACCAGCCGCGACATGGACGAGCGCAGACCGACCCGCTTCTGCCCGCTGGCGCCCGTCCGGCCCAGCGACATGTGACCGTCGTCGGCGGGCGCCTCCTGACGCGACTGGCGCTCCTCAATGTCCTGATAAACGGTGTGGGACGGGTGGTTAGCTGGCAGTCTCGGTACCAAATAGCGGCAGGTTGGGATGCTCGAGAGATGGTGACAGGAATTGAGCTCTGCTAATCAGACCAGCGAAGACACATCAAAGAACGTGGGAAATGTAAAACTACATGCAGGCCATCAAACAAAGCAAAAAAAAGGACGTTGTATAATTTAAATGAATACAAAAAAAAATCGGCAATAATATCCTGATCGTATGTTATACTGGCACCATCAACGAGTGTACTGGCTATATCGGTGATATCGCATACTGTCGATACCGGTCACCGACCTGTATGAGCGCGGAGCCCTGCTCCTGTTCCTTGCGACTGAGCCGGATCAGGTTCTCCGGCACAGACACCTCGTACGCCAGCTGTCAGACGGAGAGGGGCGAGTCAGTGGGCTGCCGTGACCGCCGCCACACACTGGAGTGAATAGAGACAGCGAGTCTTATGTGACCACCGCCTAGAGATGGCTACAGGTCAGCAGGCACACGTCCGCTACATGGAATAATATTCCTCTCTGAAGGAGCAGACATGAATCCTAAACTAAGACATGCTTTCTTTCAGTAATCACAAACCCGTCTTCATGAGCTACTATTCACTGAACAATAATTAATGAGACAGCATCACCATCGACTCCACCTCCGTCCCTCCTCTGCAGCGCCCTCCTACACCCTACTCCCAGCACCCTCACCCAGACCGCCATCCCAGCTCACCTGGTTGTTGGCCATCAGGCTGAAGATCATGGCGGCCTGTCCGCCGCGCTGGATGCCGCCGATGGACGTGAACGCCTCCTCCTTCAGCGAGTTCCACAGCAGCGTCTTGAAGAAGTTGAAACAGTCGGAGTACAGGCCGTACTGGTACCGCTGGATGAACTTGTGCCGGAACCTGACTCACACACATATCGAACAATAGAAAATCATAAACGGGCAAACTTACAAATCACACGTGTTTTAGTTCAAAGAGAATGTGAGAAAAGGGAACCAGAGTAAGGACATCTAGACAATTTAAAATGTTGGTAAAACAATATTAACTCCCATTTCCGACATCATTTTGCAAGAGGAAAATCACTACTGATATCGGCAGCACTAGTAACGATGCTACCATCCATCTTCATTATCCGATCCGCTTGAAGAGCATCAATACCAGGCATCTTACTCGTCCCACTCCCTAGTTTGTAAAGAGTATGTAATATGTATGGTTTGCTGGTGGGTGTCCCACTCACTTTGTGGAGAGTATGTAGGGTTTGCTGGTGGGTGCCTCCACTCACTTTGTGGAGAGTATGTAGGGTTTGCTGGTGGATGTCCCACTCACTTTGTGGAGAGGATGTAGGGTTTGCTGGTGGGTGCCTCCACTCACTTTGTGGAGAGTATGTAGGGTTTGCTGGTGGATGTCCCACTCACTTTGTGGAGAGGATGTAGGGTTTGCTGGTGGGTGCCTCCACTCACTTTGTGGGGAGTATGTAGGGTTTGCTGGTGGGGTTTCCCTGTCCCACTCACTTTGTGGAGAGTATGTAAGGTTTGCTGGTGGGGTACCTGACTCACTTTGTGGAGAGTATGTAGGGTTTGCTGGTGGGGTGCAGCAGGCCCTTGCTCTCCTTGATGACCCGTATACCGGCGTGCCCGCGGCGCTGTGAGGCCACGCCCGACGTACGGAGATGGGTGAGAGCCGCGAACATGAGCTCCTCGGGGTACTGCTGGCTGGCGTGGTACAGCTGCGTCATCGGACACGACTTGTCCTCGCGCGACGTCAGGTACGACTGGTGGAGACACGGGGGGAGGGATGGGGTCAGATGGAGAGAGGAGACAGTGGCAGACAGATCAGAGGGGTCTGGACGGCAACACACATCAGACCCCGCAGCCTAGACAGTGGACGTCTGTCAAGTACAGATTAATACATTGGCGGTGTGTTAATCTGCTCGACATTTATTTTCCCTGATTAACCAGAAAATCACTTCGAGTCTCAATCCGACCAAACAACTTAATATGATACACGCCTAGTCCACTGACCCACTAGACCGTCTGCCACACACTACCATCCGTTCTACCACTCACCACCACCAGCTCGGCCACCGTGTGCAGGTGTACATCTCCCCCTATAGCTCCATAATTCAGAACCCGCTCTATAACTCACCACCACGAGCCCGGCCACCGTGTGCAGGTGGACGTCACCCTCGGAGATCAGCGCCGGCACTGGCACCACCAGACCCAGTCGGACGTTATCACCCAGCACGATGTCGTACTTGTCCCTGGGCACGGTCAGCGCGGCATCGGTCAGACAGGACGTAAAAAGGCGACGGGGGTGAGCTGGTCAGCCGGCAACAGACGCAACGCCTAGCCGCAATAAAATCACTGGTGAGACAAACTTTGAGCGTGTTATTTAATAAAATTGTTCCATAACCACTAACCAGCCAATGACGTTTATTACTAACAGCGGATCTAATTGAAACCTGGACAACTTACCCCACTCAGCTATGCTAGTCAACAATTTTTCATCAGCTTTCTATACAGACTAGAGCCTCTGTCGGCCAAGAAAGACGAGAGCACATCGTGCCCTATAAGTTACCCACGTCCCGTTGACCCGCCCGGCTTCCGCGTGTGTCTTACGTGAGCTCTGCGTAGTCGGCGGGCAGCAGGTCACCCTTCACGGCCGAGCGGTCGTTCTTGGCCAAAAGGATGGCCATCACCTGACGGAACCGCTGCGGGAACACCACCTCCGTGTTGAACGAGTTCTGCGTCAGACGCTGTGGAGAAGTACAGAGAACACTGTCAGATTATGGAACATAGAGAATAGAGAACAGTCAAACGCCACGGAAGCAAACTGGCAAAATTATAGCTGTTCAGCGTATAATTATGGGACAGCAGCTCTGGAGGTCAGATATAATTCATCGAGCTGCTTACTTTCTCCATCATTGCCTCTCCCTCCCCTTACCCCCCTCCGTAGCCAGACGTACCTCCTCCTGGTGGATGATGGCCCGTATGTCGGGGTCCAGCAGGTGCTCCTGTATGGTGAGGCTCACGTTGGCCACCGTCTGGGGCCGGCGCAACATGAACGCGATCCGGCGGTGCACCGCGTGCGCCGTCTTGTTACGCGACTCCTGGGGGACGGGAGACGGGCTGCCGTCAGGCACCGAGAGAAATAGAAGGACCTCGTCGGACCTTGTGGAAAGTGGACCTCCACGAGCCATTGCCAAGTAAAATCATTGCGAGCAAATGAGGGCATTCAGCATCGTAGATGGCGTCATTGCGCCACTTGCCTTGCTCCATGAACACTACGTAACACCACTATCAGTCAGAGATGCCCTCTCTCACCTCTATTGTCTCGTGTAGCGCGTCCCGGACAGTCATGTACTGTCGGCTGGGCACCTTGTAGGTGTCCACCAGTAGGCCGAGCGCCACGCGCGCCAGTAACAGGTAGGTGTTCTCGCGTTCCGACCAGTCGCACCGTCTGACGGTTACACAGAGACGGAGTCAGTGACAGCAGTAGTTCAAAGCATCCTCACTTCGGCATCAGAGACAGGTAATCATACAGCACAATTATGATACAGACACGAGAGTTTGTCAAAGTGTAGCTGGCCAACCTTGACTCTTCCCATCGTCATCGTAATTCTCCCCGTACCACCTAACACCAACAACAAACAATTCGTACATCCCATATATTTCCCAGTGCCACCCCGCGCGCCCTTTCCGTACTGTTTCTTGAGCAGCTGCAGCGCCTTTTTGTCAATCTCGTCCCGCGGAGGTTTGGGGCCGCGCTTCTTCTTCGAGCCCATGATGCGCTCGAACTTGGTCTTCTGGTTGGGTCGGAACACGCGGAGTCGCCGCTCGGCCAGTCCCGGCCGGTGGCTGGCACTGAACGCTGACGGAGCAGACAGGGACCGCGTCAGTACAATCACAAACGGACGGGTGGCGAGGGCAGAAGACCGCTTCACAGCGCATGAGCGGGTAGGGAGGGGAAAAGTCACCGAGCAGGAGAGGCGAAAAAGTACATTATTCATGAGCCGGCTATAAATGAAATGCCCGATTATCCACAAGATTATCCATGACATCCCGATCATCCATAAAATAATATCGTTTAGATCAGCCAAACATTCCAAATTAAGTTGGGGACGAAAGTCAACCCAAGCGAATACCTCGAGCACTGCGTACCTTACCACACACATGTATAAATTCGAGAAAAGGCTGGAAAACAGCTGTTAACCACCACACAGCGCCCCCCCCCTGCTCCCCTCCTCCCGTTTCCCTTCGCTGGCCACTTACCATCCATGGCGGACTTGCGTCGTTTCTGGCTCGGCCCCGGCTGCTCGCTGTCGTTCTCGGCCGGCCGTTTGCGCGTCGCCCGGGAGCGGGGCACGTTTCGGCCGCGGGTGACCATCACGGGTCGCTCTGCCGAGCCGTCCGCCGGCTGGGGAGGCGCGGTCATACATAGTGTGTTCTCTGGTATCTAACTGGGAGCTGCGATGGCATAGAAAAGGTGGACCAGCGGGGAGTTTGGTGGTCGATTTACGAACTGCAATGGAATGGTGTTAAAGACAGGGGTTAAAGATAGGGAACTGAAACTGATAAAAAAAAAGTATGCATTCGTCAAGTACCACGAACATTGAACGTACTATTAAATCAAGGTCCGATTTTAGTGACAAAACACAACAGCGGCTCTCATTCCGGCCTGCCCCGGCTCGCCTTGTGTATGTGGACGTCCACTACGGGTCCGAGCGGCTCCGCGGGCGGCTCCAGGACACTGCGTATCTCCCTCGTCCCGAGTGTGTGCACAGTGGCCCTCTGGCCCTGTGTGCCCCCCTCACCTTGTGTATGTGGACGTCCACCACGGGTCCGAGCGGCTCCGAGGGCGGCTCCATCAGTTTGGGCGCCGGTCGCCGCCGGCCGCCAGTCGAGTGCCGGCGCCGTTTGGCCGCCCGTGCGGGCCCGCTCTCTGTGCCGTTCTCAGTGGACGGGCCGCCGGCCGACGAGCCAGACGGACCGCTCGGCTGGGGGCCAGAGAACAACGTCAGTCGGCGGGAGCGCCAGAATTACATAAAATTGTACACTTGGAGCTGACATATTTCTATTTATTCCCTCTAACCCCGTCTCAAAGACCTATATCAGAAACATGAATGTGAAGCCCACTACAGCAACTAATACAGTACCTAAATGCAGAAACTAAGTGGATATTGTTTTCTAAAACTTCGCAACGCATCGGGCTAATGAGCCATTGACAGCACAAAAGTTGCGACGTACCGTCTTATTGGCTTGCGTGAGCTGAGCCATCCTTCTCCACTTCCAGTTTCGCAGGACATGACTGAAAACAGACAGACATACTTTCTTCACGCCATTACAAATTCGCCACACAATACCAACAGCCATTAGTCAAGATAGTTTGGATTAAAAATAAAAAGAGACGATCACACATGAACCACAGCTGATGTATAACCCAGCCTTCCCGTCGCTACTGTCTACCTTCCCGTCTTCCCCGCCTCACCAGCCGCCGCGCCACTCACGCGAACATGCTTGTGTCGATGCCTCCTGCTCCGAGCTGGTCGCCGGGGATCTCGCCCTGGTCCAGGCCGTCCGCCTGGTCCGGGGTGCGCGGCTTGGCCCAGCGCACCAGCGCCGGCTTGTAGAACGGGATCTCGATAGTGATCTTCTGGCCGGCCACCAGGTTACGGGAGCCTGCCGGGAGAGCAGGGCAGACACATCAGAAGTCGGAGGTCAGGTGGGAGGTTGGCCAGGAGTACGGAAGTTCAGAACCGCAGAATGACATCTAAAACGGTGGACATAGCACCAAGCACCTAAGCAGATCGTATTTGTTTATAACGATAACATGCTAGAAACCTTGTCTTACTTTGCCACCTCCAGCTATCCCTGTTTTGGCCCCTCCAGCCCTTCCAGCAGCGCTCCGCCGGCGCCCCCTTACCTAGCGCCGTGCTCAGCGCGATCGTCTTCAGGTCGAACCAGTAGTCTTTGAGCGCCGACAGCGAGTCGAAGTGGTACATTTTCACCGGGTACTGGATGTCCGGGTCGACGCGGTGGTAGCCCTCCTTGGAGATGCTGGTGTCCAGCAGCGAGGCGTTCCGGTTACAGAACACAAACACCTGACGGTGAACACAGACTGCCGTCAAAAACAGACACAAACAAAAACAGATGTAGGGTAACATACAGACCCCCGAAGAGCACAAAAGCCTGCCAGGCAGAATATCATCAATCGCAATCACAAACAGAATATGCTGGGAAACGGAAAGACTACCTCGATACTTTCAATGTGCTTGCGGCATGGTACGGCTAGCCCGCAAAGGGTGCAGGCCGCTCAACAGGTTCCACAGCGGGGAGCCCCCATCAGGCCCACCTCGCTGCGTCCTCACCTGATCTTTGGCCAGCATCTGCTGTCCCAGCTGCGCCAGACCCATGAACACCAGACGGGTGATGTCGTCGTGGATCGAAAACATGTACTTCCGCCTGCCGACAGGCCGGTCGGAGCACGTCACAGTAGTACTAAGGCGGAGGAGCCATGCCTAGGACAGTTACGTGGCACAAGATCATACAACCTTCTTTTGTGTTCGCCATCATACTTATCAGCTAGTCTGAACATCAATTACCGACAACGCTTCACTGTAGCTGTCTCGTTCCTATTTCGGTTTTCGGAATTCCGGGAGAAGCAGCGAGACGCCAGGGGAGTGCCCACTCACTTCCAGAATAGGCAGCTGACCACGTCCTCTGGCAGGTGTGTGGGCGGCAGGTTCCGCAGAACCCGGTGCGCCATGTACCGATGTACAGTCGGCGTGAAGTAGGGGATGTTCACCATTCGCAGGAAGATGCACAGAGGCATCCGGATCAGCACGTCACAGAGCAGGCTCCAGCCGCGGCCCCAGCCTGGGAGAGGCAGGACAAAGAACAGACGGATCAGCACGTCACAGAGCAGGCTCCAGCCGCGGCCCCAACCTGAGAGAGACAGGACAGACACAGGACAGACGGGTCAGCAGGCTCCAGTCGCGGCCCCAGCATGGGAGAGACAGGACAGATACATGACAGACGAGTCAGTATGTCGCAGAGCTGCAGGCTCCAGCCGCGGCCCCAGCCTGGGAGAGAGGGCACAGAATAAACGGGTCAGCACGTCACAGAGCAGGCTCCAGCCGCGGCCCCAGCCTGTGATATAACACACAGGACAGACGGGTCAGAACGTCACGGAGCAGGCTCCAACCGCGGCCCCAGCCTGAGAGAGACAGGACAGATACAAGACAGACGAGTCAGTATGTCGCAGAGCTGCAGGCTCCAGCCGCGGCCCCAGCCTGGGAGAGACGGATAAATAGGTTACAAACGCCTCGTGTCACACAGCTGCCATAGCATAGTTCAGCCGCGGCCCGGGCCTGACGTAACACGGCATACTACACTCAACTACAGTATTGCTGCACAGGCTGATCAACAGACTGAATTCATGGCCCCGGCCTGTGAAATAATCCCAGCATAGCTTTACTAGTTATACTAACTGGCGTGGGTGGGCAGCGGGCTGTACTAACTGGCGTGGGTGGGCAGCGGGCTGTACTGACTGGCGTGGGTGGGCAGCGGGCTGTACTGACTGGCGTGTGTGGGCAGCGGGCTGTACTGACTGGCGTGGGTGGGCAGCAGCGGGCTGTACTGACTGGCGTGGGTGGGCAGCGGGCTGTACTGACTGGCGTGGGTGGGCAGCAGCGGGCTGTACTGACTGGCGTGTGTGGGCAGCGGGCTGTACTGACTGGCGTGGGTGGACAGCGGGTTGTACTGACTGGCGTGTGTGGGCAGCGGGCTGTACTGACTGGCGTGGGTGGGCAGCGGGCTGTACTGACTGGCGTGTGTGGGCAGCGGGCTGTATGTACTGACTGGCGTGTGTGGGCAGCGGGCCGATGAAGGTCATCCAGTCGATGTTGTTGGTGTAGGCCCGCGGCAGTGTCTCGGGGTCGAGCTCCGGGTCCATGGCCAGCATCTGACGGCGCGGCTCCGTCTGGTCCAGCTGCGTGTTGCCGGCGTAGTCGCGGCTGATGTAGAACAGCAACTCCTGCAGCATCTGCAGCCGCCGGAACTTGGGCACAAAGTACGTCTCGTTCTGCTTCCGCTTCTGCAAAGCGGAGGGTACAGAGAGAGGAACGGAAGGCGTTAGAATGTAACGCAGGCCGTTGGGACAAGCGAGGCAAAGAGGCGGCACACGGGCACACATAATTGTACCACTGCATGTGTCCAAGAGGGGGAATAAAACAACGTAACGATAATTAAGACTCGCAAATTCCTGACATAGCTTCCCATCCAGTAAGATCCAGCTCTGCCCTCGACTCTCACCGTGGCCCGGACGTGCGGCTTCTCGACATTATTTCCGATGTTTTTGAGGAACCTGGCGTGGTACTCGCGCACGCTGCTGGCCACGTCGGGCGCCAGGCCGTCGGTGGGCGGTCCTTCCGGCGGCAGCTCGGCCTGCATGGCGCTGGTGACGCCCAGCTGGACCAGGAACGCCGCCTTGGCCTGCTCGATCGTCGACTTGAGCAGCGTGTTGTCTGGGAATAGAGAGAATTAAATGTTAGAGCACAACAGCACACTGATGGGGAGCTGGTATCAGCCCCTGAGCCCACAATTACCGTACGATGCTTGTGCGCAATACAGTGTTAATCTACAACTGCTATCTTCTTTCATAGCTTGAAAACATACTTTCCATTAACACCCACGGGGCTACATCAAGAGGCGTTCCCAGTACAAAATATTTCAGACTTCCTGGCTGAACCTCACTCCAGCCTCCTCAACTCTGACCCACCCGGTCCGACGGCCTGGTCGGCGATCATGTGCCGCTGTTTGACCTGTCCGCTGCGACTCAGCGTCAGACGGTAGTTCTTCACCAGGCCCGCGTCCGACAGACGCTTCAGGATACGGTTGAAGCTCTTGCGGTCCATCTTGGTCAGGATGCCCTGGTCGTCCTCGCTGTTCTGCACCATCTGGAAGGTGGGCAGAATGTGGGGTCACTAGAGGCTAGGGAGGCCGTGTGGAGGCGAAACACTAGTAGCAATACTGTTATAATGGGACGCTCGGCGATAAGTCACTCAAGCGGCGAGGCAGCACCGCGTCCGCTCGTAAGGCTTCACAGTTCACATTCTGTCTCCAGTACCCACCTCTCTCCACCAAATTCCGGTCATCCGCTCCCCCTCTGCCCGCTGTTCCCCGCCCCGTTCTCACCCGTCGCAGCTGGTAAGCGTTGTCGATGATTTTCAGCTTCTGGACGATCTCGAGGATGATGCGGGTGCGTTTGACCAGTCGACTGGAGGACGACTTGGAGAACAGCTCCGTCTGCTCCAGAGGGATCACGCTCTTGGGCGGACTGCCGAGGGACGGTTATCAGGGTGAGCGATTAAATAAGGCGCCGATAAATATCAGTAATACAACTGTTCCCGCTTTGGAATACCGAAAACGATAACACTAAAAGCCCCGGAGAGAGAGAGAGAGAGAGAGAGAGAGAGAGAGAGAGAGAGAGAGAGAGAGAGAGAGAGAGAGAGAGAGAGAGAGAGAGAGAGAGAGAGAGTCGGCGTCCCACCTGATGGGCTGCAGCGATGTGGGGTCGATCAGCTCCAGGAAGCAGTGCTCCATGTCGATCAGATTATCCCCGTCCGGCAGCAGCGACACCACCTCACTGGCCTGAAACAGACGCAAACGGAATGCTTAAAAAAGAACTGTAGGCGTACTACCGATACCGACACACGTCAAAATGTTCCAGCTGTGGCGAGCCGCCGCCTAAGGTAAATTACTACAGCAGCGACAGAAAAATGCAAATATGATCATGAGTCCGTAGGCTGGTGCCACTACCACCTTGTTCCGTCCCACCTACCGGCTTGTTCTCAGCGTCCGCAGCCTCTGACGCGGCAGCAGCGGTGATATCATCGGCGTCCTCCTCGGCGGTCGCCGCCTTCCCCGCCTTCCCTGCCGCCTTCCCCGCCTTGGCCGCCGGTTTGGTCGACTTGGTCGCCGTCTGGGCTGTCTTGGTGGCAGAGGTGGCGGCGCCGGACGGTGCGGACGGCAGGGTGAAGGCCGGAGTCAGCACAGGCGGGCCGAAATCCTCTCCGTCCGCCGGGCCGCACGGCATCACGAACACCGGGTCGGCCGGAGACAGCTGCGGCAGCTGAAATACAGAGACACGGGGTGAGAGGACAGCCACATATACCGACGATAACCAGCAAACAGGGGTAACGGGACAATAACGACACCGGGCCGGAGGGCGAGAGCTGCTAATGTCGAAACACTAATGTCGAAACAGCGAGAAACACATGTCTGCAGCGTTCAGCCCTGCGTAGTGTGCAACGCTTCTTGAAGGTGAGCCACCAGCGCCACTGAGTGTCCGTTACCTGCGGCTCCGGCGGCGCGCCTGTATCCGTCTTCACAGTCAGAGTCTTGAGCCGCTGCTCCTCCATCGAGAACTCCAGCTTTGTGTCGCTCATGTGAACGTAACGCGAGGCCACGTACCTGGCGAGCAGCGAGGGAAGAATGGGTCATATGAGTGGGGTGTGGGGGTGGACTGGTAGCAATCGTTGAAGTGATAGGGACGGAAACACTCGTGATGTGAACATGATTGATGTCACTGGTGACCGTGTACTGGAGATTCTGAACAATTTACTGAGGATGCTGTTTTATACATTGACGCATATGAAGAGCTGTAAACCTGTGGTGAGATTTTTTACTATTTCGATTTCATGTGGCATTGTTCCCAGACATTTCACGTGTTCGCTCACGGTTGTGTCACAGTAGAGAAGGTGCCTTACTTGGTGATTCTCGTGCGTCCCACGTCCTCCCGGAACGTTTCCACCGACTGTTTTATGTTGGCCAGCGACTTGAGCAGCGCACGGGCGTCCAGAGGGGTCTGGCCGAGCTGCCGAGCAGGGGGGGGGGGGGTCAGACGGGCGGGGGCGGTACAACACAGCAGCGATAGTAGCATAGGCGATAAAAGCGTCACGATAACAATATAAATAAAAATAGCGTGCCAAGGTCAGTCATGGATGTCTGATGTAACTTTTTTTGCATTTGGTGATTTTGGATTTACGGAACCGTAAAAGCAATTGTTTTCAACAACGACTTAACATTGAGTAGACTAGACACCAAATATCGTTCCTGAATAAACAAAAAAAGCTAGAATTTGCCACCGGCTCAACCGTGACAGGCAACCGCCTACCGAATACTGAACATTGTCAGAGTGAAGTCATCTATTTCCAGCACTCGCCTCACATACGTACATCGGCTCCCAGCGTCCGCTCACCTCTCTCCTCAGCGTGTTGCTGTCGATGCCTCGCGAGCCGTACACATGCAGCAGGTTGAACGCCTGCCTCTCCAGGGAGTGTTGCAGTGAGATGGTCGACTGGTCAGGGAACTTGAGCGCTGCTCGAAAAGAAAAGAAAAACATTAGGTATCGTTAGCGAGAGGTGGTTCCGAGACCTAGCGGCATCGGATGCAGGTGCTTTCTGAAGTCTGGCACGCGAGGCTTTTCTCATAATTTTCAATCGTTTCCAATCACCGTCAGTTAATTGATCGGGGACAGAACTATAGGTGGAATTTGGGTGTTATTTCAAAAACAAATTTCGGCTCCTTCGCTATTGATTTATATCATCCATATCCGTAAGTATTTCAAATAAATCGATGACAGCTGTAACGAAACATAGAACTGGGCCCCAGCGTGGCTATGAAAATTGGAAAGTTGAAGCAAGGTAAATTAAAACGGTTTCTTAGTATTCAGCAACCATTACGATTTTTACAGTTAACAGAGAATATCGCGGCTATTGTAATGGATTCAAGAACAGGGAGAGCGAGAAATCATCCCAGCCCACTATGCCGCAGCCCGGTGAGTCTTTGCAAATTACAAGAGATTCGAGCTACAAGCAGCAAATTCCTTAGCGATGGGTAATTGAAGCCCGATTTCGCATCAGCCTGCTGTTGCCGCATGTTGAGCTAGTTAAACCAATACTGATTTTTCTGACGGGAAGGACCATTACTAAAGTCTTGATTTCAGACGTTTTCAAGGCAAGGCAATCAGCGCTGACACCAAGATGCTTACCTAATGATCTTTTTGTAAAGAGCACCTGATCAACCTGTTCCGTATGTTCTGCAACGTGTTCACTGTTCAGTGTGTTCATCCGTGTTAGGTGTTTACATGTCTGCGTAACTACGCCGGTGCCGACAGATGAGGGCGGCATAGAGGCCGGCCTGGGACGAGCCGCGCAGCCGCCGACGCCCACCAGCTCGGCGTCGACCAGCAGCAGCCGGCTGCAGCAGCCGTCGCCGCGCTCCGGCTCCAGCTGCAGCGCCGCCGAGCTGCGCCAGCTCGAGTGGGACTCGTCGTTCGACTTCACGGCGCGCTACCAGCCGAGCCGGGCGGACGGAGAGCCGACCGAGCGGTCTGAGGTGCGCGCCGCTCCCGGGCCGCTAGTGACGGTCACTCAGCAGGCGCAGACCGTGTCCGTGCCCGCCGCTGTATTTGCCGAGACGGAGGTGAACCTGGTGGTGGCCTCTGCCGACTCGTCGCGCAGCGACCGCACCGGCAGTACGGTGATCACACTGCGCCGTCAGGTCAGCTTCCCCACCATCAGCCTCAAACGGTCGGCCGGCGCGCTCGATGGCCTGCGCGGCCTGACGATCCTGTTCGAGGGCGGTGAGCAGCCCGACACGGCCGGCAGCGAGGCGAGCTTCTGCAGCCTGGCGCCGACGGAGCCGCAGCAGCCGGCCGCCAGCCGACACGCCAGTCGGCTCTCCCAGCAGACAGAGTACGCCAGTCTGTCGGAGCGGCTGTCCAGCGCCAGTGCTGCGTCCCACCCCGCGCCCCCACAGCCGCTGCAGCAGCAACAGACGGGGCACGCAGCCATGTCTCGTCCGCCGCGCACGCCTGCGCCGCCGCCGCCGCCGCCGCTGGCCAGCCGCGCGCCACCCAGCATAGAGAAGTGCGCGCGCTGGCTGGCTCGTCATGAGCTGCAGGTGGGCCATGGTGACGGAACAGACACGGGTCCCGCCGCCGCCGCCGCCACCATCGCTGCAGCGGACGGAACCGGCCGCGCGCGGGGAGCCTGGAGATCGCGGATCCAGCCCTGCTCCTCACAGGACAGAGTGGTGTCGGTCGACCGGCAAATACCGCAGCCAGACTACCGACCGGTGGTGGCACCCGCTGAGCCGCGGCGGGCAGCTGACACCGGGAGAAAACGATCACCAGCCACCGCGAGGAAGGCGCTGTCGGACCCACTGGGCGGCTCAGCACAGTCTGCCGGAACGGCGGGGTCGGCGGCGGCAGCCGTTCGGCCCCAGCCGGCCGCCAAGTCGCGATCGGCTCACGCCGGTACCGCCGCCGGCATGACCCGGCAGCAGCACGCCGAGAGCCTGGCCCGGCGGCCGCGACCGCCGCCCGTGGCAGCAGCGGTCAGTCGCTCGTACACAGAGACGGCTACTGCGCCCAGCGTGCCGTCACTGCACTACCTGGACTCGGCCGAGAGTGACGAGCTGATTCGCCGCTGGCGACAGGACCGGAAGGACTTTTATCAGCTGGCGTACCTGCGGCGCGGCGACAGCGACGTGCTCTCGCCGGCCGACGACTCGGGGTTTTCGTCCAGCGTGCTGACCCAGCAGCACGTCTCCGAACAACAGGTGCAGGTGTTCACGGTATCGGCTGTGAAGACAACACCGTCGGCGGTGCCGGCCGCCAGTGCCGCATCCAAGCTCGGACCGGCGCAGGGCGACAGCGCTCCGGTGGCTGCTGAGGTAGCGACACCGCCAACACAGCAGGAACAGGTGACCGTGCTGGTTCCTCCCCGTGACGAGCCTCCGTCGTCCGCGGCTAGCCACCAGGCGGTCCCCGCGACAACACCGCCAGCTGCGACACCGCCACAAACATCCCCATCTACAGCGGCTGTCCCGGTCCACAGCCGGCCAGTATCAACAGCAGCGTCCTCCAGCCGCGCCCAGCGTCCGCAGACCGCCCCCGCCAGCGGCCGGCCCCGACCCGTGGCTGGCAGCAGCAGTCGCCGGCTGGCGCCGCAGCCGTCCGGCGTCGGCCAGCGCCGCTCTGTGCCCGCACCGGCCGGCTCGGTCCGGTTCAGTCCGAGCACCCAGTCAGCCGTGGGCCGGGCCAGCGCGGCACCGGTCACACCGCGACCCAGCGCAGCCGCAGTCCGAGCGCCGCCCTCCCGTCTGGGGAGGACACGCAGCTCGACATTCACAATGCCAGAGAAGGAGGATGGACCGCATGAGGCGGCGGCGGCGGCAATGGGATCCAACAGCGGTGTACCGTCAACCAGATCCAATGCAAACAATGGAGCACCCGGCAGCGTGTCCACTCTCAAACCAAACTCGAGCAGAGCAGACAACGGTGGCGCGATGGTAGGAGGGCCGACCGGGCGCCCGAGCGGAAAAGTATCGGCAGTTGGAAGCGCTGTTGGCACTAGCGACAGTACAGCGGGCGTTCGCTCCGGCACTAGTGTGGGTGCGCCGGTAGTCAGACCTAGCGCTGGAGGAGTTAGAAGTTCGCATGCCGTGAGACCAAACGCTGGAGGAGTTGCAAGCTCGCCTGTTGTCAGACCTAGCGCTGGAGGAGTTGTAAGCTCCCCTATCGTCAAATCCAGCGCTGTAGGAGTTACGAGCTCCTCCGTCGTCAGACCTAGCGCCGGGGCAGTTGCAAGATCGCCTACTGCTAAAATCAGTGCTGGAGGAGCCGCAAGTTCCCCTTCCGCCAGACCAAGCACCGGAGGAATTGGACACGGTGGTGAAGCCGCCGGGAGTACTCTGGGTGTGAGACCCAGCACTGGTGCAGCTGGCAGCACTCCTGCTGTCAAACCCAGCTCTGGACCCGGTCAGAGCGTGCTATCAGTCCGTCCCAGTCAAGGCAGCGCCGTCGGTGTCTCACCAACAATGACCAGAGGTAGCGCCGGCCGAGTACCGTCAGCCCCGTCCACCCCTGCCACAGCGGCCACCGACAGTCCGCGCTCCACCTCGCCGTCTCGGGTGGACAGCAGCCGCAGCAGCCGCAGTAACCTGGTCTCGTCCACCAGCACGGGCAGTCCGCGGAGACTGAGCAGTTCGCCGGACAGACGGCGCAGCTCCCTCGCTAGCTCTGCGGTCCCGCCGGCCGGGTCCAGTCCCACAGTCCGACCGAGCACATCCCCCACGGTCCGGCCGTCGGCAGTGCGGCGCGGATCGCTGCGCGTCGGCTCCGTCCTGGACACGGCCAGCAGGATGGAGCGGAGTCCCACGGCCGGATCGGTGGCCGCCATCCGCACACAGAGCCGTGGCCGCGGCGCCGGGGCAGTGGGGAGCACGGCCGCCAGCCCGTCGGTCGGGGTGGTACCTCAGGCGCCGCGGCCGCTCAGCGCACAGCCGGAGCCCAATATGAGGAGGAACCAGCCGCCACCCAGGAGATACAGCTTCACACCAAGCACGGCTGATGTCGGAGGGTCGCGGACCGCTGCCGGTGGCGGAGTGGCCTTCCAGGCGAGCAGGGGCGGAGAGACGGGTCTGAGACCGTCCCGGTCCTCCACCGGTACCGGGGGACAGACCTACCGCCGCGAGTCTGCAGCAGGTGAGCAGAGCCTCGCCAACCCGTCCCGACACTCGTCCGCACACGTCCAACACGTCAGTGGTTCAGTCGGTACTACCGCGCGGTCTACCGCTGCCGTCCGAACCTCTCAGCACGCCAGCAGCTCCAGCGTCGTGCCCGCACCATCGCCCGAGATGCACGTCCGAAAGAGCCTGGTCAATAGAGAGATTGAGTCAGGAAGTCTGCCGCGACTGCGCAGTGTCAGTGCCAGCCGCAGTCCGGACCCGTGTCAGCCCCCGCTGAAATGTGACGAAACTCCGCCGCCCGGCAGCCCCGAGAGGGGCGGAGTAGAGAGCGACGAGGGAGACGGAGACGGGGACAGAGACTGGGCCGGAGACACAGATAGGGGACGCAACATGGACCGGAACAGGGGTGGATACGAAAACGACGAAGACGAGTACAGAGACAGAGAAGAAGACGAAGACGAGCAAAGACCCGGCACTCTCGGCGCCGTGGATAGGCAGTGGTCACGGGAGGACGCAGGACCGACCCGGGGTTACTCAGGGTCGTTCCGCCGGAGTGTGGACGAAGCACAGTTGCCGCTGGTGCGTGACACGATCCGAGACTACGAGGTGCGCTCCCGGTCCGTGTCCCGGGAGAGGGTGCCGATACCGCGGCCGGAACCGCGGCCCGAGATGGTGACAAGACTGACACTGGAACTGGAGACCGACCGGGAGCCGGGAGCTGATATGGGAGCCGAGCCGAAGCTGGGGGCAGAGGGAGACGACCAGGGAATGTTACCGGAGTCGGACACCGAGCTGGACACGGAGCTGGAGCCGTCGGCGGCCGCGGTGCGCTACAGCACAGACGGCTGTGCGGCTGGGGACGAGGGGAGTGCGTCAGACGGGGGCCGACAGACGCCGGCGGTACCTCCGCTGACCGGGCTCAGCCCACCCGACAGCCGGCGGCCGGCCGACCCGGCTGACCCGACCGACCCGGACCCGTACCACCCGGGCCAGTGGCGGCAGCAGCACGAGCCGGCGCCGCGCCGGCCGCACACCCGCTCCCGGATCCCCGTCCGGCGGCCCACCCCGGACACACCGTCCCCGCGCCAGCCGGGGCTGCTACAGCCGGCGCAGAGGCCGCAGCAGTCCACCCCGCAGCGGCCGCAGTACGCCAGCTACGAGCTGACAGTGCTGGCGGAGCGCAGTGCCGGCCGACAGCGCTCTCCGCCGCCGCGCCGGGTCGACGACTACCAGCCAGGGAGGCAGGCGCGACCGGGCGGGCCGCCGCGTCGCCCCCGCCCGCCGCCACAGGGCTGCCCCGACCGGCGGCCGCCATCCGACCACCCCAGGGCTAGCAGAGGTCACTCGGACACCACCATCCACCCCCGGGCCTCCACCGCGGCCAACGTGTCCCCACGACTGGGCGGCACACCGGCCGGCGTCGGCGGCGGGTCTCAGCGCTCGGTCCGCTCGGTGCGCTCGGCGCCGGCGCGACGCGGCCCGTCCACGCCGCGCTCCGACCGCAGTACCTCCAGCAGCGAGGCGGTCTACACGCTGGGCTTCAGCGAGGCGGAGCTGCGCCAGGCGCGGCTGGTGCGCCGCCAGCCGGCCGGCGGCCGCCCGCTGCGGCTCACACTGGACGGAGACGGCGCGCTGGAGGGCGGCCGCGCCGTGGTGCGTCGCCTCCAGCACACGCACACACAGACGGACGAGTTCGCGCACGTCAGCAGTCTGCTGCAGCTCGACCTGTTCCCGTGTCAGAGGGACGCGCCGGGCCGCGGACACGCCGACACGTGAGCGATGACGGCAGTATGATCAGGGTATTATCTGTGGCCACCTTACACAGGGACCGGCACACATTCATTCCATGGGAGATTTACATCCGTCCTATGGCAGATTTAAGGGTGGCCACATTGGCAACAGGTATGGCGGCAAGAAAACAGTCACATACGAGGCACGAATGTCGAGGTGCAGGCGGACGTGAGGGTCGATGTCACTTTGCAGTGTGATCTGACTCCACTAACCAAGGCAGGGCATTGCAAGCATCGAGGAACCAAATGATACCAGCAACATGCGCGGTATGCTGGTCTCAGAATCTGCCCTCACAGTGGAGGAATCTCGTCACCATCGACTCTATTGATAAAGCGATGCACAGCATGATCAGGACTGCCAGTGCAATTACGACGATAAAGAAACCTCGCAACTTGCAACATGATTCGTGAGGAGTCACAGGGTACACCTTCAGGGTTTTTGAACGCGTCACTGAACTTTTTTAGGTGTCAAATGGTGTGCTGTTGTGTCGCGTGACTTGAATATAAGCACTAGCAGTAATGTCGATCATACCAGTATTCGACGTGCATGATCGTTAAAGACGTTCAAATAACGACCTCAATAAACGATCAAGTGGAATTTACCAAGCAGACTTTGTTCCCACCCGAGATCGTAATTAGATACTGTATCCCTCCCCCCATCCCTCCAGCTGCGGCGTCAGTCCACCCCGCAGTACCTACGTACCGTCTCCGTCCGGGTCGTTCTCGTCGTCAGCCTCCTCCAAGGCCTCCCGAACAGACACTTTGGGGTCGAGCAGACGGTAGACGCGACACGAGCGCTCCTGGCCCGTGTTCTTCACGATCCACTCGCTGCGCGGCGCGTCCGGGTAGATGAGCCGGTGCGGTACCTGTGGTCCGGAGAGAGCCGCGAGTGGTCAGTAAATAAGGGGGAATACCAGCTAGCATCGAGTGACTAGTCAATGAAAAAAACAATGACCTACGCTAAGTGAAGAGGCGCTGGCATCCATGAAAGTTAGGAAGCAAGATGTGGACATTGTACGAGACGGAATGGACGTCATTTGCACTCACCATCTCCCACTTGATGAATCGCTGGAACTCGCTCATCTTGGCCACCTTCTTCAGACCAAACGGGTTATCAAACAGCTTGATGAAGTCCGAGATCAGCATGCTGATGGCAGACGATATCCAGAGTCATGCCACTCGAAATCGAACGACGGTGAGCGATGGAAAAGACTCATTAACCTTTCAGGGACATTTGACATCGGCATAAGAAAGCAAAAAGCAAGGACAATCCTAATAAAAAAAATGGCTTAACCCCCTGGTCACGAACGACCAAGACAATCTGCAGCTCCCTTCACAAGACGTACCCAACCCTGTACTAAAAGTACCCGTAGCCCCGTCCGTGACGATACCCTCACGTCCCACCGCCGTCGTGCGGAGCATCCACTCACAGGTATTTGGGCTGGGCGCGCAGTATCTCGACAGCTTGCTCGATCATCACCTCGTACTTGGGCCGGAACTCGCGGAAGAATCGCGGCAGGTGGTACAGGCGGCCTTGGCAGTTCTTACCGTTGCTGCCGCGCATACAGAATCCCTACGGCAGATAAAAGGACAAATCAGCGCACATAAATCCCAAACAGGCAATGAAGCAACCAGTGCATCCTTAGCTCTTCGAGCAATTTTTTCTTTGTAAAGTTAGCTCGAATGTCTCAATGGACAGAATGACAGAGCCCCGGAGCCCATGCGCTAAGCAAAGCTTGTTGCGTAAATCCCGACCCCTTCCGCCCGATCGCGCAACACCGGGTAACGGAACAATTAAAAGCCAAAGTTTAACGTGCCAATCAAAGTCGGACACGGCCTGTTCCACTCAACTGATTTCAACTGACTTCGGCTGCTCCGACCAACCGCAGACCATCCCCGCCACGGAGGATGGTCCAGGTTCGAGACCATGAGGTTCGAGCGCCGGAGCGACTCGAACCCGGGCTCTCACTACCCGGGATCCAGGGCTCTACCAACTGGGCTACGGGGCAGGCCGACATATCCATCGAAAGATACCTTTTGACACAAACTATGACCCGACGTCATGAATGTGGCATGACCCTTGTGTTCAATGTTGAGGATATTCAGAGCAATGCCTTGCCCCAGACACAGTACAAGACAGCCAGACAAACAGACAGCAGAACACCAAACGTAACTACAGGTCACGAACGAAATCAGGGCGAGATACTCATGCCTCTTCAGGCGCACTGACCGCACCTGTTTGGTGATGAGGCGGTACTCGAGCAGCTTCTTGCGCAGGTAGTAGAGGTTCTTGGGCGGCTCCTTGAGCACGCCGAGACCCTGCACGCCGACGGTGATCTCTCCGTGGAACCGGGACCGGCCTGGGAACGGGAAACAGGTCACTGAACAGTGGATCACCGGCGGGGGACGGCATACGTGGGTGCTGAGCTCAAGTGATAGCACGTACTTGGAGGTACGTTTCAGCATAGACAAACAGGCAGTGGCATGATAGCATTGAAAACATCTTCGGTAAATTACATCACAATAGAACAAAATAGGATTGTATTGCTAGGAAACCGAAATAAACAGACTAAGCCAAATCAAAAGATTAGAGAAATGCATTAAGATCTCTATCTTTCTTCGCCGTTATGGGTCCCGGCTGGCCGAGGACAGATTAGCTAATGAGCAAACTGACCGATCCGCTCCAGCAGAACGAACTGGCTGAGGTTGAGCTCGGCCTCCACGTCCATCGAGCTGAGCGGCACGAGCGCGGCGTTCCGCATACTCTGAGACGCCACGACCACCAGCCGGTTGCGGCCGAACCTGGAGCACAGGGCGGGGGGGGGGCGAAGCACGGCCGATGGTGGTTAAATTTATTCGCTCATTTCTGTCAGCAATGTAACTATGTGACGGAACAGACCATAAAATGACAATACATAAAACTCGAAGACTTTTCTGCATTACGATCTGTTCAATCGTCTACTGGAAACCCTTCAGCTGTTTGGCACCTACCTCTGTTCGACCTCCTCCAGTGATCGGTCGGCCACCAGCTCCGTGACCGGTATCCGCTCGTGGTAGGTGGAACACGAGCCGCGCACCCTGGCCGACTGGTCGTCCACCGCCGCGAACGGGTACGGGTCCTCGGGCAGCTCGGACTGAGGCTAGGAGCCCGGTCAGCGGACAGAGTCGGACAGACACTCGGTAATACGCGGGCGGTGACAGACACAGGGACGACAACCGTACGTAGTTCAACATCAAAGGGAGAATTGAGAGGGAACTGGTGGGCGGACATCAAATGTAAAAGATTTAATGAGACATTTACCCTACCTGTAAGGCGTTCCTGACATTACCATGAGAGAAGCCCACAGTGAAAAAAGTAAAAAAGTGATTTTTTAAGCAAACAGCACACTGCATCCATTCAAAACTGTCAGACCGGACTTACCGGTTCAACGACGATACCGTAGTCATGATCGAGATGTTCGAATCGGTTGAACAGAACGAGATCAGGTCGATCCTCGGGCAGTTGGAAGAACTCAAGGTCTGGGTTGTTCCTGATCACCTTCCATAAGAACTTGGTGCTGGCCTCATCAATCGACAGCCCAAAGTTGGGCTGGTTAGACAGGCGTGTCCACAGAGCTGGAATAGATGGGAAAGGAAGATGTGAAAATAGAATAATGGACACAGACAAAAAAAGCTCAACTTCTGATGCTTAGCTAAAAGCCATGTTACTTACAATAAATGAAACTTATATTCCAAAAGACAAAACTTTGTAGGTACTGCTACTATTTAAGCTTTGGGCATAGCTGGTTACTTCTGTTGTTAGGAACAATGCTTGCCTGCAAGCTTCCTAATCACTTGAAACTAAAGACACCCTGACTACATACCTGGCAAAGTGATTCCATCAAGGCCTTCCAATGCTATCTCATCCAAAGTCACAGCACAGTAGTCCAAAGAGTCCAGGCCTGAGCGAGCCATTATCAAGAAGCGTCAAGCAGTTCCTTATTCTTGGTCAGCAAAACAGTTCTTCAAGGCTACCATAGTTGAACAGCTGCTACTCCATCATAGCCAGAGGCGAGTGTAGTTCACAAGGTCAGCAAGTTACTGAGAAATTCACTTCAACATAGCCCAATAGCTCCAAAGTCAGGAAAGATCACATGATCTCTATCATCAAACAACTGTCTTGAGATTCAACCATTCACTGAAGAGGTTTCATCTGTGAACACAAGAACACAAATTCAAAATTTTAACAGACATACCTAGTTACATCATTACTGTTGCGAGGACAAATTACAATAGGTAAGATAGGTAAGTGAATGCATATGACTCACATACCTACTCTACAACTTGCCAATAGTGTAAACACAAAGGCCATGAAGCATGCAGGTAAGGTTTTCAGGCAATATAAAAATAGCTGACTTCCATGAATGTTATGCAAAGAACACTGATGCACAATGTAAGTGTGACAATCATTTTAGTACCTGACGACCTGGCATTCTAGTAGCAGTTGCCAAATTACTCTAGATCAAACTGAAAATATAAATATGCAATGACTTTATTTTTACAAGTTGCCTATAAACTGTCTGAAAAATGGCATTATGAAAATGCTATTACGTCCTCTGCTATTAATATTGAAGGTCAAATGCAATTTTAAAATTTAAAGTGAAAATTGTGTTACCTCTGTTAGAGCTCGGGATCGTCATGTAATTTACAGTCATTCTCCCTTTATTGTCTTTGAATTTTTAGCATTGCTTTAGTTACTTTGGATGATTCAGATTGGGCAGAGTGGATAGGTAGGTACTGGTGCCAACTATAAGTCAGAGGGAAGGGACTAGCCGATTGTATGGTTTCGGTTTGGTTATGTAATATTATGTGGCAAGAATATTGATTTGGTACAAATTAACCCCTGAAAATCAAGCTAATCTCTTTAGAAGTCTCCCTTATCGAATACAAAAATTTTCAAGCACAAGGACTGAGTTAGTCAAAGCAGTTGAGCAGTTGTTTGAAACGTATTTATGTTTCTCCCCTTCTTTACTATGGAGTAAAGGCTGAGCAGTTTTACTCTGTGAATGATTTTCTGCCTAATAATAGAACGATATTTCCAAGATGAAGCAAAACAAAAACTTAAATAAGCCACCTCACGTGTGCTTTATTTTGATAAGTTGTGCGGCGAAATTGCCTCAATGGCCGCAAAGTTCAAGGATATGTTTATTAAGTCATTGAAGAGGTCAATGGTTTAGCAATGACGTACCTACCTATATTTAGCATGACGTAAGAACTTTGTAAGAACGTGTCAACTTTGACAACAGGCATTGAACTGTGCGTATTTACAAATTGCAACCGAGCTCCGCCGTGGGGTAAGGTGGGCAGGGGTTTTCGCACTACGGCTGCGGTTGAACTACCGTCTGTGGTAGAAATTTCAGGACGATGGCGCGTTTGATACGAAATCTGGCGCAATGTTTGTTTGCTTCTGAATTTGTATTGTTGTTGCTGTGAATTCTTGAAGTGGGAGTGCTTCAATAACAATTTGTGGATTATTTGAGTTTCTTTGTATAAACATAGAATAGTATTATGAAACATTGTGTGGAAACTGCAAATACTGATATGATCAATTACTGAGTTTGGGAATTAATCCACATTTTGTAGAGATTTGTCTGGCAAATTGAAATGGTGTAAGTTGTAACAAACCTCAAGCCTATCATGATCTGAAGCTGTTGTAACAAATCAAAATTGCTTTGATGTTACATAGTACCTTGTTGGAAAGACTGAAGCATGGTTCAAGATGATGTGTAAAAATTCAAGATTTGTGCGAAAGCTTGTGACTGAAGAACGAAAACAGTTCTATATGATGGCTCAATCAAACGTGGATATGGACGACAAAAGTAGAGTTTCAACATTCCAGCATGTGAGAATAACTTCAGAAAGTCATAGTTCTTGTAGCATTGCACTCTTCTTATGTACAGTTATAGGTTTTGTCAGGGTATTTCAAATTCATTGTGTCAGTTGAGATACAGATGGATTGCGGACAAATTTTAGAATCATTGCATGATAGCTAGGTAGGTACTTGTTCGGTAAAAAGGTATGTGATGAATGCCATGAGAAGGTGTTTTATGATTTAATATATGGTCGTTGTTGTACCTAAAAATGCAAGCTTACTAGCAACTAGTTTCTGAATCAAATCAAAAGTATTTGCCATGAATGTAAATATGTACCTGCAAAGTATGTCAATAAATTTGTGTGATGTTGACCAGAGAGCTTTATCATCTGGGCATTTATGTCGCTTCTTACATTAGGTGTCAAGCATAGTAATTACGGATGAACTTTGTGCCAATATCTTCACTGCACAATGTATGTAGCATGTCTACAACCCTCACTGATCCTGCTATAGCTATAGGCATCTGGCACCAGCAAGGCCAAGGGCATGAACTTCACAGTTGCACAACCTTTTGTCATGTACCACCAGTCACTTTTTTTACTTAAGGTGCACATAGCAGTGGACACAACAATGTGCAGAGGGCCTACACAAAAACAGCATGATTAGTGTGCACTATGCACAGCATTGTACCATGATTATTTGAATATTTTGATCACTCAAAGTCAACAGTCAACAGTCAGGAGATATGCCCACTTGTTTGTGGTTGTCGGGTGAACCGAAAAATAAATAAATAATAAAATAATTATTGAATATCACATTTATTTTACATCACTTGTCAAACAAGAGCATGATGACACACATTTTGACAAGCAATCATGGTAGTATTTCAATAAGTTGGACAGTCACCTCCCTGGGCGTCATTTTTCCAGGAAGGTACCTCTGCAGGTGTTGTTGTAGGCTAGGTTGAATTGGGTTAAGTTAGGCGAAGTAAGGTGGTTAGGACCAGGTCAGGTCAGACCGTAAGGCCTGGTCAGGTTGATTTTAATCTTTCATTCTAATTTGACATAGATACCTATTACCTATGTTTTTTCTCCAGCCTGAATTTCATTAGGTAATGAGTTAATTTTGCTTTGTTTTTATCTGTGCTTGTGTTTTTGTCCCTTATATTTTGCCCCATAGGCAAGGGTGGAGCTTTTCCAGGGAAGGTGGTGGAGCATGATTGGAGGCGCTCAACCAGACGGCATAGGAGGGCACGGTTTCTGAACGCGCACTGATGCCTGATTCAAGCAGTAATCTTGATTCAAGCCATGCTGTCTTCATGCGGGGCGGAGCGCTACTTAAAAGTCCCTAAAAGACCGGGAAGTGATGCCGATAGAACCTTCAATCATTCTGGGCTAACGATTATGACTTGGAAAAAGTCGCGATTCCAATTCAATCGAAAATCTGTGGGCTCTTGTTCAGCAGGAGGTGTATGAAGAGCCACCCGCCATAAGCACTGCTCAACCGCAGGCACAGGTTTAGACGGCGTTGGTCCACATCAAAGCCAGTGTGCTGGAGAATCCATTGGCTGAAATGCTCCAGAACATTCGCCACTGTTTTTATGAAAGGTGGCTACAAGCTCAGTTAAAAGAAAAAGTACCAGATTGTTTTGCTTTTTAATTACAGCGGGAAGAAAGGTGTCCGGATAATTTCGTTACACCCCCTGTAATGTTCAAATGGTTGCTAAATTCGAAATCAGCTCTAAAACTAGCCTAGAAACATGTAAAACTCGAAAAAGTGAACCGAGGTCATCAAAGGTCATTGAGGTGACCTGACCTTCAGGTGACCTTGACACCCACCCTAATGCATGGGACCAGCATCATATCACATGTTTCAACGCTGGAAACCACGTGAAGACTGCAACCGCGCGGCTAATGCGAGCCGACATACGCCGAATCGCGATTCGGGCCAAATATGGTCTCGAGAAATAGGTCACAGGTCAAAGGTCATTTGGGTCAGAGTCATGAAATTTTCAGGGTAGGTGTAAAATTGATAAAATCGGGGGTGTTGAAAGTTTCGTCGCGATCGGACGGTTTTTACGCGAGTTACTCACGAAAAACCGATAAAGCGCACCCAAAAAGGCAGAAATATGCACATGCGATATCCTATACTGCGAAAAAAGGTGCATCATTTTTTAACGTCGCCGACAAATTCTAATTACCCTAAGCTCAGGCAGATGTATGGTAGAAAATCCCCCAAGTGAAATATACTACGGCGGAAATAAAATACCCTACGGCGGAGCTCGGTTGCAATTTGTAAATACGCTTGAACTGTATGTTTAACGATTTATTTCTGTTTTGTTAACGTATTTCACCCTTTAACGGTGCACCATTAGCCTACATCGACGAAACTGAACGCTCCACACGTCCCAGGTTCTAGTTTGGGAGAGAGGGGGGGGGGGGCTCGAGCTAACGCCCCGCTCCCTGGGCCTGGTCTCCCTCCGCTTCCCTTATATGACTTGTTAGACGTTATCTTCAGCTGCCTTCTGATCTCTTACGATAACTAATTGGCAAAACTTGCACATGAAAAGCTGTACGTCTTCGTGATATCTGTCTCGCTCCCGGTTTAGTCTATGGCGGATTGGCGACCGTTTATAAAGCACGACTGCACTATTTCGGACCGACTGCCGTCTGCCGTGATCATTTATTTGGCTAGTAACCATCCGAATGTATTATCGCATTTTGTCCTAGGTACGAGTCAACACTGGTCGTTTGATGGCACAGCACCAAACAGCAAAAGGGACACCGTCGTCGGGCAATAATACTCGCTGAACACTCGTGGGCGCTTGTGTCGTGGGTGATGCGGGAATAGTGCTGTATGAATGCGATCCATGACGGTACACGTCAACAAACAGGTCCATTAGGCCGTCACATGAGGTTCCGTCTGCCCTGAAGTTTGACTTGCAGGATGCAGAAGTTGTCGAATATCGCACATGCTGAATGCTCGATATTATGCGAATTGTGACGAGTGACGACCGTATTCGTCTTTCAACCCAAGAATACCCTAGCCCAGGACACTTTCACTTTTACAATGTTACATTTACATCTAATTTTTACAAATACTATTGGTATTGCAAGAATAGCATTTCACCGAGAGTATTGGCATCGCCCTTCGGCCTTCACCAGTAAAGTCGCCAGAGCGGGACCTCAGGTCTCGTTATAATACCCGCGTCAGCGTGTCGCCCGTTATAACGCTCGCGTGTCACTCATTCCCTGGTCGGTGCGCGGCCGGCGGTGGTCTCTTTGGCGGCCCCTGGGACACAGCGCCAGCCGCCCAGCTGTGTCCCTGTCTGTAGCCCTGTCCTGTGTCCGCTCCCCTCTGTATACCGTCCGTCGGCGTCGGCTCCTGAGGTCATTACCGGGCGCGCTGACAGCTCGTCCGAGCGGCCCGTGGGAGCCGCCACAGTCGGGTGCCGCCGACCCGGGCGGCCGCGTGTGACGGTGACTTCTCCGGTTAGAACAGGGGCAGGGCAGCGCGGACCGCACGTGAGCCGGAGCGGCGGCACCGAGCAGTGGTCGGCCTGGAGAGATCGGCTGGGGCAGCGAGACAGAAAGAGCTGTCGGCATTTACGTTGCTATTCAGATTTTTAAGGTTTGCCCCGTTTCTGTCGAAATGGGTTGAATATGGCAAAAAAAAATTGGAGTTATTGCCAAAGTTTGTCAAAAATGTCTAATGGCTCTATAAGGCAGCCACAGATTAAAATTTCATCTCATAGGTATAGTTAGACCACACCGGAGACCCTCCACCGTGTCAGGTCAGGTCGGCTGGCACGGGTCGGGGGATAGCATGGGCGCTCTGTCGGCGGCTCGCCGGGTGGTGCGTGTCACCCCTCTCTCCCGGGGCATCCGTCTGGTCATCTTCGCCGGCTGCCTCACCGCCTTTCTAGTGCTCGTAAGTACGGAGACACTATGAGGTACAACGAGGAGCCACTTGAAATCAACCCGCCTCTCCCCGAGTCGTTCTGCCGTCTTGACGAGATAAAAAGCTCTGTAAGGCTAGACATATGTATGTTCGGGCAGTAATGTTGGGACTTGGGCATCTCTAGTTTTGAACGTCCTTGTCCGCACTGACGAGTTAACTTTTCTGCATTGGTAATTAGATGTTCGTTCGTCACTTCGCCTTATGGCAGGTACAATCGTTTATTATCTGCTACGTCTGATGAAGGCATGTCTCTCACTTTTCACCAGGCACATAAATTTTTGTTTTAAATGGTTAGGAATTTGTGTGTTATCCATGACAGATATATAAAAAACGACAATTTATTCAAATACACTATAAAAATACAGAGCTTTCGGTAACAAAGCTGCGATCACTGTGATTATATGCTGTGTATATGTTACAGACCGTATGAAAACCCAGTCCGTTTGCAAACGGCCTGGCCCAGTCAGGCCGTTTGAAAACGGCCTGAAAAAGCCGGCCGTTTGCAAACCGCCTGAAATATCAGGCCGTATGAAAACGGCCTAGGCAGTTTGAAACGGCCTAGACAGTTTGAAAACGGCCTAGTCAGTTTTCAAACGGTCTGGCGAAGTACAACAACCTCTGAAGATTGAACTTAATGGATCCAGGTTGGTCGATGATCAGGTTGCATCCATGTGAATGCTTGCGCATTCCATGCCGAACCGAATGACTCGTCTACATACGTCGAACATTTTCTTACTGTGCTGATGCTCGGCCCGGCCGTTTTTCAACAATATTACTAATTATACAAGTTCACGGTCCGCCTGTGTACGGCCATCCAGTTGATGGAGCCTGGTGAAGCCACTACTGATGAGTGGTGAGGTCTGGTGAAGCGTATCACTACAAGACTCATTGATTATTTTGCGGCATAAAACGCCGAAGCGCGCAATGGACATCAGAGTTCACATCAGTGGCGCGGGAACCGGGGGGGGGGGGAGGGGGAGGCTAGCGGGGGCTGAGCCCCTCCAACTTTTCGGCTGGGGGGGGCCTCGTAATGTATTTGAGCCCCCCCCCCCAGCTGGAGGAATCGAAATCGGAAATCTACCAACATAATTTCATAGATTCATACATAGGCGCGGGAACCGAGGGAGGGGGCAGTGGGGGAAGCTTGCTCCCACAGCTCTGGGGCCGTGGGGGCGGTGCCCCACAACTCTTCATGAGGTCAGGAACCGTTGGGGCAGCTTGTCCTCCCCAAATTAGGGGTTGTGGGTCACAAAGGAAGAAAGCATGTAAGTGAAAAATCCACCTCTTTCACTGGCTCGGCAACTCATTTGGCAGATTAAAACCTTTATTCCAGGTTGCCAAAACGGTAGTTTCTTCACTCAGTTGAGACAGACTACCTGACTTTTTTTGCAAATATTTTCGTTTCTTTTTGTTGGAAAGGCCAAGGTCTGAAAAATAAGTGGCCTAAAACCGGTGGGAAAACTAGATTTGGGGGTACCCTAGGTTGATCTCTATTATGGTTCAGCGCCCCCCCCCCCCCCCCGTCTGGAAGAAGTTCCCGCGCCACTGGTTCACATTAGAGTCCTCACCGCGCCCGGCCGACCGCCGGCGGCTGGCCGGTGGCGTACGCAGGCAACACTTGACCATTATTGCGGTGGAAGGCGAATTTTTGAAGTCCGGGGGAAGCCCGGGTCGACCGGGCGCTATACGGGCCGGGTCTCAGTTCTGCTAATGTCTTCCTGACCAGGCCTGCATTCGTCATCCGGAAAATCAGGGAGAATTTTCCGGAACTAGCGAGAATCATCGGGGATCACGAACGGTATCGCGATAACGAGACATGCTGAAGATAGGCGCTCAACAATAATTTTCCGACGGAGAATATCCGAGTGACAACATTTTTCCGGATGCCGAATGCACCTCAGGATTTCATGGTGCCATGTAATGTCATGAAACGGTCGTGCTTCAACAAACTCAACATTGTCTAGCTGTAACTTCATGCAGACCAGATCGTTTTCAAAATGCCTATAGACCGTTTGCAAACGGCCTGCACTGAGAGAAAAAATTACTCTAGGCTCTCGGAATTCTCTGAAACTCCCGCCTAATAACTCTTCGCAACTCCCTCAAATGTCGGTAAGCCTAGCGTAGCGAAGAGTATTTCCGAGAGTTTCCCGGATATGAGTTGCCAATTCGGCTGCGTCCGGGGAGTGTATCGTAGAGTTTACCGAGTGTAACGCGCGGAGTGCATCAGCTGGCCTCTCTCGTGCGATGCCTGTTTACTCTCCTCATTTCCAGCTGGAAGCTTAATCGAGTTTATTCAAGGGAGAGTTTTGAAGAGTTTTGGAGAAAAGTAATGTTCTTGAAGCTTCGGCGCGCGCTAGCTGGCCGAGCGTCAGTCCAGCTGCCGGCGCAGCGCAGTGTGCACGTTGCTGCTTGTATTCCAGTAGGTACTATTGTGCAATTTATTTGAATTTCTACATTGCTTTGGTAGTGAATTGGTGAAATAAGTGTGTGCCCGTGGCAGTGGCGGAAGATTAAAACTGTTTGTACATCAAGAGGTTGGTAATAGGTACCTAACAGAACATTGGATGAATCAACTGGCAACTGGTGTGAGTAACTGAGGACTGACCAATGACAGCGATGGACCGAGTGATTACCGTATAATACCGAGCAGTGGTATTGGTGAAAATGGGTGTGTAGAATGGTGTGGTTGAAATTAGCTAGGCCAACCGCTCCAGGAGCTGAAGGAAGGGTGTTCTCTGCGCTGGTGAGTGGTGAGTCGTGCTGACGGCCAGGTTTTAAGAAGTTAATTACTGTTTTTATTTTAATGTCACGGATATGTAACTACTTCGTTCCATAGTCCATCGGACGAAATAATTGGTATCGTAAAATAAGCGGTGTTCTTAATGCAGGAATCCAACTTCTGCATTGTGCTGTGTATTTTAGGTTTACCCGGCTTTTGGGTTTCTTTTTTCTGTACTGGAATCATACCATTGCTCGATGATTATTCGCTGAGTTTCGTCGAAGGGATGCCTTAGCCTCACATGTTTTGATAAAGAGTGAGAGTTTGCTGTGCACAGCAACAGCTGGTTCTTTATCACATTATAGATAAGAGGCGCAACTGGTCAGTTAGATGAATTATTGTTCACGTTTTGTGACGAAGATACACGTGTAAGATTGAACTTCACAAATGAAAATGTCAATAAATGGTTTGTTCTATTCGCATCAGTTTCGAGAGAGGCAGAGTAATGAGGGTTTACGAGGGGTGTAATGGGCAGTTACGTGGGAGAGAAATGGGGAGTTCACGGGAGAGTTCCGTGAGAGAGTAATGGGGAGTTCACGCGAGAGTTCAGTGGGAGAGTAATGAGGAGTTAACGGGAGTTACGTGGGGGGAGTAATGTGGAGTAATGAAGAGTTCTAGGGGGAGTAGTAGAGGGGAGTAGAGATGGGTCGAGAGAGTTATGAAGAGTAATGGAGGAGAGTGATGAAGAGTTCCAGTGATAGTTATGAGGGAGAGTAAAGGGGAGTAGCTGCCTGGAGTTTTAGGGAGTCGTTTTTGGTAACTCTCGATAACTCTCCTAAAGGGAGTCAAAATTTCTCTCAGTGTGGTGTCTGGAAAGTTGTCATACGGCCTAGACGGTTTGCAAACGGCCTGACATTTCAGGCGGTTTGCATACAGCCTGGAATTTCAGCCCGTATTCAAACGGCCTGACTTTTTAGTCCGTTTGCATACTGACTGGGCTGTCCAGGCCGTTTGCAAACGGCCTGACTCGGGCCAGGCCGTTTGCAAACGGACTGAGTTTTCATACGGCCTGTAACATATACACAGTAATCAAGGTATTTATTACCAATGCCGAAAGCTATGTATCTTCATCCCGCACCGTAGACAGTGTTTATAATTGCTTCGTGTGCAAGGAGAGAAAAGTATCAGATGTCGCGTAACTGATTTGTTAAACGTCTAGACGATTAACAAACTGTTAAGCGTCTAGTAGATATTTCGGCTAGTCTGAAACATGTTGTATTTTCTACCTATATAAAATGTGTTTTTTACCTTTAAGCGCCCGAAAGATATCGGCGGTACAGGATAAAATTATTAAACCGCTCGTAGTTAGAAAAATATTTTAAACGTCTCGCCTATGGGCTCAACGTTTAAAAGAATTGTTTGTTCTACCTACTCATCGTTTAATATACCTATTTTATCAGATGTCGTGTAACTGCTTTGGTAAACGTCTAGACGATTAACAAACTGTTAAACGTCTAGTAGACATTTCGTCTAGTCTAAAATATGGCGTATTTTTTTATATAAAATGTATTTTTCCCTTTCAGCGCCCAAAAGACATCGGCGGTACGGGATAAAATTATTAAACCGCTTGTAAGTAGAAGCATCTTTTAAACGTCTCACCTATCGGCTCTACGTTTAAAAGATTTTTTTCTACCTACTCGCGGTTTAATGTATATCATTGTGTATTTGAATGTATTGTCGTTTTTTATATAAAAAGGTCAGTTATTTATTGTAGTTTAAGATTCATAGTTCATGTGGGTATTTTAAATGCGCGCCGATGGACAAAATATGATGTTGCCGTCTGCGATATTTAAACGTATTTGGGTATATGGCATTGTCACTTTGTAGAAGATCCGTATAAGCAATCATAATTATAATGAAGCATGCACGCAGAGGTAATTTATGATTTAAGCCTACCGTGTATGAGACATGATGTACCGCAATTGAAGGCAGCCGACTCGAATAAAGCAGTGAAATCCATGATTTCATGGACTAATTTTTGAATAATTTGGGATAATTTAAGTTTTGTTCCTTAACATTTCGTGCGAGTGCTCATGTAAGAAACGTATACCTTATCATATTATCTTCATTTTTATTTTAATCGCATATTTTGTTATTATTTTTTATAATTTGTATATTTTTATTTCTTATAGACATCCATAATCTGTTACAGAGCAGTATAAGCCTGACCAAGTTTATCCGACAAGACACGGTGAAGTCGTTTGAAGTGGACGAGTCTGCACCACAAGAATTTGCCGTAACAATCTGTAGAATTCAGGAGGACATCTTCAGAGATGACGTCTACCTGCGAATCACAGGCAGGTGTGTTTTCAATGTAGGTACATAAATGTCATCAAGGCCCAATAAATTGGTTTGCAGATATTGTGCTGCTGTTGCATTGTACCGATGCTTCACACTTATCAATACGATAATAGATATGTAAACAACAATATTAATTAAATACTTACCAATGGTCGATTTAATGGACGGGCGAAATCAAAAACAGTCGATGAAGGCCGAAAGATTTTCCAGCTTGCTAGTGGCTCACAAGTAGGTACTAAGAACTTACATTGCGGTATGAAGGTAATTACTAACTGCATGCACATATCACCTTCAAATTATATATACCTAGATATAGAACTCTAATTGAAAGCTAATGCTTCATGCAATCCATTTCATTTCATTTTTGTGGATACTACAAAATCATGCGAGTGACTGCAGTGCTTCGAATCACCTTCGAATCACCTGCACCACCTGCACCTGCAATCACCTGCAGTGCTTCGAACTTCGAATCACGTGCGTATACCGGGTGGCCCAGAAAAAACGTTCCCAACTTTTAATCAATATTTCTCAGAAAGTGATAAAGATACAACATTGAAACTTCGAATAGTGAATGCGGCACACATTTTCAGTAAATGGTGTGATTTTCATGGTGTTCGGTAAATTACTTTTTAAACGGTTCGTGTTTCAAGCATGCCATGTAAAAATTACTTTTTTGCTCCGATGTTTACTAAAAAATGTGAGTGAACGGGGCACTTTCACCCCGCGGCACCGCGGCCTAGAGCCATGACTTCTACTGGCAGCTAGGCTCATTGATGGTTCGGGTCTCAGGATGACACATTCCCTCAGGCAACCACGATGGCTCTGTGCCAGCGGCATCGGAAGAAGTTTCCAGTTTTCTAACCATCTTGTGGCTCAAATGCTTTCCTGGTTGACATTCCTGGGAAAAGGTAGCCTTTCAACCAGTTTTTTTTGTCATCTGCTGGCAATGTTGTTTTTCATAAGCTATTCTGTGGTCTTCTGGCTCAGGAACCAGTCTGCTTTAGTTTGTTTTCCTTATCCGGTCGATTTACTGTTTGATCTACTGAAAGGAGGGTAATCAGCAGTAATCCATGCACCGTGCCACTCCTGCTCGAAACATGATTTGGTGTTGAAACGAATGGCATCCATGAGCACCATTTTGGCTCAGTATTTGAATATGTGGCACATAAGTGAGACAAAAATAATTAAAATTAGAACATACATGTTGGCTTCATTCACGTGCTCTATTTTTTATTCTTTTTTTTATAACATGGGACGTCTAACCCAATCATCACTATCGTTTGACATCGGCAAAAAAAGCAAAAACGTCTTGCTTAATTCAACTCAACATTGCCAGCTTGAAAATGATGGTATTGTGTTATAATTTGGCATACCAATGCGCAAAGAAATGACGCAAACTTGATGAAAATTTTGGCTCGTTATTTGTACTCGTATTTGATATATAGGCCTCCAAAGTTCGGAACGTTTTTTCTGGGCCACCCGGTATATCAACTTTGTTGGACAATGGACATATGGCTCATACAAAACACTTCCTATATACCTACTTTGTTGGACATGGATCTCACTTGCAAAATAATAAAAAAGACGTTTCTTTTTATAGTGGACGACGCGAAAAACAAAACCAAACATTCCTATCCCTGTTTGTTATTCAACAACAAACATGTTAATGGGATCCGAGTCGAGCAAATACTAACAAGAGTTTCCTTCGTTTACCAAATAAACACGTAGTTGGACGCTTCAGTGTTGCCAGGAGCGCAGATTTCTTATAGCTCGTTGTATACCAATAGTTTCTGTCTTCTGAAACTAAACATAGCTTTTAATTTCCTTAGCGCCATGAAAAGTCACGGATAAATCGATGTAAATGAAAATAATTACTTATTCACAGGAGCTGTGTGCCATATTTATATCCCTCAGTCTGTTCGTCTTCGCTTGGAAAAGGGTTTCACCCGCTAAGGCACATAGCTGAGCAGCACACTTGCACGCCATTCGCTCGTTGACCACGCGTTGATAAATCGGCCCTGCTGCACGGCGAGTGTGTCATGGCTGTTAAACGAGTCACGCTTCACACCAGAACACTAAACACTGAACAGTGCCTTTGTGTTCGTACCGCTTCGTCGGCTTGTCACCCTAATAAATGCCTAAATGAGACGACTTTTGCTTATCGTTATGACAAATGCAATCTCATCAGGCGATGAGGTACGACGCGTCGACACATCCAGTGGACCCTTCTGAACGTCGCCCGGCAAACGGCCCCCTGCAGTCGACTGCCTTTCGCTGAAGTCGGGGTCCGTTGTGACGCCACTGTTGCTTGCGACGCTCCGTCACGCCGGCCCGACGTATACGAATGGCCGTCCCATGCCGTATTCAGCTATTGTGTGAACGGCGAATCCGGGCCGCGGCGGTGCCCGTGCCGGCACAGTGCCATAAATGTTACGAAAGGAAATGTTTCAGTACAATGCCGACGTAACTGGCGTTATGCTTGTGGTTACTTATTGTTCTGCAGCCTTGTGGGGACTCTAGTTATATATGAGTAAACGTTACTATATAGAGACCATTATTAGAAACGTTATAAGAGACCGGTGTTAATGCCAGAACGGGGCATTCCACGTCAAATCAAACACCGAAATCCGTCATCCCCTTCGATTTTTCTGAAAATTTGTAGGCAGACTGGGCATGGTTCAAAACTGAGTTACGTATAATATTTTCGAAATTTGATTAAGTATCGCTGAGATATAGGTCATGGAATATAGCCAAAAATGTCACACATCAATTTTTTAAATGTCTATAACTCTGGTTCCTTTTCTGCTATCAAAATGATATTAACAGGGTCTTGTAGGCAATTGATAAGGCTTTGATCTTTAATTATAAAATTAAATTGAAGTGACCTTGAAATGCATTTGACCTTGAATTAAAACAGAAAAATTTAAATAGCAAAAAAACACGTCACCTTCGATTCGGGTAATTTTTACATATTATGTCCGTCACAATGTTCCTAACCATCAGTGAAAAAATTGGAGTGGGCCATTCATAACTCTCGCGGCAAACGCCGTTTTCATGCATCAACATCACGCAACCGCGCGTGACCTTGAAAGACAGAGTCAAGACATGCTTGCTTGTGAACACTTTCTGAAATGAATGATTGCTGATTAGTGATATCCCAAACTCTGCGAGAATGGAAATACATAGTCATCGTAGTCAAGCATTCAAGTTCCATAGTAAAAGTGTCTCAGGCAAACGGTATTTTGCGGTGAATTTTGAGCCGTGTGGAAATGCATCATGAAGCCAAAAATTCAACGAAAACATTATCACGCAACGATATCTTCACGTCTTTTTATCTTCACTATACGAAAGAATATACATTTTTGAGTATGTAGGGTGAAGTCGTATAAGAGTACGCACTTAGTGGATTTCTTGCTCTCATTTGTTTAATATTTGAAGGAAAGAAATCGCAAATAGGGAATATTAAAGCTCATTGAATTAGCCATCAACCCATGGGGCAACGATCCTTCAGCGTATATGGAAGTGGTCTAAAACTGATATTTTCTGAACCGTTGCACTTGCGTACTCTTACCATATGGGGTGTGTAAGAGCACGCACGCCAGGCGGGTGGAGTACGCAAGCATATGAACACACACCTATGCAGCTTGTTCTCTGTCCAAATGCTTAACTTCAAACTCAGAAGGCATTTAAGTTAATTCTAGTATCCAAAAAGAAAAACATAAAATAAATCTTTCAAGTCTATAAATCAGGAAATAATCATGTCGTGTGTTTCTTAAAAAATGCACAATCAAAAGGGAGAATAACTCGTATTTGGAAGAATTTCGGGTACGCATCTGCATCACAGTGCTCCATTGATGATATACCTACAAAACAAACGTCATTGAGCGATAGATTAATAATTCTATATTTCTGTATATTACCAATACCAATACCAATACCAATTTTTATTCAGGCAAATCCACTCATAGTGGCTATTCCTTGCCATCAGTCAAGTTGTGAAATGCAGTGATATAAAAAGACATTCACACTTTCCACATGCACATAAACTAAAACGGGCATAATAAAAAGGGAAAAACTAAAATAAGACAATAATGACGACGACAGCAAGTAACTAGTAGTAAAACACGCATTCCTATGTTTCCCTCGTGCTAATAACTCGCTTGAGAGCGTGATTAAAATTGGCGACTGTCATCGTGCGCATTTCCACTGGGAGGGCATTGTACAGCATCGGTGCACGGTACAAGAACCGGCGCCTCCCAGTCTCCGTCCGTACACGTGGCAGACGCAGGTCATCATCATGTCGAGTGCTCCGTTCTCGTGCCTCACGGTTTGTTTGGATTCGATTTAATGTATAATTCTGCGTACTCTTACCCTCCTGAACAGTGCGTCCTCTTACCGTACATGCAATTCGCGCACAAAACAACCCCGAAACGTTGTGCAAAACTTCGCAAACAGAATATTGCACTGCACAGTATTTCCCCAGATAACCTCACAAGTTTCCGACAACAATCACGGAAATGTACCTTATCTCAACTGCCAAGTATCAAAATTATTGTACCTTACCATAATAATATCATAACGCTCGAAAATAATATTCATCGCCTTAAACTCAACAGCGTCGCCGCTCAACGCCCACGTTCCGTTGGTAACATGCACGCACTGGCGGCTTCATGTCACTTCATGAACTCGACAAACCCGCGTTGCTAAGCAACCGAAACAGCTGATGCGTACTCTTATCGCCCGCGTACTCTTACCCGCCCTTACCCTATGGGGAATTTCGTGTTAATCCAATAATAAATATGGCAGTTAGAGACCTGCTAAGAGTAACATGTCGCCGGCTGAGGCGGGATCGGCCGACGCGGGAAACGCAGCAATCACAATTTTGTGTTTACACGTTCATATTTCGATTGTTTACCAACCGATTTTCACAATTCTTACACCATAAGATTGCCTGTACATTTCTTAGTCTTCTCACAAAATTTGACGCGAATCGAACGTAA